TCCTCTAGGCTCTCCCAGGACCTTGGTTTCCTTGAAGGTAGACAGATTCCTGACCCAGAGTTCCCCGCCCTGATAGTCATCGCTCACCTCTGCCCCTGGGTGAGGCCAAGGGCAGGCTGTAAAAGGCTCCTGCCTCTTCCCCCAGGGCCTCAGTGCACCTCTCCTGCCCCCGTGTCCCCAGCCCATCAGCTCTGTCTTGGCCTTGCAGCCATCCTCATTGCTTCTGCACTGCCTCTTGCCTCAGCTGTCCCACCATATCCTGAGAGTGTCTTCAGCAGAGCCACTGCCTTTGCTCGCACAGAGGGAGGCTCCCCGCCCCGCTCCAGCCGAGCAGAGCCTGCCTACCTGCCGGCCTGTGAGCGGATCAGTCACTCTCTCCCGACATGCAGCTTCCTTTTCTTCTGGGCAACTTGTTCACCCTTAGTCAGCAGCCAGCAGCCCCATCCGCCTCATCTCCACGTGGACACCCCAAGAGTTCCACGTGGGACAGAGTGGGCAGAGAGCTGACTTGCCACCTAGTCAGTGCTGAGCCCTGAAAAATGCTTCCTGCCTGTGGAACCCTCAGCGTTTGGAAGCTGAATGTCCCTAATTGATGGGAAGGCCCAAGTCGGTAAAGGGGACAAGGGGCTGCTATTCCAGAGTCTCTTGGCAGAGAGCCTTGGGGTGTGTCCCTCCTTGTCTAGGTCACAGTGACATCTAAGAGGCGGACCAAGTTGGCACTGGCTAATGGGGACACCAAGGCCTAGGTGAAAGTTGTGTTTAATAAATACTGGTTGAATCAATACAGTGATGTCACAGGGTCCACAATCAAAAAGACGTGGTACGGAAAGAATGACTTCAACACCTGCACAGGAATCTTTGTCCAAGAGCATGCTGGGTTATTGCCACAAGATCCCCATGAGGTTCAGGAGTCAGGGGTTATTCCTCACGATAGGCAGAGAGAGAAGTTAAGCTCGAGGGGAGCAGGGGCTGATGACTTAGCAATGACAATCCACAGTTGTCTTGTGTATTCCCAGTTCCTGCCCCATTAATTGGAACCTAAGGCCCCTCCATGGAAAATAGCTGCATTCAAAGTCTTAAAAAAGAAAAAGATGTTATATATGGAAAAGAGAATACAGGTTGATAGAGCTCTTGCAAAAATTGAGGTAAGGCACTGCGGGGTTCTGGAGTCAGAGCTCACCGGCTCTGTGGACTTGGGGCAAAGTGCCTCACCCCTCCCCCTGCTTCCTCATCTGTGACATGGGGGTAAAGACACAACTCAGCCCCAGGGCTGGTGTGAGAGCTCATGAGGCACTGGAGGAGAGTGCTCAGCACCACGTAAGCACTCAGCACCTGGGAGTTGTCCATGAGCATGACATGGACCTACACAGCATAATGAAGGACACTTGCCACCAGGCTACTGTGAACAAACAGAGTCAGGAAACCTTGGAAATAAGATTTGTCATCTTGGGAGGGAGGCTATCTGTATGTGAGCGCTGTCTTCGTAATTATCTGTCATTCAAAGCTTCCTCTCCTCAGCCACAGCAAACAGGGATCCTGATGCTGTGGTAGAACATAGCTTTCTTCAATGTTGCTGACAATTCACTCTTTGGGTTCCATTTGGAGCCTGTCCACAGAGATGGGTCCTAGAATCACACATCCCAGAAGGGCCCAGCGTGTGGCCCCTGCTTTTTGGAGAAAGTGGAAGAGCTAGGCCACTTTTCCCAAGGAGAAGTGCCAGAAAGATCTTTTTTCATAAGACCCGCAGGCTGCAGGCCATCGTCGTCAACTTTTAGGGCACCATAAAAACCTTTCCAAAAATTTAGGTGGTTTTTAGAATAAGAAATCACTGGTCAAGAAGGAGAAAGACAGCTTTTTCCTTCCTCTTGAGTCTAAACAAGTGCTCTCTTGAGGGAGCAAGAAGAGTCAGCTCAGGAAGGTGCGCTCAGCTCAGCAGACTTGCCGGGCCAAGGACTTGAGCTCCCGAGTCAGTCAGTTACGTTAGGAAGGCAGCTCCAGAGGGCAGGGGCGTGTGTGTTTTGTTCATTGATGTGCCTTCAGCTCCATGACAGAGCCTGACACAGAGCAGGTGCTCAATCTCTATTTGTTCCATGAATGAATAAATGTAAATTAGCCGAAGGGGTCAATATGTAACAGAACTAACCTCCTAAACCGGGTGCATTTCTCCTCTCAGTGAATCACGTGACACACGAGGTCTTTCACAGTCTGGCATCCTCCTCGCACACGTCCCACTGCATACCACATGCTCTCAGCCTCCAGGCCACACCCCAGTGCAGGGAGCTAGTCCCTTTCCCGAATGCTTGCTTCCTTGCACAGGAGTCCTCTTTCCCTGCAAGGCTCCTTTCCTAGTGAACACCCACTCTTTCTCCAGGGCCCAACTCAGATGCCACCACCTCTGATTTTTCATGGCATGTCCCTGTACAGCTTTATTCCACGAGCTAACCATATTGCATTAAATTGTGAGTATGTGTCTGTCTTTCCCACCAGACCCTGGACTGCTGGAAAGACGGGAAGCCTTGTTTGTCATGCAGCCCGGCACGCTGCCCGCACGCTCAGAGGCATTACGGTGAAGAGTGAGCCAAGAGCGAGTGCGTGAGCAGGCGAAATGGGTAAGTGGAGCAGCTGGCACTGTTACTAATTCTGATCCACAAATGGGCTCAACTGGAGCCACACAGCTAAACTCTTTTCACAGGATCCAAGGGCTGAAAACTTTTGGCCAATGAAATTTTCCATAAAATTAAAAGAAAAAGAGAAATCTGATTAATCCAGTTCTGTAAGTAAAAACCATGAAGTTTCAACTAGGGTACAAAATATCAGGCAGACCAAAATTTCTTTAATAATGAAATAATTTATTATTTAACGGTTGAACAGTACAGTTTACATATACACAGCAAAGATCCTCTAAAACACGTAATAGTTCTAAAAATGCATGTGCTAACTGTAGTAAAAAGCACCATTCTCTATGTCTTGACACAGGATTTACATTGGCGTCATATTTACATAAAGAAATAAACATCTGGAAACAGAATTTCATACTCTCTCATCTGCTGCTCCCTCTTTCGGCTGTGTTTACCACAAGGACGATGGCCCCCAACATTGGTGGTTAACGGTGATATTCCCAGAGCACCAATTCCAGGGACAAGGGGTAAAGGCAAGTTTGGTTCTCAGGTAGAAGCTAAAATGAAGAACGCTCCCTCTACCCCCTACCCCCAGAGAGAATAAGAAATCAAAAGTAAAAATGTGGATAAGTCTTAACATTGGGTGCCTAATTCTCATTTTATGCTTTTGAGAGAAGACAAAGATACTCAATTTCTTCAGCCGTTCAGTAGCTGACCCTAGCAGTGCCAGGCAATTATTTCTTCTTTCAGAAAGATATGGTATAAGAAAATCATCCATGTAATAAATATTAATGAACTCATGATAAATCACATATCGCACCCCCCCCCCCCCAGGTATTTCGAAAACAAAACATATCACAGTCTACAGAGATCTGATCATGCAGAATGAGAAAAACCACCTCATCTAAAAGGGTCTTTGGGTCATCTTCTCCTAGGAAGGATTTTTAAAATCGGGAGTAGCCAGCTACCTAAACATACTGCATCCAAGAGTTAGACAGAAAAAGAAGAGATTGACAGGCAGGAAACTCCTTGCAGCCTGGACTTCCTGGTGTTCACACGGGGCATGTAGAGGGGGAAGACAGAGAAACTCGGGGAAACAAGAAGAAAGAAAAGACTGAGATCTGGGGGAATAATCAGATTATAAAGCACAATGAAAGTTGTATTCTTGCCAGTATAGGATGGTATAAAAACCTAAATAATAATGTGTGTATATATATACTTTTCAAAAATAAGTTTTCTCTCTAAAGGATGGGGGAGAGGCAAGAAGAACAAAGCCCACAAAATCCATTAGCGAGACCCAAGATATTGCTAGACAGTTGTTTTGAACATCACAATCCTGCCCCATTTACACTTTTGTTTTTTTCACACCTCAGGATTTGCTCTTGGCCACTTAGGGATGGAGAAGAGAAGCCCACAGGAAACCCAGGTAAGGACCCTTGTTTCTTCTGAAAAAAGTTGAGGTTAAAGGAAAATGCCCACCTTAAAAAAACCAAACCCACTCACGTGGCTGACTGCAGGCTCAGGGCCTACTTAACGCTCAAGTCTGAACTGACACTGAAATTATTTTAGTTTTGGGTTGATAAGGGAGAAGAATCTAGGTCCCGCTCAAATGTGATGCTCTTTGAATCACTATCTAGCACTAGGTCTGTGACTAGAGAAAGGAGGCAGCAGTCGCTCTCAGCACCTTGAAGGATTCAAGATCTCTGCTTAGAAAAGAAAACCAAAGCACAGACACCCTGGGAGCTTGGCCTGCTGTTCTAAGCCAACAGGCATGGAAAGCCACGTTTTCTGGGATGTTAACAGAAGCACACATATATATTTTCTCACTACAGGAAACTGGACCACATACTCTTCTTTCCCTATTTGCATTGCAATGGTATCAAGAAGAGTGTAGTTTAGATCTTAGTTTTTTAAAATCAACTTTCACATAAAAATATGCATGTGCCTATATTTATACACATCTATAGTTACGTACAATTGTCAAAGTCTTAAAGGCTGGGGTTTATATCTTTGCCCATCCCCTCCCCCCAACAACCCTAATAGAAAGGTTTTTCATTTTGCTTAAAAAAACCAAAACAACCAAAAAGACTGTATAGCTCTTAACAGTCACGCTGGTGGCTCAGTGAATGAGAGGACAGATTGGCGAATCAGGGCTGCCGATCAGCCACGGGGAAGGGGAGTAGCTGCCTTGGGCTGAGTTTGCTGGTCCTGAAGCTTACAGTTTTGGTTAGAGCCAGCCCTGCCTGGCATGCTGATTCGTCTACCTCGAACTGTGAAAGCAACGTCTCACCCTGGTGCCAGTTTATCACAAGTGCAGTAAAAATATAGAGATCTATCAAGTTCCACATTTATATATGCAATCAAATTGAAAAGGACCAGACAAACAGTGCAAAGGTCAAATAATGACTGTTTTATATTGGGACAGTACAGTTCATATTTCAACCAAAAGACAAAAATGCAGTTTAACTCAAAGGCACAACAATTAAAACACAGAAAATAATGACATCTCTCAGATGCCTTATTTCTAAATTAAACAAACAAATACACAAATTTTGTTCCCTTCCCTCCCCCAATGCAAGCCCACAAGCTTTTCCCAAAGTCTTGAGTTTCGATGCCGTACAGCATCCAGCATCATGGACTCGTGAGGCGCTTGAACGGAGCAATTACACAAAATGCTTGTGAGGTCTAGCGAATGGCATTCGAAAGGGACCTCAAAGTGCAGATATATCTATTCAAACGTGTTACAGGCTGAGCTGGCTCTTTGAACACTATCACTCTGCTTAAATTCAGGAAGCAGGCTTTAAAAATGCAAAAGGCATACAAGTTGTATTTCAGTGCAAATCTTCAGCTGGTAATTGGAAAAGATTCCAACAAGAAAAAAAATCCTTTGTGTCACCTGCCCCTCCCCCTACCCAAAGCTGAAATGAAAAAAAAAAAAACAGAACAAAACAAAAACAGAAGGAATTACAGATGACTTTGGAATCATTTAGGAATCCACTACTTCCAACTGAAACTTTTTTAATACATTAAAGAATCATTAAAAAGAAAAAACCCACAAAAGTAATCTCGCTTTGTTAGACTGCTCTTCATGCATGGAAGGAGCTCCCATGTGGAGTGCCTTAGAACTTTACGTTGGTTGTGTGGAAGGTGGAGGCGCTGGAGGAGTTGCGAGGCTGTGGCGTGCTAGAGACCGCAGGCCAGGGGGAGCACGCGGTGGCCGCCCGCTACTGGTTCAGCCGCTGAGCCCTTAAGGTTGCAGTGCGTCTGTGGATTTTAGGAATGTTCTCATCACTTTGTGACACATACTCTGTTTCAGCGTCACAGATTTTTACAAATGGTTCAAATTCAATGAAAAAGATTCGCTGGAGGCTGAAAACATCAAGACCTCAAAAATATGAATGCAAAAATATTAAGGGGAGTGAACCAATTTTGTAGATACCTACATACAAAGTTTCTAGAACATCTATAAAAAGCACAAAGTCATAAGAATTTATTTTCCATTACATTAGTTTATATAAAATGAATAAATAGTATTTATAGATTTAATGTGTGTTATATACATGTGCTCTGTTTTAGCTTAAATAAAAATGCTACACAGTGGGAGACCACTTAAGGGAGAAATCATAACCAAAAAGAAATCAGCCTTTTCCACTGTCAACCCAAAAGCCTCCGTAAAGAAGTTTCTGGGTGTGTCCAAAAACACTAAGGAGAGGGATTCCAGCACCATTGTACCATCCCCTCCTGTTCACCTGCAACAGAGAGAGTAGCAATGTGGACTTTTCCTTTCACTGAAGATGGACACTAGCTCAGCTAGTGCCAAAGCTCAGTTATTGCTGAGAGTTAAATAGGAAAATAGATTAGAACTGGACCAAATGTCACTTATTCGGAGAAAAAAAAAAAAAGAGAGGCATAATCACTTCGTGTTAAGTGGGAAATGGAGATCTCATTCATCTCTGAGGTAGGAAAAAAAAATGTTCCAGAGACAAGTAGCATAACAAACTTCCAGGGGAAAGTGTGCCTTGGGGGAGCAGTACACAGCGCGGTCCCAAGAACGTTGCACAAAAAGAGATTGTACCGTTTTGTTTGTGAGAACAAACAAGGTTGGAACTTTGATAAGATGTGCAACCCCAAAGACATGCTATCAAGGTGTCAAGCTGTCCATCTTAAAGTGAGAATACTGCTCCCATCCCCGCGAGGCTCAGGGGACTTAGCGCGGGGTGTGGGGGGGGTGTGGGGGTGTTTTCTGGAGGTATTCCTGACTTCTCACAGGGTGAGGTCCATGGTTAAGTGCTCTCAAATGCTGCTTTCGAAGCTTACTTTGGAGCGCTGAGATCAGGATCTCAACTTGAAAAGTTTGTTTCCTTCAGTTTCCTAAGCACAAGACACATTTGTACATTTCTGCTAGGCAAATAACACAGTAAGCCAGAAAACATTAAGAAAGGTCTGGTAGACTACACGGGGACAGGAAATAAAAGGGGAAATTGCTGAGATGTGAAAGTTGCTTATTCAGTCTAAGAATTCTTGGGTGCTTCAAATTGATTGGAATGTACAGTCTCTCAGAGACAAATTTTTATGGAGAAAGAGAAGCTAGTGGATGCAATCAGAAACCCACAATCCTAAGCACTTCCTTGGGAACTTTTACAAAGCTGATTTTGGTGAAGGTGGTACACTGAAGTTTACGTGCAAGGGAGTTGTGGGCGGGTCCAATACACTACCTAATCCGATCCAACAGGGAGAACCATCCGGGAGGCCGCGAAGGGACCACTCTCTCTTATAGACCAAGACGCGTCTTGTGATTGTCCTGGAGCTTTATTCTCTTGATGCTGGAGCTGGAGTAGCCCTCGTCACTGCCGAGGCTCTGCATGCTTGCCCGCTCATCAGAATCACTCACACTGCTGCTGCTCCAGTCCAGCTCCCCCGTGAGATAGTCTGTGCTTTCAACGTCCACATCAATTTCTTCTGTGGGGAGGACAAGAGAGAGAGACATGGGTGAAGGCATTCTTCAGAAAACTCAGGCTGAATCAAAGTGGCTCCAGTCGAGCCCTTCTTCGGATGCTGGTGCCTAACTGTTAAAAGGAAAGAGGGAGCTATTACTGGAGGTCACACTACCCAGCTTCTCTAAATCACGAGCAGGTTCTTAGCTCCTTCTCTGCCGCTGGCAGATGGGAGAGGGCAAGGGAGGGTGGGGGAAGCGGGAGGGTGGCCGAGGAGGCAGGGACAGGGCTCACCCCTGTCAGAGTCTGAGCGCTCTGAGGAGACTGTGGAGCCAATGCTGTCCATCCGTATCCTCTCGATGCCCAGCTTCTCCAGCTGCCTCTTCAGGTGTCGCTGCTCTCGCTGAAGCTGGTCTATTTGGTGAATGGCTTTTCTGTCACAATCTTCAAGTTTCTGCAAGTCAAAGAGGCAGTTGTTGGAGCCCACAGGAAGATTTCAAAATTGGCAATGACCCTGCATCCTCCTGTCTAGCAGTGGAATACCCAATCTTCCTCAGAAGCCATTTGGTGTGTCACTCATTTAGCTTCTTGCAGAGACAGGACATTGACCGGGCAGTGACTCCTATCTTCACCTAACTTCTTCAGCATTGACAATACTGTGGGTACCTGAACCGTCACAGGGATTCTGGGGGTGAACTCTGACAGTCTAGCATCCTGGTACTCCTCAATTTTGATGTTGAAAAGACTGCAGGCAGCAGCCAAACCTGGTCTCCCCTGTCTGCGGCGGTGCCCTGAGCTCCTAATTTCTCTGAACAAGAGCATTGCATGTGACGGTAGCTTAAGAAACTCACTTCCATTTAAACGGATGTTTATCCAAGTACACATCCCAAAAACATGAGCACTTTTTTGTGTCATGCGAAATCTCAATTAACTTCTGTTAGCAGGAAATAGTCCCTTTTGAAGTCTCGATTCCAAATTGTCCAACATAAGAGCTTAGAAAATACATTTCCATAGACCATTTGTTTTTACAAATCTGTCCTCTAGCTTCTCATATTCTTCAGATAATTAAGACTGTTTAATTGTGGTTATTTTGCTGTAAACAGAGGTACTTTTCCCCCCAGAATTGTCATGTACGCGGGCTACTAACCATAATTCAAGTGATATTTGTCCAATCATGACGATCTAAACATGCTCGACAGTGATCCTGGCTGCGGCTCCCAGAGTTTGAATACAACTCCCTTACCCTTTGCTATTCAAGCTACGTACTGAGTGCCAACTCTGTTTCAGACCCTCTGGGAGGTGCTGGGGATACGAGGTGAGCACAAATATCCAGTCCCCTTCCTGGTGGAGTGTACATTCTAATGATGGAGACAACCAAATAGTCATGCAAACCATGGTCAGATGTTAACTGTGACAAGTGCTGACAGAGAGATACCCAATAACAGGATCACTAGTCCCAGAAAGGAGGTGACCAAGTCGGGAAAGTTTCCCTGAGTTAGTGATACCTGTGCTGAGATCTGAAGGATGACAAGAAGTTAACTGGGTGAAGAAGGGAGGGGACAGCATACCAAATAGAGGGAGCAGCACGTACAAAGGCCCTGTGGTAAGAGAGCATGACAAGTTCAAGGAACTGAAAGAAGGGCTGGAGCAGAAAGGAGCGTATGGCACAAGATGCTGCTATATAGGCAGGTGAGGGCCAGTTCAGGCAGAGCCTGGGGCAGACCTGGTGACAGGGTATGTCCTGAGCCACAGAAGAATTTTAAACAGGGTGACACACTGATTTGAGCTTTAGAAGGATTGTTCTTGGGAAGCATGGAGATTAGCTTGGAGGGAGGCCAGAGGAATACAGGGAGGCCTCTGAGGACTTTACTGCAGCAGACAATGGTGAGGCGAAATGGAAGTAGACCAGGCTGTGAAATATTCAGGTCTTGGAGAAGACTTAGACACAGATAGCTAAGGAGCAAGAGTTATCAAGGCTGAGCCTGGGTTTCTGGCTTGTACAGTCAGATGGACAGCTGGATGGACCATTTAACTTCTGGTGCATATGGGTGAGCAATACTTCGTTGGATTCTGGACATGTTGAGTTTGGGGTACCCGTGATTCATTCACGAGGCAGGATGGAGGAGTTCACAGGCGAGGACTGTCGTGGAGGCATACATTTACTGTCCCTCATAACAGACAAACTCTTACTGGACAAATAAAGATAGAAGGTATCCCAAGGATACACTTACCTTTATGTGCAATTTGGCTTTTGTTAATAAACTCAGTGTAGTGTGTCGACTTGATTCAGGTCCAAGTGGCACCAGCCCCTTCAGCTTCTCCAGGCACAAGCGGAGATGGGCCCGTCTACAAAAACAAGATCAGAGCAGCATTTGAGAATTTCACAGTGGGCCAGAAGGCACCCTGGAAGAGCAAGTTCTAGAAGAGTGTGAAGTTGCCCAGGCCCAGTGATAGCAAATGCCACCAATGACCTCTGGTCAAATAAATATCTTTTGAAATTAGACAACCCTGGTGAAAATCAAGGAGAAGCAAAATCCAGAGTTTTCTAAAGTTGTCTCTACAGGTGTCGGGGTAGGGACTAATCTCTATTAGGCACATTTATCAAGTTATCTCCAGGTTTCTGGGTTATGATGTGACCCACAGAACATCCAAATTCAGAAAATAATGACATGCCAGGGTGAGAATCCTTTTAACCCAATACTTCTCTTTCAACACTCAGGACCACTAAATCGCTAGCCTATATTGTTGCTGTATATAGTATTTACAAATGTGAATGACATACACGTATGGTTATTCACTACAGCTTTATTTGTAATGGCCAAGATTGAAACAACCCAAGTAGGGACCATCAGTAGGGAATTGGTTAAATAAATTATGGTATATCCACATAGTGAGGGACTACATAGCTATGAAAAAAGAACGAGAATGTGCTCTACGTCTATTAGGAAAGTATATTGTTAAGTAAAGAAAAGCAAGATATCAAACCATGCATACAATATGCTATCTTTGGGTAAAAATAATTATCTATATTCACGGTTTCCTGTACCGCCATAAAGTCTGGAATGATACATAAGAAACTAGTGAACAGTGGCTGGGTAGAGAGAAGTCAGGGAATAGGGACAAGGCAAGGGGGGCTGTTTTTACTGAATAATTTGTTTTACTTTTGGTTTTTCAACCAGGTAAACTACTGCTATTCAGAAAATTAGATACAGTTTTTCAACATAAGGAAAAAGTCCATCATTGGTATTGCTATACCAACAAGCATGCTGGGCAGCTGGAGAGAACCACAGGGAGGTCTTGGAGCATGGCGGAATGGCGAATGGGACGGAGTGGGGAAGGGAGGAAGGCTGGGTGAGGCAGAAGCTGCAGGGGCCCACGGAAGAGAGCGCCTCTAGCCACAGAGTGACCAGAAGCGCAGGAGTCCGTAAAATTTCGGCAATTGATTACACTTAATTGAAACCTTGGTTTGGGCCTTCTTCTAGAACCTAGCAGATTCCATGAATGTGAGAAATGGCCAAGATTCAGTTTTTGCTTCAGCCCACCACCTCCTTAAAGCCTTTGCAGGTCCCTCTAGCCTGTGGTGACTCCTCATTTTCTGAATACTTTTTCTTTATACTACTCACTGGGAAGTCCACTGTTCTGCCTGAATTGTTTGGTATTTGTTACTTAACCATTCATTGTGAACTCCTTAGAAAGCTGGGGCTGCAGCTTAATCAGGGCTGTGTTCCCAGTGTCTGCCCCTCCCGCATGCTTAATAAATGTTTGCTGAATGGATTCTGTCATCTATCCAACTAGACTTAAGTTTCTTGAAGACAGAGTCCATCTCTATACCTTCAGCAGTGCTCAGGGTCCTGGGGGCCACTGTCCACAAACAACGACCTGGAGCAGAGCTCCTGGGAGCCTACCTTAAAGCTTAGTTCGCCCTTTTTGTCCCCCTCTTAAAAGCAAAAGTTCGGAATGCAGACCAAAAGAAGAAAACTGCTTCGGAAAACTCCAAGACACGTCAATATGCATGCTATTGACCGAGGAAGTCAATTCACACCGTTCATCTCAAGACTTCAGGATGTTGCCCCAAGGCAGATCTAACAAGTGGTGCATTAGACATCCTCCTGAGCCTCCTTTCTCAGCTGGCTCTTGACAGAGTTGCCCTAGACTCTCCAAGGGCTCTCTAGCCTTGACAAACTCGAGGAGCAAGCACTCACTCCTGAGCTGGGAAGACTTAACGGGACAAATGCCCTACTATTTTATAAGACTTCTCTTGCTCTGAAAACCTGTCCAGGTGGAATGGCCACAAGCAAGACTCATGCTAGAGTTTTCCTCCTCTCACTCCTGCATGAGGGGAAAAAAAGCAGAAGCTGTGTGTGTAAAATGTACTTGTTCACCTTGGATGATAATACTCTTCAAAGAGAGCCATGAAAATAGCTCACGTTATTAGAAACACCATGAAAAAGTATAATTAGTCACTTAAACAGTTATCCAACTTATTTCTCACTATAAAGTTTATAGATTAATTTTCAAATTAGAAAAAAATTCAAAAATTAGAAGTAGACTTTTCAGCTTGCTTGTTATTTGCAAAGACTGCATGATTCAGAACAGTGTCATATTAGTCCTTTTACGATGTGGGTTTATCTACAGATATGAGTATGTACATTTTTTAGGAAGTTTGTCTACAGATAAAAATAGAATAATATCATCTTTCCATGCATCGTCATTTCTAGTTACACAAGGAGTCCAGCCCAGCAAGTACAATTTTCACTACCCAAATGTGAGTTCCCAAAGAACATTCCCAGTTGTGAAACTAGAAATAAGCAATTTGACTAATTTGAGCTCAGGATAATACATGTTCATTCAGCGTTTTCTGGCCTAGTTCTATGAAAATAGGACCAGAGCACTTTCTGGATTTTTGCAGAGATCCAAAGTCAACTTGTCTTTGGCAGTGCGGCCTTGGCTTTCTCCAGTGCCTCACTGCTCCAGCCTGATGGCTACCCACCTGCCACCTGCCTGCAGACACATCCCCAGGCTGGTGTCTGGGCCAACTACCGCGGAGGGATGAGGTATGTGAAGCAGGCTCAGTGCCATCACAGAGTAGTGAAATTCGATTCCTGAACCAGGTGAAAAAGCAAACAGACCCCTCTATAATAGCTCCCACAGAGGACCCTCGACCCTGAGCCACATACGCTCCCTACCCTGGGATCTAGAATCCTTCAGCCAGCCCAGCGCACGCATGGAGCACCCAGATCTGAAAGATGCAGTCAAGCTCTTGTCTCAGCTCTCCCTCCTCAGTCCTAACTATTCCCCTGGCCAGGGCTCTCTTCCTCTAGGAGGGGCCTAGTGACCCATTTGAACCAGGTCTAACTCCCCTTTGAGGAACTAGCAGGGCTTTTGCCACATATCCTCAACAGGAAGCCACTCAATACCTTCACCTGACCCCTCCTTGAGTCTCCTCCCATCACATCTTCTTCAGACAGTCCTCCTGTTGCCAAGAGCTGCCTCCCAGCTCCCCACCCCCAGCAGAAAAGCGTTGTGCCAAATCCTGGTTCCCTCGTGCCCCTGACTGTCTCTTCTTTTTGCGCTGATCTAACTGCTTTGTACCTAGGTCATGAACTTTGACAAACTTCACCTGCTGACTCTTCAGAAACAGCGCTTTCATTATTCTGGATGGACTGATATATCTTTGGTCTACAGTAGCATAAAGAAACCAATCTGTGATCTGAGCTGTAGTCAGTATGCTCAGAATCAAGTGTGGCCTATAACCAGTGATAACGAAATTAGGTACAAACTACAGTCTCTTCAGTAAGTTTTAAGTATCTCAAATTTTATTTATTTTTGTTTTTAATTATTTTTATATTCTGAATCTGTCAGTCACTATACAACCAAATAGTGTTAGTGATTCAGAGTGAAGGTCTGGGATTCTAGCTTTGCTGCTTACTCCCTGTGTGACCTTGAGCAAATTACTTTACTCCATGTAGCATCAGTGTCCTCAGCATAGAGGAAGGATGACAACACCGGAGGGGGCTGTTGTATTAACTGAGACAAGGTATGGAAGCCCCTGGCCAGAGTCTGACATGGAGCGCTCCATCTATGGGAGCAGTTATTATTCAATCCTACCTTCGTCTGTAGATGGGTAATTACCAGGAACAGACACAGATTATTACAGCACTATAATATTCCTTTTAAAATCAACAGGGAACTCAAGGTGTCTCACTGGGTAGATACAGGCTATCTGGTAAAATCCAATTCACTGAACTTTTCCTTAAAGAAAGTGGTTATCTTTTATCATTAAAAGATTTAATGGAAAATCTAACCCATTTTCTATTGAAACACAGATCTTGCTAATGCTAAAGCTACCATTTTTTACGTTTAAAAAATTAGCAAGGATTTTATATATAAAGCTAATGCATGCAAAAGGACAGATTCCTTTGTGGCCACTCACATCATGTAGAGGTGGGGGTAGGAGGGGCGCCTCTGAAGCGCACCCGGGCCTGCCTCCTACCTCTCTACTGCACTAGCCAAAGGGAAATAAAAATAGCGGCAAATATGTATTGACCTTGGAAATCCAAGCACACCTCTGGATGTGCTGTCCATATCTAGAGAACCTAAAATATCTCACATACAATAGCAGGAAGAAAGCATAGCATATTTAGGAACAAACTTAAAACAGTTTCAAAGGATCTCTGGAAAGAAAAACTATAAAACTTTGTTGAGAGACATAAGAAAATCTGAATAAATGGGGAAAAGTAGCACATTCCTAGATATGAACCCTCAAAGTAAAAATGTCAATGTTACCCAAGCTTGCCTACAAATTTAACATAATTCCAAGAGAAAAATCCAAACAGTATTTGTTGATGATGGAAAATTAATCTAAACATCATCTAGAAGAATAAATGTGTGAGAGACTGCCAAAAGTTTTGAAAAAGAAGAATAATGAAGAGGAATGTGCTGTACCAGATAATAAATTGTATTACAAAGCTTCAATAATTAAAAACAATATATACTAATATAAGAATAGACAGACAAATCAAGTGAACAGAAGCAAAAATTCCCAGAAACAGAGCTAAGAATAGATAAGAATCCAGCATATAGTGGAGATAACACTGCAAATCCTTGAGGGAAGAATGGCTTATTCAGAAAATGGCAGGGGAGTAGGGAGGTTAACATCAAAATAAACTCCAAATATATTAAATATTTAAATATAAAATATATTCAGATATAGTTCTGTTGTTAGTCTTCCTTAACTCCTGTCAGCTACGAATGATGGAAAACTAAATATGCCAGTGCAGGAAGTCATTCCTGAAGGGGACTCGGGGCTGTCTGAGGCACCACCTCCTATCAGAGCTTTGGCACTGAGAGAAGGTACCTGGGCTAACCAGCGCACTCTCAGACAATCCTGAAGGCTTCTCTTTTTATTTCTGCCTCCAGTCTCAAGGTTTCTTGAGTCTATCCATGTCTCTTTCCCAGGCTGGCAGATGTGTAAACTGGGGAAAAGATGCAGCAAAAAAGAGTAAGGCTATAGGCAGACTGTGCCATCTGAAGATAGTGCTCCTGAATTTACTCTGTTACCCCGATGTGCTCCCTGGCTTGGGGGTAGTCAAGACCAGGAATAGTGTTAAATCAGGTGTGAGTGCACCTGCGCGTGCATGCCTATGTGTCTGTGTTGTGGGGGACACATTGTTATCAGAGTTTACTCCTCTTTACTGAAGGGGTAACTGAACTCTCTCCTGGAGACTTTCACAGTAAAGTACACGACATATAAAAGAATTACAAGGTCAGAGCACACAGCCTGGAGCCAATGAAGAGGGCAGATAAGTAAGTTCACAGCAGAAATTTTGAACGTACACGTGGCTCTTGTATTCATTTACTCCAGCAGCATTTCTCAAAGGATTACTATGCACTGCTACCTTCCTAGGTGCTGGGGACATAATGTTGAGCAAGACTAAGTCCCTGCCTTGGAGGTACTCAAAATTTAGCTGGAGTGATCAAACATGTAAACAAATTATTGCAGAATTATTTATCTGAGCTACTTTCAGACCATGACAAATATCAGCTCCCACAGAAAGTTCTAGAATGCGCTCCCCTTTGCCCTGTACCAAACATATTCTTTCTTTTCCCTAATCTACATCTTGTTTGACTTAACTTCTCCGTGAAGATTTTCAAGCTTTCATAGCCTATCATAAGCCGTTTTTTCTTTCCAAATACATCACATTCCTTTATGTGCTACAGACCTCCTATGTATCTAACTGTTCTGTTTTCTTTCATCATCAAACAATGGAAGAGACCAAGTCTTCTATTTCATGTTAACCATTGGAGCCTAGAAACAACGCATCTGCAGATGCTGACCCAAGAGAAGACTCTGACATCTTTGGTAATTCATGTCTTTTTCTTTGAGAAACGTCCTACTTAAACATGAATCACTGTACCTCATTGAGTACTAGTTTTCATTAAAACTGAGCCTAAGATTATTAGTAAAGGAGAAAAAAAGAGCTACATAAACAATAACCTATTAACTCTAAGGTCTCAGCATTTTATCTCCTACCTTTCTGTGGACAGACTTAGCCAATTAAATAGCTTCACAAATCCTATAGGATAATTGGAGATTGAACAAAAATAATTTCAGATGTGGGTTTGTATGAGCTGTATAGTGAGAAAAAAAGGTTATTTAGTATAGAGTAAGGACAAATAAATCTTCTTAAGGAGTCAAAAATTATTCCCTAAAAGTTATTACAGGTCACAAGAGATCCTAACCTCCAGATTTTGGGTTGAGAACAAAGCCTTACAGGGTTACACAAAAAAATCCAGGTGAAGACTATAAGTCATGCTTTGAGAAAAAAAGTACTCCCTTTTCTAAAATGATCCCTTTATAAACAATTTCCAAAAGCATCATTATTACCAACTTAATTGGAACCTTGGAAGGTTTTGAAGATTTCTCATAATTGTGATAGTAATCTTTGTAAAAAATACAAAGGTAGTTATATATGCTAGCTGAATGGGAACATAGCATTCAGTGAACAATGCAAAAATAGCAATTCATGGTGGTTACATTTTGAAGTTATAAAATCACTTCTCCATTAAAAGTGTGAAATACATAAGTATACCACATTAATATTTCCTTTTAGAGCCCAATTTTAAAAAACACAAAATATATATTATTAGTAGTACTTGCTAGCTCTATCTCACTCTTTGACTACTAATGTCTATGACAAAAAAGTCAGGGAGTGCCCCCTATACTCCAGGTAGGGGACTGGAAATTGGTTGAATAACCAGCATATGTCTCTTGCCCAAGTTCCTACAAGTGCAGATGCCATCTACCCAAGAGGTACAGTCCAGGAAAGATGGATTCTAGCGGTACAAATCTGAGAGCTCCTCTACATCATCACCATAGACAAGATTTGCACACTGATACCTATATCCCTCTCTTTTGTAATAACAAGGCTGGGCCCTTAGCCCCATGTGGCAACAAAGCAACGTGGATTTGTTACAACATCCTAGAGTGAAATCTGAGTGTGGTCAAGGGAGTTCAGAAGCAGTAAGAGTGGTGCAATGCATACCACAACTCAGACCCAGGGCCAAAGTCAGGCCCCTTCCCATATAAGGAGCTTGGCCATTTGAAAAGCCAAAACCCAAAAGAAACAACTATAGGGACCTTTAATCAATTTGAATAGCCTGCCAGAAGAGACCTGACTGGAATGGTTTCTCATGCCAGACCAGATGCCACTAACACACTGTTTGACCAAACGAAAATAACAGCTTAGATCAAGCTGCTGAGTCCTCCTCCCAGAGCACACGCAAAAATCTTTTGTCATGGGGTCAGAAGACTCTGGCAGAGGTAATCTTCTAGACCAGCTGCCTAATTCCAGCAAGGCCTGCATACGTACCATTCCAGAAAAATGAGTGTCTACTATCAAAGGAGATGCCAGAGCCTTCTTTTGAAAAAGAGTCCATTCTAGCACCTGACACCTGACCCACTGGCAGCAGCTTATATGCACTCATTCAATCTCCATTTGCTGAAGGGCTTATTGAAAGGCATTCAAACCAGAGGAATTCCCAGCTAAGAGAAGGAAACAGCAGACTTATCAATAAATGGCACATAATGACAAAAGATGAAAAGATTTCCTATTCCCCAACAATAATTAATTAGTAATTAAATGGGAAATCAATAGCAATTAAAAAATATATAAACCCAGAAATACTGTTTACAAGAAAAGTGCAAAACCTACATGGAAACACTACAAAACTTTACTTAGAGACAGAAAAGAGATGTGAATAAATGAAGACACACTATAAATCCTGGAAAACAAGATCTAATACTTAAACATGAACTTTTTAAGGTTAACTTATAGTGGAATTATTTAATTTTGATTTTGAAAATCCCAAAAGAATTTTGGGTATAGGGAATTGATGGGTTGATTATAAAATTCATCAGGAAAAATAAACTGGTGAAAATGGCTAAGAACATGGTAAAATAAAAAAGAGAGGAAGAGGGAAGAGCAAAGATTTGCTTTACCAGATCCTGAAATGTACAATAAAACCTCAATGATTAAAACAATGTATATGGCACAGGAGGAGCAGATGGATCAGCGGAATGGAAGAATAAGTCTAGAAACAGACTTAGCCATAAACAAGAATTTAGAATACAATGGAGGCAAGCAACTTCAAACAGTGAGAGAAGATTGATTCTGTAAAGGTAAATGACAAATGGGACAATTCTGCGATACACAAAGGGGTAATTTCTTTCATACATATCCTTTATATTATAGAATCTTTTCAAAATAAAGAAAAAGATAAACTGAAAAAATTGGGCAAAGGTTATTATATAATGGGCAATTCAAACACACACACACACTGGCAAAGATTTGAAAATTGTTCATCTGTGCTAGAAATAAAAGAAATGCAAATTAAAACAAGTTGTCTGCGTGTTTTTGTTTTTTACTTATCAAATTCATAAAGGTCTTAATTATAAAATCAACTTGTAAAGGTATAAGGAAAACATGGCCTCTAACCTGCCTGATGGGCAATCCAGCAGTCAACATCAAAAACCCTAACAATGTGGATACCATTAATTCCACACTATAAATTTACCCTAAGGAAATAATTACGATGTTTGACAGAGATTTATCTACAAAGTAGTTTAAGGAAGGCTTGTTTATATTAGCAAAATGCTGGAAAGAATCTAAAATGGAGGACTGGTTAGATGAGTTATGGCACATCCATATGATGTAATACTGGGCGTTCACCAAAAGTAATGCTAGAAAAGGAGATTTGGCGACGCTGGAAAATGTTCATAACATACCTTGAAAAGATTGAGATTATTTACTATATGATCCCATGTTGATTAAAAAAAAGTATGCACAAAAGTCTAGACAGATACAGAACTTAGCAGGAGTGTCAGCTGTTGTTACCACTGCAAGTTCTATTCTAGGTGATGTTTATATTCTTTGTGTCTGAACTTTCCAATTTTCTACACTAAACTATATTTTAAAAGTTATTTTCCAAAAACAACTGGAAAGATACATTTCAAAGTTCCGCTGGTTTCCTCCGGCTGCTAGAATTATGGATGATCTAATTTTTAGTATGACTTTCTATATTTCTCAAAATTTTCTACAAGATTAGTTTCTAAAAAAGAAATACCACACACTCACCAAGGGTGCTTCCTCAGGAGGCTAGACCCACAAAATTAGCTAAAATGCAGAGAAGCACAGGCTGAGTAACAGACTCTAATATCTAGAGTGACACTACACTGAGCCTTCCACGCAGGGGCTTGGTCTCCGTCGGGCTCCGTATTCCCAGCACCTCGCACATGGCATCGATGGTGCCCCACTGAGGCCTGTCTGTTGAATGGAAAATACCGCCACCACCACCTCCTCCCATCTCTGCCATTCTAGAAGTCTTTCCTTTTATCTTCCCACCGATGCCAAGATTATTAAAATGGTAGTGTTGAGTACAAAATCCTCATAGTGGAGTCCTGATGAACACCAATTATTCAGAATCTCTAAAGTGCCACAGAAAAGGTTTCTGTGTAAAAAAGCTAACCCAAGTATAATCAACTCTGCAATATCAAAGAGAAAAACATTCCCATCATTAGAAGCTGTTCTCCTAAGTTGCTTTTTTTTGTTTTTTGAGAGCCATACCAATCTTATTATGTGATGTTTTAGGGTAAAAAATGGCTAATGTGTATTAGCATTTAGCAAAGCGATGTTCTTTTATAGGATTCAGCTACCAAAACGAGGGGGACTACAAGAGCAGCTGTTCAACTGACCTCAAAAGACTAAAATCTTAAGCATCCACGGCAAGAAGGGAGAAGAGTCCGACAACTTTAACCTCCCCTCCGGAGCTACAGCAACCAATGCTTGGTTAAATTAAGTAAACTTGACTCCTTACTTCCTTCTCTTCTGTTCACACGCTTTAGACTAGAGAAAGAATTATCAAGACTTTAAAAGACCAAATTCTAAAAAAGAAAGGGCAGTAAGGAAACTAGATAACTAACCCTTCAATGAGCAGAAGTTGACTGGTCATACAGAGGCAGTCTGAATGATAAGCAGCTTGCCCAGTAGCAACTTCCAATCCAGTTTTCCAGAATCTTTGCCTCCATAGCCTCCTGTGCATACCATCTTAGCGCTTAGTGAATTAACTGAAACTGTCTTTGCGTCTTTCTCAATTAGACAAACTACGTTTCTCTAGAATGGGAGCCATCTAACTTAATACTCTAGTGTGAACTCATTGATACCAAGTACTGGGCACAAGTTCTTGGGGTACTGCAGGCAGAAAACATCCCTGAACTGCTAAAATAAATGATAAAACTGACATTCTGTGGCATTCTTGCAGACGGGAAAGGCACAAAGCTGCAGTAAGCCTACGAGCCCCTACTTGAAGGGATGAAATTTTAATAGGAAGAAAAATACATGCCTAAGTAAAATATTAGAAGGGAGAAGGAGAGTTAGAAGACTTTTCAGCAGAAACAGTCCCAGTTTACCCAGTTCACCCCAAAGGCAGAAAAATGGGAAAGAATCTAAAGATGAGAAAGAGAAACCACACCTGACTACCTTTCTACCTTCAGAAGAAAGAGTTTTGAGTTTCCAGTTCGTGGTATGTAAATCCCTAAGTGTAAAGGAAGCTCTGACTTAGAATATGGTCACATTCATGGAGAGATTAAAAGGGAAGAGGGAGGGATGGGGAGAAGCACATGTGCAGTGAGGCACACTCAACCCCCTACACACAAACACACATACACACATACACGTGCGCACACACGATATTTCACAGTGGAGTAATGCTAAATGTTTGCCTTGCTCCAATATTTTCCTTCCTAGTAAGGGTCTGGTCTGTCCTTTCACTGTTAGGCTTCCTCTTCAAAGGGGGTTTACATGAAATAACCACATGTATTTACTGAGCCATCATTACACATCATCATCTTGTTCATGCAGGGCACCGAGAAAGCCACTCAATCTGGATGGGTAGCCTGTATTTCAAATTGATGGGAGCTCAGAGACCAGAATGAGGCTTGTTCAATGGTTCTCAGCCCTGCTGCACATGAGAATCACCTGGGGAGCTTTTAAAACAATACTAGTGCAGAGTCTCAACCCAAACCAATTAAATCAGAATTGCTAGGGGTGAGGTCTGGGCATTGGATTTTTTGTTGTTTTTTTAAAGCTCCACAAAGAATTATCATTAATTTTTTTCAGCATGGTAAAAGCAAGTGGTTATGTTTTTCTAAAAAAAGTCTTTACTAGAGATAGAAGCAGATTTGCTTTAAAATACTCCGTGGAGAGGGGTGGTTTTGATTATACAAGATTGGCAAAATGTTGATAATTGTTCACGCTGCGTGATGGACACGTGTGAGTTGATTACATTATTCAGTCTACTTTTGCATATTTGAAAAATTCTATAAAATTTTTAAAATAAAATCAGCAGAAATAAAAATGTGTTCTCTTTCCCCAAATATATGTGTATAATATATTTAACATTAAAAATATATATTTTTAAGAGTGGGCCTGGGCTAACATCTGTTGCCAATCTTCTTTTTTTCTTTTTTTTTTTGAGGAAGATTAGCCCTGAGCTAACTAACTGCCAATCCTCCTCGTTTTGCTGAGGAAGACCGGCCCTGAGCTAACGTCCATGCCCATCTTCCTCTTCTTTAGACGTGGGACGCCTACCACAGCATGGCTTTTGCCAAGAGGTGCCATGTCTGCACCCAGGATCCGAGCCGGTGAACCCCAGGCCACCGAAAAGCGGAAGGTGTGAACTTAACTGCTGCACCACCTGGCCGGCCCCTCTTCTTTTTTTTTTCTTCTTCTTCTCCCCAAAGCCCCCCAGTACATAGTTGTATATTTTCTAGTTGTATGTCCTTCTAGTTCTCCTATGTGGGACGCTCAGCATGGTTTGATGAGCAGTGCTAGGTCCGTGCCCAGGATCTGAACCAGCAAAACCCTGGGCCGCTGAAGCAGAGCACGTGAACTTAACCACTCGGCCACGGGCCTGGCCCTTATAAAAATATTTTTTAAAACATTAAAGGCTTTGCAAGCAATCCTAATATCCAACCAGAGTTGAGAACCATTAGGCTACACCACAGAAGGATGGGAAAACTTGATTTGGAAAGCAAAGATTTAAGTAAGCAGCAAGAGGTAATCCAGGTGAGAGAGATCAACTCAGGCTGACGGCGAGATGGAGCCCAGTGAGGTGCAGGCCTCCTCTACTGGGCCACCATCTCCAATTTCTCCTATGTACATATTTACCTGAATTTTGAGAATCTTTATTCACAAGTAAACTATAAACACACATAGGTATGTATGTGTATATATCTGTGTGTGTACAAGACTTAAGACAGCACTGCCAATTATATTCAGTAGCATGTAATTTTTTAAAAACACTACTTGTGGAAACAATGTCCATGACCTAAAATGCTTTGGCCTGTGGAACAGTCACACAGAAAGGTATTCCTCAGGAGGAGCAGACTGCAGGGGTGAGAGTTGGGGTGTGGTCTTTGGAACTGGGGAGCCCTTCACCTACCTAAGTGATTTACGGGCAGTGCTGCTTAGACGGCCCTGAGCGAACTCTTAACTCAGGTGCTACTTGTGGGAGGAGTCAAGAAGAGCAACCAAGTCTCAACTCAATGAATAGAGAATGCATCAAAACTCCCCCATCTCCCAAAAATCCCCAACTCACCTATTCTTCTCCATTTCATTGTGAGTTGATCTGAAAGAGGAAACAATAAGAAAAGAGTAAGATTATTCTTGTCTTAAAGGACTACTTCAACACCTACACAATTATTTTAACTTCTTTCTCTCCAAAGTTGGTAGCAGAAGACAGGGAAAGGGAGAAAAACTCCCTGGGCTCTACTAAAGAAATTAGTTGCTTTGGGGAGTTAGAGAAACGAAAAAAAATATCTAAAACAGAGTTTAAGAAGTGACAAACTAAGAGGCATGCATTCCCTAGTGGAAAAGTAATCCATTTTAAGAAAGGAAAAAGGGTCTATTTCTACAGAGAGAAAAACAGCTGCACAATCCGATGTGGATTAGGGTTATATAATCCCACCAGCTTCCTTCAGGCTGAGGGTAGAACAGTGCAGGTGGCACCCCTACCCCAGCCCTGTAGTTTTCTCTGTGCGTAGTATACACCAAAATTTTATGCTAAGTTGTTTGACTATAGGATAGTTTTAAATGAATAAAAGTAACCTCTCTTCCCTCAATCTCTCTACTCCCTGAAGTAACTGTTGAAGAGCTACCAAATGATTTCAGGAAGGGGCTTCTAAAACTCAGCCCAACAGAAAGCTGACAGACTGGTTAAGGCAGCACTGAGGGTGAAATCTGAAGTCCAGCCTTGACACTGACTAGCCCTGTGGAAGAAATGAAATTCTTTACTATTCCGTCCTTGGTTAACCCCTCTGTAAAATGGGAATAAAAATTATTGCCAATTATCTACTGAACAAGCATAGAGCAATGAGGCAGCAACTGTAAAAGTGATTAGAGAGCCTTGGATGAAAGCTGTAGTAGATGTGAAATCATATTATTAGCACGTTTATAGCTGACCTTGAACATAAGGTCGGGTCTAAGAATTTATGGACAGGTTTCCACAGAAGTCACAAGAAGTCAGTCTATGTGGTCACTTCAGTGTCTTCCTCACACAACTCCTCCCTAACAAGTTATAAAATAAACTTGAGGAACCTCCCAGCATTATAAAGGAGCTGAATCTTGACCTTTCTTATGGAAAGTCTCTGGAATCTAACCAGTACAGGAGACTATCACCTGGCTCAGGTCATGAATTCTGTGGGGCCATAATGGAAAGCTTACTGGGCCTAGGAGATAAATTCTCACAGTAATCATGGAAGAACACTACTTCCGTGAATGCTCAGTTACTCCTTTAGGTGGGGGGTGAGGGGGTACCGCCACCAAGTTCATTCACACCAGAGACTGGGGTGGGTGAGAGTGTGTATGTGGCGGGGAATATTCCTGAAAAATTTCCAACACAGCACTAAAACTTCTCTTCCACAAGGCTCTTGAGATACCAATTTTTATTCACGAGGAAAAACAATAATGACGATATTTTAAGTTTTAGAATATTTGTTTTCTAGATAAAGGATATGTGAACCTTTTAAAACTGGTTAATTTACAAGCTTTAAATCGATTTACTTGGTTATCCCTCAGCATTCTTCAGTTACATTTTTCTGAAGGTTTACTTCCTGCAATGGCGAGCAGGATATCATGGTTAACAAGAATCTGGCCTGCAACCACAAACCTTTGGCTTTAAAGCGCGTGGCATTTTAGTTTTAACAGGGAATAACAAGTTCAAAGTCTCACAGATTTTTTGAATGGACGAAAGTATACGACAACAGCTGGTCAAGATTCCCCCATTTAACCACAGACAGGGACCATCCTTGGAAGGTGGTGGCATAGGGGAGGGTGGATATTTGAAAAGAACATGGTCTCTGATTATAGAAAATAACAGCACACAGGGTACCCTTACCCAAAATTTCTGGATTCTTTGAAGATACATATAAAAATATTCTGAATCCCCAACAAAAACTGTTTAACAAATTCCATAAGAGGCACAACTCCTTCCAAACTTTGAACAGAGTTTTAGAAACTACAGATCTTATTTGATTGCTTAAGAGTGTTGAACACATGGTGATTTTTACAAGGAGACTTATACCTAATGGCTACAGCATTTGAAGTGCATTTGGTTTACTGAAACTGAGTTTGTCTTTAATGAAAAGCAGGCCTTTCAAAAAATGACCAGTTCAGAGATTGCTTGCCAATTCTGTTGATGGGTAAACATTTATATTTTTAATTAAAGCATTATAGGAATACGTAGACATCTTGGGTCAAAATTACTTTCTATGTGATTACTGACAAGATTTGATAATTCTGGAATCACTGATAAAGGTCGAATGTCACCCATTAAAAAGATAACTGACAAAAAGACAACTAAGCCAAACTACCGAGTATCTGAGAATAGGAAAAGTCCTTGGGTTCAAAAAGACTCCCCATGTCAGGTCAGCTATATAGCCACTGTCTCATAAAAGAACTGAGTGGCAGGTCCTGAACTTCCTCTTTCAAGGAGTGCCAAAGTCTGCTTTACCAATTTAACAAAACATACTTTTAAAAACTCTGGATTTCAATTATAAATAATCAGTAACTGATTTCAAAAATCAGCAGGAAAGAAAAAAAGATTCCATCTCCCTGTATTCCAGTAGTTCCCTGGATGACTCCAAAATAATCAATACTCATAATTTCATTTGTTTTTGTTGTTTTTTTTTTAAACAAGCAACCAGAGAAACTTACTATTTGCATTTTTAGTTCCCAAGAAGTTTGATATCTGGCTAAATCTTTTTACCGTCCAAGGAAAAGTACAGTACTGACTCTACAAGCAAAGAGCACAGCGTTTCAACCCGAATTAACAAGAATAAATGTTATCCAGTGGTTACCCAAACCAGCAGTCATCTCTCCATGGCCCTTACTTCAGTTCAAAATCCTGGCCATACATGGCCTTAGATATAAGTCTGATTCAAATCTAGGTGTCAAACTGCACTCTCTGGGGAGATGTCTCACTGCGCAGGGATGGGTCATTCCAAACATGTCAGGAAGGAAGTGATCACATTTAAACAAAACAGCCCGCTCTTGCTTCACTTGTTTGCTTCGTGCCATCTCCAGGTTTAATCATGGTCTCTCAGAGATCCTTGCACCACTGACGATATCAGGCTAACCCATATTAGTCAAGAATATGGGCAAGTGTGATAGTCTCCTGTCTCTAACCATGGAAAGCAAACCAAACTCATTAACAGAAGTAATAGAACTTTTCCCAAAATTAGGAGTTGCAGCCATTTTTCAGTTATAATCCTGGATATTAAAGAGAGGAGAAAGAATCTGTTTCTTGGTTTGAAATTCTCAACGATCATTATTTTTCTTTCCTAATCACCTTTTGGGACCAAGCTACTTCTCTTCAACAATACCCCTTCTTTTCCTCTCCCTACTAATGAACATCCACTCCACAACTTTCCTTGTGAAACTTCAGGAAAAATAAAGCGCTAAGGATTAAGCCTTGACTATTAATATGGACAATTCCTTTCAAATCATGAGTGGACAAGAGTAAAAGCGACAAAAAACCCAAAATACTTTTATTCCAAAAGGGAAGAAAACTTTTCCAGAAAAATAACCCAAAAGGCTTCAAAGTTCTTCCAAACAACATTTAAAAAATTAATAGTGTAACAAACTGTAACAGAGCTAAATTATTTTATACCATTGCATAATACAAGTCAGTATTAACATCCTTCTTAAAGGCCCTTAGTACCCATGCACACATCTACTGGCTGCCACTTTCAGGTAATGCTAAAGAAGGGCGGGAAAGGAAAAACCACGAGGTAATTAATTACCAGGTTCATCCTTCCCGTGCCTTCCTATTCAAGAGCTCAGCACTTGCGTGCGGCTCACATCCTGTGGTTCTACCAGCACTAAGGACAAGAGGGTGAATCAAGGACAGAAGAGGCAGCCAGAACATGTGAGTTTTAGGTTTAAGTGGGAAGCTTCTGGCTTGTAGTGGTCTGTATTATGCCACAGAGGCTAACCAGATACAGTTACTTGCAGAGAGCTATTCATGAGGATAGGAAAGGGGTAAGGATTCTAAATCAGTGATGAAAATATCAATGATTTTAATTAACTGGGATGAAAGGTATAATTGAATGGATCTAATAAAACAGATTTCCTAGCTAACGTATTTTAAGGGCAAAGATGGGGAAAATGGGGCAATCGCATTAATGGAGTACTCATATGTACCAGGAACTATGTTCAGGGCTTTAATATGGGATTTCACTGACCATTAACCAAACACTTCCCAGTGAGATTCACGGATTTAAAGAACTAAAAGGTGAACATAATAGGGTTGTGGCAGATTAATATTTTAATACCATATGTTCCTCCATCACCAAAGAGGCAGGTTTTAACCTCATGTCAAATAGGAAATTCTACACCTATGCCAAGTCAGATACTTTAACATGTTTATGAAATCTTCACTATGAAAAGTAACAGAAATGGATAATGTCCAGTATTCGCAATTATAGAAAACTTGCCCTGAATCTGCAATTTCTGAAGGCAAAATATTGTCACTGTTGCTAATCTCACTTGAAATTTTCAGATTTTTGTTCCAAAAGGGAAGAAAAACAAAATTAAATTGAAAAAAAAGTTCATAAAGAAATGTAAAACATTTCCATTTCTCTTTTCTCTTCAGTCCCCCCCTCAACCCAGAGGGAAGGGCTGCTTCCTCCAATGGCTTAAGACCATGTGTGCAAGACTCAATCCTGATCGCCACTTAATTTACAGGGTTATAATCACAACGGGCAACTTCCACCCTGCAGTTTGTGTCATCTGCAGGAGCATCTAAAAGAGAAAGAGAAATATTTACCAAATTACCTGCTACTGCTGTTGTTCTTCTTGGATTTGTTCCTCCGTTTTAAGGCATCTCTGTCCTTGTTATTGTATGGTAACATGGAGGCATAACCATGTTCAGCTTCTAGAAAACCGGAGGATCCAGTTAATGAATGAGCCCAGAGCATTCAATACTCTCTCCCCGCCACAGTATTTCCTTTTTAAAATTTATTTTTCCTTAAGCGAATATTGTGGAAACAATTAAACGGAGCAAGGCGGAATTCTCAGAACAATGATTGTTTTTTTAATTGTGTGAATGCCGTCAGTTCGGAGCAGGTGTAAGGAGCACTCCAGCTGCTCATTGTTGAGAAAGACACAGCAAGTCGCCGAGCTCACGGAGCCCGGGTTTCCCACTGGCGACGTCCAGCAGGTTGGTGTGTGTTAAGTGGGACCAGCCTCAGGCGAAGGTGCGGGGCAAACACCGGGGGCTGGGGGGTGAGGGGTGGGCAGGGGAGGCGCTGCTCCTCCGGCTGGGAGACGGGGCGCCCGGCCCAGCTGGGGGCCGCCGGGACGAGCCCCGATGAGGTAAACCAAGGGCCTGGCTGAGGGGGCCCCGGGCATCCCACCGCGACGGGGTGGGGAGGGGCGGCGCTCGGGACCCCGGGGCGCAGCGGCCCCTTCTCCACCCCCATTCATTGCCTTCGAGGCAGCGGCGGCCTCCCTTCGGACCGCGCGTGGGGAGAGCTGGAGGGGTTGGGAGCGCTCGCGGTCGCGCTCTCCGCGTCTCCAACTACCCCCGGAGCGGCTAGGCGCCCGGACCCGCGGCCGGTCCCTCAGAGCCTCCGGCCCCGGCTCGGGGCGGACCTCTCCCGTCCCCGTGCACCTCTCTCCCGCCGCTCCAGGTAGTCGGCCGCCTCCAGCAGCATCTGGATGTTCATCCGAACCGCCGTCGCCATTCTGCACCGGGGGCCGGAGCCACGGGACCAACCCCCACTGCCCACAGGTTCGCCGCCGCCGGACACCTGCGCCCCGCTGTGGACCCCGCGGAGCTCGCTTGAGAGAGCCTCTCTGGAGACCACGCTCGCGGGAAGGGAAGGGGGCCGGTGAGCTGGCCACCGCCGACACCGTGACAGATCCGGAGAAGAGCAGCCGCCGCCACCGCCGCGGAGTGTTTATCCCCGACTCACCATCCCCCCGCCCCCAGCCCCTTCTCTTGACAGGCCCGCTCCGGCTGCGTTCCTCATTGGGCACCTTAAAGAATGCCCCGCCCCTGGCCTTGTCCGATTGGGGGAGGGCATCACGACCCCGCCCCCAGGGTCCGCTCCTCTCACTCGTTGGCCACGCTTGACAAGGTCCGGGCTCCACCCCCTCTTTCCAATTGGTGACAGGATTCGCAACTCCGCCTCTTGCTCCCTCCCTGTTTTCCATTGGTTCTATACAGACAACCAGGCCCACTTTGACTTTGTTAGTATTGGTCAAGAGCTACAGAAAGCGAGCCACTTCGCCTGCCTCCCATTGGTGGAGCCTTCTGAAACCTCCCAGTACGATGACGTCACCTTTCTGCAGGCCCGGCGAGCCCTGAGTGGCTGGTGGCCACTCCTCCTCCCCGGACCTTGGCATTGGCTGGGAGGGCAGACCCGGGTGCCGGGCGGCGCTGATTCTCCGGCCGCCGCGGAGCCCGGCTTCACCCGGCGTGGACCTGTTGCCGGGACCTGTCTCCGGGGAAAAGTTCCGGGAGCTGCCGGGAGTCTCTCGAGTGGAAGGCTGGCCCCGAGCGTCGCCTGAGCGCTCTGCCCCGCTCGGGCTCGAGGCCGGAGCCCTGGGTCTGGCGGCCGCGGCTCCAGGCTTCCCGGGAACCGGGTGGCTGAGGGCCCCGCCGCGAATCCCCCTGAAGGGAGAGCGGCGCCGGCAGCCAGCGGGCGCCACGTGGCTGTGGGGCTTGAGGGAAAAGCCTGGCTCGTATTAAACGCTCGCCGCCCAGCGTTTTCTCTCCTCAGAAAGCGCTAGAATCGGGCGGCTGTATAGAGCACTGAGCTCGCCAAAGGCACTCCCGTCCCTCCCCCGAGTGCTGGCACAGTTACTTTCTCACGAGAGTGGGTTTTAAAAGCTTGGAAACCTCCTGTACCGACAGAATGACGTTGAATCCCGAGATTCTTTGACACAAATCTCTTTCAGAGTCTTGTCTTCTTCTCGTTTTAAATGAAAACATTCAAAGAAATACTTCCTTTTCAAGACGTCTTTAAATGGTGTTTGTGTGGGGGGTGGTACCAATATAAATGTATATAGAACTAAAAAGTTTAAGGATTGTTCCCTAAGCCTATCAAGATTTTTGAGATGAAAGCTATCTCGACATCCAAGTTACATTGTTAATACGTTGACATCTCCATTTTAAAAAGTAGTAACAAGTGTCTTGGTAAATTGAGAGTCCTGAATATAGAAATGAATAAAGCTCGAACATATTTCACAAAGATTTTTTTAAAGTTTATTGTTGACAATATATGACAATAATAGCTTAATCTGGTAATTTACTTATATTATCTCTAATCCTGAATATAACCCCATTAGGTAGGTTATTACATTTTGCTCATGAGGAAACTGAGGCCCAGAGAAGCTAAATGGCCATCCATTCCACAAGAGATGGAAACTGAAACTAGATGTGTCTCACGCCCAGCCCGTGCTACCAATGTCCCACTGCTAGTTGTGCTAAAAAACAAGACAGTTAAGAAATGGATTTCCAGATTGAGTCACAAAACACCGACACTCAAACACAAGGGAAAAAGAAAGAAAAACGTACATAATGGGAAATTTTTAAACGTGTCCTTTTTAATAGTTGACAAATCATTAAAATTAAGAAAACTCAATAGAATTAATAAGTAGAATAAACGTAGTAAACCATGCCTGATATATGGGAAACATATTTTCTGGTTTTAATGGTTAACTGGATCTAAAACCTGATTCTTTATGAAAACTAATAAATATACTGAAGACAAAGGGTTTCAAGAAAGCACAAAAGGCTGGAAATGAGAATGGAGATACAACATTTTTAAAGAGCATTTTTTAACTGCAAGTTATTTGTAAAACTGAAAATCATAATGAAATGAATAAATTCTAAAGTACCAAAACTACCAATAGTAAAAACACTGATTTCACTACCTAAATTTTGGATTTTGTATACTTTTATATTTTCTCTTTGATTTTATGAACATTCAGCATCTCTCTCTATTCTTTCTCCTACCCTCAACTCTTTTTTTAACCCAGTCTTTTTTCAATATTATGATCCTTCCCCTAGAAACAACCTGATTGAAAATCACGCTTATAAAAAAGGAAAAAAGGTTGAAATCTGAGTCAGAAATAGTAAATTAATCATTTAAACACCAACAGGTCTAAAACTCCAAATAAAAATACTAAATTATACAACAATCAGAGAATTAGACTAAAGAATGGATCCTTTCCATTCCCTGGTGCTAAATGATCAATTGGCCAGCAACACCAACTAGGAATTAGCGTCATGAAGGACTTCAAAGAGTATTTGGTGCCATCTACTGGAAATCAAGCAGTCAGCATCAAACAAAGGTTTGGTTTTGTTTTTCTAGAAATTATTTTACACAAATGTATACAATGACTAGTTAAATAAAATAATCTCAAAGTACAGGTTTTGAAGAAAGCTGAAAATCCTAAAACAAAGTAGATGGGGTAACCCGGGGTAACCCCCAGCACTTAGCACCTCAAAGGCATTACATAAGCACTGACTGATAAGGACAAACTCCAAAAATAAAAATCAGGAAATGTCTGAACCCATATTTTATGAAGAGAATTTTAAATAAAAAGCTATGTGTAATAGCATAAACATGGGCTGACAATATTTTATGTCTTCGAGCAAGGATCAAGATAAACTAATCAAAATTGGAAGTAAAAAAAAAATGTTGAAAATAGGGAAGCACTAAGACATAACACATTATACTTGTCAGATAACTTTTACTGCGCCTTTCAGAAAGCCCCAGTCTCCTTCCTGTGAGGGGCTTACACTTCAGATGGGCATAGGATTGTATGTAAATGCCAATGCTGAGCAGCAGGTTCATTAAATGCTATGGGATGGGGGCTGGCCCGGGGCCGAGTGGTTAAGTTCCCCGCTCTGCTTTGGTGGCCCAGGGTTTCACCAGTTTGGATCCTGGGCGGGGACATGGCACCGCTCATCAGGCCATGCTGAGGTGGCGTCCCAGATGCCGCAACTGGAAGGACCCACAACTAAATATACAACTATGTACTGGGGGGCTTTGGGGAGAAGAAAAAAATAAAAAAGCAATTAAAAATCTTAAAAATAAAATAAAATGAATGCTATGGGAGTTCTGAGAGAGAAGCCTCTTTAGTGAGTGCCTCAGAGCAGCAGGGAAGACAACTGTTACAGTATAATCCTTAAATGTCTAAAAAGTTCCCAAACTGTGGAATTAAAACACTCTATTTATAACCAAGTTTGACACTATGAGCTGGACATAGTTAACCACTATGACATTAATATGAATTTTGTTTTACAAGTTTTCAAGGAATTGATGTTGTTCTTTGAAGTGTAAAAATCAGGATGGAATTTTCTAGGTCAATAATTGTCAATCTCCTTCTTTGTGGCTACTTCATGATATCCAGTATCATATTAATTTTAAATACCTTTAAAAATGCTGCTTTGCAAAAATTAGTTATTCCACAAATATTTGGGGTTTTTTTTGAGGAAGATTAGCCCTGAGCTAACTACTGCCAATGCTCCTCTTTTTACTGAGGAAGACTGGCCCTGAGCTAACATCCATGCCCATCTTCCTCTACGTTATATATGGGATGCCCACAACAGCATGGCTTTTTGCCAAGTGGTGCCATGTCCGCACAGGGATCCGAACCGGTGAACCCGGGGCTGCCAAGAAGCAGAACGTGCTAACTTAACTGCTGTGCCACTGGGCTGGCCCCTATTTGTGTTTTTAAAAACAGAGCAACGGCTAAACAGTGATATATACATTACACAAGACACTAGTAGTTTAAAAAAGGTAGAGGTACATATACTGGCATGGAAGGATCTCCAAGGCATTGTTGAGTAAATAAGGAAGTTGTAAAATGATCCCTACAGCAAATTATTTGTGTAAAAAAAAAAAAGCCCAAATTATGTTCCTCATTTCCAACACATACATGCATAGACAAAAAGTCTGGAAGGATATACTACAAAAGATTCACAGGGAAGAAGGGGCAAGAGGACTAGAACTGTGGGTACTGTTCAAAAGGGATTTAGCTGACATGTTTTAAAATTTTTACAAGAAAATGTATTCATTTATTACTTGGGTAACTAAAGGTTAACAAAGAACTCAAGGGATGTGGTTAAGTGAAAAATGGTTACTGAACTATATTCACGAATTCAACTGATATTTATTGAGTGCTTTACTCTGTGCCAGGCAGCGTGTGGTACTGGGACTACAGCAGCAAACAAGTCAGCAGCCCCAATTCTCAGAGCTTGATGGCTAGCGGAAGAACCAGACAGTAATACATGAAGACAGTGTGTGTCAGGCAGTGATAAGCTATAAGGGAAGGGAAATGTTGCAGAGCATGTGCAGAAACTGGAAGCCTCATACACTACTGGTGGAAAACAGTTTGACAGTGTCTCGAAAAGTTACACATAGTTACTCTACGACTCAGTAATTCCACTCCTGGTTATATACCCAACAGAAGTGAAAACATTATGTTCATACAAAAACTTGTATAGGACTGGTCATAGCAGCATTATTCATAATAGCCGAAAAAGTGGAACAAGCCAAATGCCCATCAACTGATGAATTATAAATAAAAATGTGGTATATCCACAGAATAAGATATTATTCAGTCATGAAAAGGAATGAAGTCCCCACACACACTACAACATGGATGGATCTTGAAAACATTATGCTAAGCGAAAGAAGCCAGACACAAAAGGCCACATGTTGTATGATTCCATTAACAGGTTTCCACCACTATTTAAAAGTTCGCTTTACGTCACTTCGCTTTTACAGAAGACCTACACTAAACACTGTTTTTGCTAACCCAAAGAAATCCAAAGAGGATTTTCACTTTTACAAGAAAGAGTGAAAATCAAAAACAGCGTTCAGCGTTTGTTTTGCAGCGAGCCCTTATAGGGGCAGTGTGCACCCTGAGCAGCGAGAGTGGCGCCGCCAAGCTCCTTCCCGGAAACTACACTCAGCATCTCAGCATCAAGCCGCCATAGCTTTGAACTCTGTGGCATCTGGCTTTATCTCCACTTATTTTGCTAGGTTATTTTTGAGGTCTGGGAGCACTCAAAAAATTGTCCCCTATGAACTAACGGTAGTTGCTTCTTCGATTAATGCCATTTTGGCTTATGAAAGTTTTCACAGACACGCTCTACTTTCAGATAGTGGGGGAACCTCTATATGAAATGTCATTTATTATGTGAAAATGTCCAGAATAGGCATGTCTTTAGACAGTACATTAGTGATTTCTGGGGTGGAGGTGGGTGGGGATGGATGAAGAGTGACTGTTAATGGGTTTGGGGTTTCTTTTCAGGGTGATGAAATGTTTTAGAATTAGTGGTGATGCATACATAACTCTGTAAATATCCTAAAACCCACTGAAATAATATACTTTGAAAAGGATGAATTTTTTCTTGATTTTTTAAATGTTAAAAAAAAAAAAGAATAAAGCAGAGTAAAGGGATAGAGAGGGAAGGGAGTTTCCTATTTTGGATAGGGTGATCAGGAATGACCTTATTTTGAGCAGAGACCTGAACCAAATAAAGAAGCTACTCCTGTAAATCTGGGGGGTGGGGGAGGGAGGAACATTCCAGGAGGAGGACCAAGTGGGAAGACTCTTGAGGTAGACGCATATCTGTTCTTAAGGAAAAGCAAGGAGGCCACCAACAGAGTGCAGTAGCAAGGGGATGAGGCTGCAGGAAGCCAGGGTCCAGACTGTAAAGACTTATAGACCACAGAAAGGACTGGACTTTATTCTAATTGATAGAAAACCATCAGAGCCAGGAGCAATGTGACCTGATGCACATTTTAAAACGTTCACCTCTACTGTTGGGTGGAGAATAAGCTGAGGCAGCAAGAGAAGGAAACAGACCTATGGGGGGCTAAGTGCAGTAGTCCAGGCAAGAGAGATGGCTTAGGTTAGTACAGGTGATGAAAAGTGCTTTGATTCAATGTATATTGAATCAACATGATGTACACTTTAAACATCTTAAAACTTTACATGTCAATTATACCGCAATAAACCTGAAAAAAACAAAAACAAAAACAAACGCTGTTTGGATTCAAAATATACTCTTGAGGTTAGAGCCAAAAGGACTTGTTAATGAGAGAGATGTGAAGCCTGGGAGAAAGAGAGGAGTGAAAGATGACCCTAAGGATTCTGGTCTAAGCAAAGGAGTGAATGGAGGGGCCACGCAGTGAGAGAGGGAAGCCTCAGAGAAGATGACTGGGCAGGGAAACGAGAGTTCAGTTAATCTTAAATTTGAGGTGCCTAATAATTTAGGTGCATATACAAGCCTGGAATTCAGTAAAATGGTACGGCTGGAAGTATAAATTTGAGAGCCATGGCAGAAGATGTTTGAAGTCACATGGTGACTGGGTGAATGGGTGACCCGGCAAGAGACTGCAGAGTCCAGGGGTTGAGTCCTGGAGCACTCTGACACTTAAGATACTTAGAAAAAGACGAGTTGGCACAATTTATGTCCTCTGAGAGGCAGCAGCCTGTTAGAGGAAAAAAAGGATGTTCCATCTTTGTTATTCTTACAGAATCAGATGACGTGATGGATAAAATTTCCTTCAAACCAAGACTTCTTTTAGGATCAGAGGTGTCTTATCTTTGACTTTCAAAGATTTCTTCCTCTTTCATTTTTTTGGTGTTAGTTCAAGGAGAGCAAATTTATTGACCTACCAGGTATTGTCAGATTATTTCTTTAGAAAGTATGCTGCCTTGAGGATCTCAAGTCAAATCTCTACTAACACCACACTAAGATGTCAGTCCAAAAACCAATAATTGGGTTTGGGGCATATTATTTCATCCCAGAAGTTTTAGCTTCCCTATTACACAACAATTGGGTCTGCTTTCCTTAGGTGTGCACAAATGTGGTCACAAGTAGTCTGTGTCAGAGATAATTTATAGATACACAATATTTTGGTGGGTGGGGGTATGAGAGTCTATTTAGCTCAGTTGGGAAAAAGTCCAAGGAAAATCACCCAACTGCCTGGGGCAGTGACACTTGTGCAATGGGTACTACAAGTTGCGCAAGTGATGCAGCACATTCAAATATTTAAGTACAGAAGGCAGCAGGTGGTATAAAAACCAAAAATTTCTGCCTTTATGGTCTGAATAGCCTCAGCTTTCTCATCTGGGAAATGGAGATAACAGCACCTGCTCTATCTCATAAGGATTAAATGAACCAAGGTGCTCTATACACTGTATTATGCAATGCAGTCATATTACTACTATTTTCTTTACCTGGGACTAATTTACCAGGAAAGCTTTTGAAGAACTACAATAGGGTGATCAAATTTCAGATGCAATAAGGATTTTAAAATCCAGCTAAAGAAAGTTGTAAAATTATGTACATTCAAAGATAGTGATTATACAATTTTTTCAAAAAATAAAAGATTAGAAACAACTTGAATGTCCATCAATGGGGAATTAGTTAAAATAAATTATAGTCCATCCTACACGGGACTATAATTGCTGCCCTTAAAAAAAAAAAAAAAGAGGCAATATTACATGTACTGATAACCTTAACATGTACTAACAAAGGAAAAAGAACTAGGTGCAAAACAGTGAGTAGAGTTTGAATAAAATAAAATATATCCATCTATATTATGTTTGTGTATATATGGAATATCTCTAAAAAGATATACAATTATCTTGTTGCTATAAACCCTTTGTGCTGTCTGAACTATGTTCTGTGTGTCTGTACTACTCAAAAACCCAAAATTTAAAATCTAACCACAAAGCCTCAAATATCAGCGAGATATAAAACAGAATGAGTAATCATTATTATCTTCAACATAAAAAGAGCTTCCTTCAAATAAGAAAAAGAAAAACTTGCCAATAGGCAAATGGATTCAAGATTTGGAATTTGCATTTTACAAAAGAAATATGTACGGCTAACACATTTTTAAAATGTTTGTCCTCTCTAGAAATTAAACAAATTAAAACCAAATACCATTATTTTACCCATCAGATTGGAAACTTTTTTTTTTTTGTATGGGAAGATTTGCCCTAAGCTAACATCTGTTGCCAACCTTTCTCCTTTTTCTTCCTTCACCCCACACCCCTAAACCCTGCAAAGCCCCAGTACATAGTTGTGTATAGTTTAAGTTCTTCTCGTTCTTCTGTATGAGCCCTGGCCACAACGTGGCTACTGACAGACAAGTGGCGGGGTTCCGGGCCTGGGAAACTGAACCTGGGCCGCTGAAGCAGAGCATGCCGAACTTTAACCACTAGGCCATTAGGGTTGGCTCAGATTGGAAACTTTAAAAACATTATTACACCCAATGTTGGTGCACATACATGAGATGGAAATGCTCATACTTTACTGGTTAAAGTCAATTGTTACCTTTCTAGCCATACATATCAAAAGCCTTAAAGTGTGCACACACACCCCTTTATCTCACCCAGCAATGCCACATCTAAGAACTGAACCCAAGGAAATAAAACAACAAGTACAAAAAGATCTATGCAACAGGGATACTACTCACAGTTTTAATTCTAACAGCAAGTCAGGGGAGGGAAGCCAATGTTCACCAATAAAAGATTAATTAGTAATTTATGGTACAACCAAGTAGCTACTAAAAGCTAAGTTTCCAAAGAATATGTAAGAGTATTTAAAAAATGTACACAGCACATGGGAGAAAAAGGATTAGCAAAAGAGAACAGCATATACATTTTGATCTCACGGGTAGGGGTAAGAAACACACACCCATAGGAGCCTGGAAAGACATACACCAAAATATTAACACTGATTATTTCTGGGAGCAGATTACAGGTGATTTTTGGCTTTTCTTTTTACTTTTTGGTTTCTCTCAAGTTTTTTTTACAATAAGCACGTATTGCTTTTAAATTAGAGAGAAAACAATAAATAGTATTTGAGGGAAAAAACACAGAAAATACAAAAATCTAGTTATACTTTTTCATTAGAGAGAAAACAATAAATGGTATTTGAGGGAAAAAACACAGAAAATACAAAAATCTAGTTATACTTTTTCATTCTTCTAATATTTAAACTACAGAGAATCTTGATTATCTGAATCTATGTATGAAAAAAGAAAATGTGTAGGGAGACTCTTCTATCTACTAATAAAAATATTTACCAAATACAAAAGGGTAGAAATATTGCTTTATTTGAGAAACATACATCCCAATTACTTTTATGTGTTTTAAAAAGTCCTAAAGAGTGTCCGAAAAGAAAACACATATAGCTTCCATAGGAATAAGGACAAAAAAAATGGGGTTGATGATTGCCCCAAGTGATATTTCCTAAAAGAAAAAAATGTAATGTTTTAACTTTTCTTCTTTTGAGGCAGGATAAGTGAAGTACACACATCATAAATAAGATTTTCTTACTTTCCAAGGCTGAAGGACTGTGATCCTGTTTGTGACGCTTATTAAATACAAAATCCACTCTTCTCATCAAGGGGAGGGGAAAAATCATTCTTCAGCATTTCAATTCTCATGCAATGAAATCCAAAGGTCTGTTGAATCCACCTTTTCGATTCATGTACTGCCTACAACAAGAAAATTTATTGTTTATTAAAAAAAAATTCTGGACTCCTCTTATTAAAAGAATAATCACATGCTTCAGAGATTAAAGCTATAAATCATCTTTAAAATGGCAAAGTCTAGGGTAAGAAGTATTCAAGGTTATTTAATGCTCATTAAAAAGAGGTTATTTCACTTTTAAAATAAGCCAAAACCTTTTAGATTTGTTTAAAATCCAAATAGAAGTATGGAAATATACTTTCAAAACTACTTAAGAAGATTCTACAGACTTAAAAAAAAATCAATTGACAATGTATATCTATTTCAGGTAACATCAAACTTCTAGTTTAAGAAAATAGAGAAGAGTTTAAAAAAAGGTACCCATCAAGCAAACACGATTTCACACTGTACTAGTTCTCCCCTTACGACTTTACTTGAAGGTAATTTTACAAAGGACTGTCAAGAGAATTCTTGTAACTTAACTCACAGGAGTCTCAATCACATTATTCATATTCTAAATTAATTGGAGTATTAGTCTTTCATTAGCGATAAAGGTAGAGAGAAAGGCAATGTTTGAAGATGTCTCGACTTTTCATTTCATCAGGAACTCAGGGAGATTTCAAGTATGGATTGGTTTGTTCTATGGTATTAATAAAATACGCCTATACTTAACAGAAGAATATATTTACAGGTGAAATCCTTACACAATCAATCTAGGTAAATAATTCAAGAGGGATCTATTTTAAACCTATAATTATAAGGAAATTAAAGTCTAAAGACTTGAGACTATGCTGTTTTGAATCGAGAGAACTATCTATAGCACTAAATTATTTACACCAACTATCCTTCTCTATAATAGTTCTTAATTCATATGTAAATTGGAAATTATTTTAACATATCAGAACATAAGCAGGGAAGATTAAAACAAGGGACAGTACAGAAACTATTAAAACAAGGGACTATATGGAAAACTGCTACATTTTGTGTAAACACAATTATCCCACAATAAATTTTTTCCCAAGCACATAATTTATATCATGAGTTCAAACATAATAATGGGGGCTATGCATACCTGTACTTCCTCTTCTGAGACACATTTATGGCATAAGCATTTACAGAGCCATCCACCTTTTTCCCCTGGAGGAAAGCAATAAACAAATATTAAAAACAGAAAGGATATATTAAATGCCCTGATGCAGAGCTGGATCTTATAGACACATTTAAATGGCAAGATCCATTTAAGTATGGGGTAATCCAATCAGAGAAAGAGAATTTTTAGATCCTGATGATATCCTATGAACCCCCAAGTGTTACAACTCTCTGTCCACATTTTTATAGTCACACATAAGCAACTGAAACAATATTTAAAGCAACAAACATTCATGGTATATGTATTATGTGCAAGGCATGCAGGGAAACAGGGTAGCAGATCCTAACCTTTTTTGGTCAAAAAAATTCTTTGAAATCAAATACAAGTTACGGCTATTTTTCTAGAAATATTCACATTCACACAAAATTTAACTTACGACTTTAGCTCACAGCATTCTCACAGTCACCATTCATCTAAATCTCATTTCTTACACAGGCCTTGCAATTTTGATTTTTAAATCAAGAATCAGAATACAGGATAACAGATGCTAATATTGTGTCAACTTCTATATTGACCTTACTTATGTGGCATTTACCCTCTTTATCACTAACTGCTTGATGAGTCTTTTTGATTCAGCCAACTCACCACACCACTTGCTGTTCCTTAGGCCTGAACTGCTTTCCCAACCCCCATCCAATCTTCAACTCTGTTTCTTATCCACCGTTCTGCCCAATCCAAATGACTGAGCTGCTAGGAAGCACCCTCTTCTCTCACTCCCAGAGAAAGTTAACTGTGCTTTCCTCACAATATCCCCCATTTTCTCCCCTGCACTATCATGATGCATATACATGGTATTATTTCTCCTATGAGACTGCAAGCTTCTTGATGGAGGGATATGGCTGCAAGTCACCTTGCCCTTCAGACATCCTAAGCTGCTGCACTTCTAGGTGCTCAGAAAATGACTCAGTTAAATGTATGAACATCACTGATCAATGCCATCTCAAACACACACACACACAAGACCCCCAACGCCCCCCAACCCCATTATTACTCATGGGAGTGTACCCTATCTGTGTAGTATACTTATCAGATATCTGATTTAGGGCCAAAAAAGTATTCCTATCCACTGACCTAAAGGCATGCACAGGTGAGGTAAATATTTGAAGTTGAACTAAATAAATATATTTGGTCTTCCTTTTCTAGTCCTATTTTTACTACATTTTGTGGTAGGGCGGTGGTGGGGTGGGATATTGGGTAAATCACAGGAGGTGTATTATTTTGACCTCCCAAGAACAGGAAATAGGCATGAGCTGGAAAGACTGGCTTGGAAAAAGAGTAAATGATGCTCACCTTTTTACTAAGTTCAATTCCTAAAGGTTTACTAATTTTTCTTTTTTTTTTTTTTTTTGAGGAAGATTAGCCCTGAGCTAACATCTGCCGCCAATCCTCCTCTTTTTGCTGAGGGAGACGGGCCCTGAGCTAACATCTGTGCCTATCTTTCTCTATTTTATATGTGGGACACCTACCACAGCATGGCTTGACAAGGGGTGCCATGTCTGCACCTGGGATCCGAACCAGCAAACCCCGGGCTGCCAAAGCGGAACATGCGAACTTAACTGCTGTGCCACTGGGCTGGCCCCAAGGTTTACTAATTTTTGAAAACTATTTGCAGAGTTGTATGTTATTAGCCCTATTTTCATTTACATGCTAGAAAAGAAAATTTTCCATTAATAAACATAACCAAACTTTGAAACTTTCTGGAATGTTAAAATGGAAGGGAAAATAAGTGATTACATTGGCATATGAAAAGGTTCCACCATAGATCAATGATGAAATATCATAAGATACACGTTACTGAAAAACAGAAACGGGCTGAGGGATTTTACAATCAATAGTCATGAAGCCAACTGCATAAGAACTAAATTAACATCCATGTAGATGTCATTAAAAAAATAATGACATCGGGGCTGGCCCCGTGGCCGAGTGGTTAAGTTCGCGCTCTCCACTGCAGGCGGCCCAGTGTTTCGTTGGTTCGAATCCTGGGCGCGGACATGGCACTGCTCATCAAACCACGCTGAAGCAGCGTCCCACATGCCACAACTAGAAGGACCCACAACGAAGAATATACAACTGTGTACCGGGGGCTTTGGGAAGAAAAAGGAAAAAAAAATAAAAAATCTTAAAAAAAAAAAAAAATAACTGACATCATTTGTTCTGGTGGTACTTCATAATTTTTATGGGATCTATGAATTCTCACCTAATTTTTCCTTTATAAACAAACATCTTTAGCACAGACTACATTTAAAAGTGAAGTGTGGCTCCATCTTTACATATGATTCTCAGAGATTTCAAACGTAACAGCAGGCAATAGCAAAAAAAAAAAAAAAAGAATTACACTGAATTCCTTTCCTATTCTTCTAAAATACCAAAATTATAGTTGCCTTACTTTGGAGATATTTTTATTCATCCAATACATATATCAATAAACCATTTCACTTACAAAATATTCTTTGGAAAACAAGATTTGGTATATTCAAGGGAAAAAATCTGATACATAAACTGCATTAAATTCCAAAAGTGGGTTCACATAACCATTTGAGAGAACAAGAGCTCATTCTTAATTTTCTCACCTCAAAACAGTCATGCCCCAGTGCTCCTCTTAGGTCATACACCGCCATTTTAAGGAAACGTGTGAGCTCTACATGGCACATCAGTTAGAGAGAAACTCTTACAGCATCTGAGATTAGGGGAAGTTGATTATTTTTGACATTTTTCCTCAGAAGTCTCAATTTCCATTTGCAAAACTAAATGGACTTAAAATTCTAGAAAACAAAGTTTTAAAAATATATTCTCTTTCCACACACACTCTCCCTGTCTATCCTGACCAGCTCCCTCTCTCCATCCCCCTCTCTTCCCCTCTTGTCATTTCCTTTCTCTCCATTTCCCCCTCCCTTATTTCTCTACTCCTATCTCCCTCTACTCTCTCCCCCTCCCTCCCTAAAAGCCCTCTCTTCATCTCCCTCCCTCTTTTTCCTCCCCCACTTCCTTATTCTCTCCAGTATTACGATCAAGGCTAGACAGCATTCACTCTCCAATCCACCCTTCTTCTGAGCGATGAGATATGTATGCGGCTACCCAACGTCATCTTTATCTGTCAGCTGAATTTCACTCTCCTGTTTCACAGCATTCCTCCTTTCTACAATCTTTTCTTGGTTAACCGTACTATCACCCAGTCTTTCATCCTGTTACCTCAGAAACATCACTGACTACTCACTCCCACTCCCACCACCACCACCACTACCCCTGCTTCCTGAATGGTTCTCAATCTGCCGTCCCCTTCTCTCACTTCAGGCCTTCACCATCTTCCACTTGCACAACTCAGCAGTTCTCCTGCCTCCAGTCTAACCCACCTCCCATCTGTCCTCCATGCTACCCCAGGTCATCCTTCTAAAACACACATAGAATCCTGGCATCCTCTTGCTTAAAAATCATTGCTTCCTTTCCACAATACCTAAAGAATCAACTCTGAATGCCTTAGCATGGCTAAGGGTATCAAAAGCCCTCACTGATTTGCCTCCTACCTCTATTTCTAGCCTCGTTCGTACTTACTAGCCCATCAGCACCCTTTCACCAGTCACTGAATTTGAAATTCCCACAATACACTATGCTCCTTCACACCTACAGGGTATTTTCATGAGCTCTTTCCTCTACTTCAAATGATCTTCCTGCTCTTCATCTGATCTCCTTTAAGGTCTAGCTCAAACATCCCAGGCAAACACTCCTTGAATTCCAACAGCAGCTCACTGCTTCCGTCTCTGCACTCTCAAGGCCCTTCTCACAGACAGTTGTATCAACGCAAGAAATTACAAGTGATAGTAAAAGAATCTGGAAAAACGGGACAGTCATAATGGATTAATTCAAATGAGAATGCTTAACTGGCTGCATGTTTTACTTACTTTGGTGGAGTCAAAGGAGGCAAATCCCATTAGCTTCATCATTTCTATTTCTTCCTCGGTTTTGCCCTCTAAGTCTTCTTCTGCAAAAGTAAGTGATAATTTTTTAATTTAATTTTTTTTTTTTTTTTTAAAGAATGGCACCTGGGCTAACAACTGTTGCCAATCTTCGTTTTTTTTTTTTTTGCTGCTTTATTTCCCAACCCCCTCCCCCCGCCGTACACAGTTGTATATCTTAGTTGCAGATCCTTCTAGTTGTGGGATGTGGGACGCTGCCTCAACGTGGCCTGATGAGTGGTGCCATGTCCGCGCCCAGGATCCAAACCCTGGGCTGCTGCAGCAGAGCGTGAGAACTTAACCACTCGGCCATGGAGCCGGCCCCCAGTGATAATTCTTTTAACTCTATCATTTTATATATATAAAAAGAGAGATGGCAATAGATTAACAGTCATTCCACCTCACCAGCAGAGAACATACAAAACAATTAGCTAAAGACTTGAGTCTAATGAAAGAAAACGCCTCTTCATTTTGGACAGAATGTTACTTAAGGTACAAGGAAGGAATGTGCTCTCTATCCTCCATCTGAAGAGACTGCTTAAAAGGACAAGCCTGGAGCCTTTAGGCAGGACCACCTTTAAAATCAGGCATGACACTGGCTTTGAAAGTACTTCCAAAATAAAATATTCTCATGTTTTTACTTGTCCTTCCTACATTAGGAGCACCACAGATAACCAGCAACTCACTAATGAACAATTAAAACAATCTTAAAACCATATGCAAAGAACACTATAAAAAACAATATTTAAATGTTCAAAAATTATACTTTTATAATTTTATCATGACTGATATTATCTAAACAAGGCTGTATTTTTCCTACAGTTATTTATTTAACAACATTACCAGTAATCTGACGTTCTTTGCTCTTTGTTTCTTTTGTTTCTTTCTTTTCCTCGTCTCTTCTTTCTTTCAATCGAGAAGGGGAAGGAGATGTGGATCTATGTCGTCTTGGGGATCTAATATTTAACAAGTAAAAATGTCAGAAACAGACACACCCAGTGAGATGTGTCGATCAGCACAGATATACATGAGTGCCTGAAAGGGAAAGGCTGAGCGAAAACCAGGCTCCAGAGAACCAGGGCTCCACTCCCCAGAGCAGAATGTGCAAGGATCTGCCTAGGTCCTGATAGTTACTAAAAGATCGAAAAAACAGTTTACTGTTTAATCATCAGTCTTACTCAGTATAGCTAGGGCTAAAAAATTTTTTGTAAGGCAGAAAAATATAACTAGGCAGTTTCTAACAATTGGACACAAACACACAAAAAGTTGACTTAAACAGCAACTGACACTTAACAAGAATCAAGAGTCCCTTTCTAAGGTTCTTTCAAGATCTCACATTCTTGATTACATCCTTGAATAAATGGTTATCGCCAAAAAGCTAATAAAAAACAAAACAAAAATACAAAACACCTATTTCTTACTCTTGCCAAACACCTTGCTGAGTGCTTTTCATGTATTATTTCTCATTTACTCCTCAAGGCAACTCTAGGGTATGGAGAGTGTTAATTACACCCCATTTTACCAATGGAAATGTTAGGTTTAGCATAAAGTGAGTTTAAGTTCCCTTCATTTCATGAAATTGTAAATTCTCTTATAAGTGATAAAAACAAAGTTAAAGGCAGTGACTAGTTTCTCTGAGGCTTGTGGTGAAAGTTTTGGTTATTTTCTGCACTCACCTGGAGCGTCTTCTGTGCGGGGATCGAGAGCGGCTCCTTCTCCGATCTCTCTCCCGGGACCGGGACCTTTCTCGGCGTCTGCGTTCTCTCTCCCGGGACGTGGACCGGGACCGCCTACGCTCTAATACAAACACACGAAATCACACAACCACAAAATTACCTCAAATATCTGGAGCTGAGCTATCCAAGAGAAATATCATGAGAGCCATTTCTAGTAGTGACATTAAAAAAGTAAAAAGAAGCAAGTGGAATTAATTTTAACAATATATGTTATTTCACCCAATACAAACTATTTCAACATGTACTCAGTATAAAAAATTATTGATGACAGACTTTACATCCTTTTTTGGGTACTAAATCAAGGAAATCCGGTGTGTATTCTACACTTAAACAGCACTTCTTAATTCAGAATAAGCACTTTTTAAGCGCTTAATAGCCATGTGTGGATCACGGCCTCACTTAACTTTTAAGAAAATCCAGTCTTGGATAGTTGAAGGTGATAAAATCTAACCAGGGGGCAGAACCGAGGGTCTAAGTTAGATCTCCTGATCGAAGTCCTGGGTTCTTTACATCGCACTACCTCGTTTACGGGGGTGAGGGCCAGAAAACATTACCAGGTGAGCTCCCTGGACGCAAAATTCTAAATATCGATTTCTCTATTATAAACTGCAAAAGAAACTAACAATGAGCTTTTAAGAACCAGGCAGTATCACATGCTGAATGTTAAGGAATGTGACAGTTTTTAAAGGTAGGTAATATTGCCCCCAATTCCTAATTAAGGAAATTGAGACTCAGAAAGGTTGGATGACTTGCGCACGGTCACCCAGAAATTTAGCGAGGGAACCGTGGTCTGATTCTAAATCCCCCAACCACAAGTATAACAAAAGTCATATAAGGTTGACAAAGAGTTGGCGAAACTCTAATTTTGAGGGGAAAAAAAAAACCCTGCCTTCAAACAAGAGGGCTGAAGAATCTAGGGCCCAGGTGTTCGTTCCCCCTTCCACCCCCGGTTCTCCTCCGCCGCCGCTGCTCTCGCACTGGCGGGGTCGGGACGCGCCTCCGACCGAGCCCCAGACCCTCCAAACTGCTTCTGGACTCACCCCGCCGCGGGGAGCGGCTCCGGCTGCGACCCATCCGGAGCCCTCCTCCACCCTGCACCGCCCCGGAAACGATTGTGGAACAACTTCCGGGGGGCAGGGTACTGAGCTTTCACCGCCGACTGGAAAACGGCGAAACGACTCGCGAGGGTTCCGGTGTCTAAAGAAGGGAGGCTGCGCTGAGCCACCCCAGAATCCTGCGGCCCCGCCCCAGTGCCTCCCAGAGATGCTGGTGAGAAGAGAGTTGTCATCTCGGCTCCTCCAGCCGCACTTTCGTGCTGGCGTCCCCATATTTTAGTGTCCCCTGTGAGCATTAAAATGTGCTACTTCATGTTATTCTTAGAAACGCCTGGAAAAACCCGTATATCCATCACTCTAACACAGTTCTCATTTTTCTCCCCATTTCTCTTTCCAGTTCTTGTCCATATGCATTATTTCATAAGAAACCAATCCTAAACATAGGCAAACAGTTGCACTAGGGCGGGTCAAGGGGCACAGGGAGCAAGGGGAAAGCATGGGTAAGAGCCTGTACTGTGGTTTTTGCGGGAAGGAATAGCAGAGGCAGGGTAAGCAGGCAGAGGTTTAAGATTGGCTAGTTTGAGTAATTTCAGCGGGCTTTGGGATGTAGGGGCTGTCCAGAGTTGTTTGGTACCTGGCCCTGGGGTCCCGGGGGCAAAGGAATATTGTCTTGGCGTGTGAGAGTTTGATATAGAAGGTGGTTGGAGGGTATGGGCTTTCGGTTGGCTGCTTTACATACGAAAGGCACACTCAAAAGGGGAGACATTTGCTATCTCTAGGAATTAGCTAGCCGCTGGGTGGAGGGGCCGTCTCAGCAAGGCCCCAAATGTCAAAACATCAGAAAATAAAAGAAATAAAAAGGCATGATTAATACAATGATTCACACATTTATTGCACACCTATGTACCAGAGGATTAATCAGTGAAAAAGATACAAGTCCGTGAGGGATACAAACAAGCAAATAATGTGAAAGGGCATTGATAGGGGAAGAACAAGATATTATGAGTGCACATAAGACCTGTACCTAACTGGTTTTGAAGGAGAGGATTGTCAAAAGTTTCCAGGAGGGAATGATGTCCAAACAAAACCTTAAGGATGAGTAGAAATTAGCCAGGTGAAATGGGCTGATGTTTGTGGTGGAGAGAGGTGGAAGAGACTGTACAGGCAGAGGTGACTGAATGTGCAAGGGCAAGAGCCAAGGGAGAGTGTGGGCTATGTAGAGAACTAAAGTATGGCAGCCACCGAGGGAGCAAGGAGCAGAATGGGCTTGTTAACCTATGGCAAAGAGTCATCCTGAGGCAAAGGCAATAGGGAGTCTTTGAAAAGCTTTAAGGACGGGAGGGAATCAGATTTGAGTTTATTCAGAGAACACTGTGGGTCATGTGGAGACTTGACTAGAGGGGGAATATAATGGGAGGCTGGTACAATAATCTAGATTGGAAATTACAGTGGCCTGTACTAGAATGGTATCAGTAGGTAAAGCGGAAAGTGGCTGAATTTGAGAAATAGTTGGTAAAACTGGAAAAACTTGATTTTTGAATGCAGAGGATGAGGGAATTAAAGATTCAAGAATGACATCCAGGTTTCTGGCTTGTGAAAGTGGGTAGATGGCAGCATCATTTGCTAAGATAAGGCATATAAAATTCTGGGGAAAGAAGATGTTCACGCTAAATGGACATGCTAATTTGAGGTGCCATTTTGAACACCCAGAGGAGATGCCAACTAAATGTGTATCTGGAACTCAGAGGAGAGATCTAGATTGGAACTACAGAGAAAGGAATCAGAACACAGATGTTCATTTGAAGCCATGGCAGTGCATGAAATCACCTGGTGCAGGCTCGGGATAGAAAAGGGCCTGGGGACCGCAGACTAAGAGGAGTCTCCAAAAGGAGACTAAGGAGTGGCCAGAGAAACAGAAGAAAAACTGGGTGTGATGTCAGAGAAGTTTAAGAGAAGACTGCTTTTTAAGAACAAAGTGGTTAACTTTGTTAGTCAATAAAAGTGAAAACACATCTAACCTATAGGATTTAGCAACAAGCTCTTTGCTGATTCCGAAGTTTTAGTGGAGTTGAGCTGTGAATGGATTTTGAAGTGGGGACAGAGTCTGGAGAACCCTTCGGAGTTTGCCTGATGATACAGGGCAAAATACGGCAGTGGGTGGAGCTAAATGTGTGACTGAAGGTTTTTCGGAGATGGGAGAAACTTTAAGCGCATTTAAATATGGGCGTGAATGAGTCAATACAGAGAAAAAAAAGTAAAGATACAGAAGAGAAAGGAAGACACAAAGGAGTAAGTTCCCTAAATGGACAGCCCTGAGATTAATCTTAGCTGGGAAGAAAAATGATGTCTCCCAATGTCCCCTGTCCCTTTAAGATGTGGGATAGACACGGGATTCTGCTGGGGCTTCCTTATTATACTGATCAAGTTGCTCTCTCTCAGGATGTAGATTATCCAGCACTGTGTATCTTCAGCACTGTATCTGGAAAAAAGTCTTCTATGCTTCTGATACATGGTTTGAGTTCCCTCATTCTAAACGCCATTTTAATGGGATTTGAGTGGGATACAGTGGGGTAAGGGCAACACTTGCGATCACACTTGCTTATAAGTTCCCTCCCCAACCAGGCAGTAATTTTTCAATAAAGGCAAACCATATTTAAAATATATGTACCCTATATAAGAACCAACATTAACCATCTGTGATTCTCTGCACGTCTTCTATCTCTAGCCTCGGTTAAATTTTGTTTTACCTTTGCTAGTCCTATTTCACAAAAAATCATTATCCTACTTTATCCTACTTTATCATTACATGTGGATGCATGCTGTTGAGTCAGTAATTTTCCCCCCATTAATGTAGTCTGACCACTAGTTAACAGTGATTGATGATGTTTGAGGCTTTTTGCTTTTATACCCCTGTACCTTGGACCCTGGGAAGAATTTCAAACTCTCTGGTTGGGGAGGAACTGTACTATGCCTTTTGTTTCTCGTTTGTTTGTTTGTTTAACTTTTTATTAAGATTATGATAGTTTACAACCTTGTGAAATTTCAGTTGTACATTATTGTTAGTCATGTTGTAGGTACACCACTTCACCCTTTGTGCCCTCCCACCACCCCCCTTTCCCCTGGTAATCACCGATCAATTCTCTTTGTCTCTATGTTTAACTTCCACCTATGAGTGGAGTGAGTCATACAGAGTTCGTCTTTCTCTGTCTGGCTTATTTCACTTAACATAATACCTTCAAGGTCCATCTATGTTGTTGTGAATGGGATGATTTTGTCTTTTTTTATGGCTGAGTAGTATTCCATTGTATATATATATATATACCATATCTTCTTTATCCAATCATCAGTTGATGGGCATTTAGCTTGCTTCCACGTCTTGGCTATTGTAAATAATGCTGCGATGAACATAGGGGTGCATGGGACTTTTGGAATTGCTGATTTCAAGTTCTTTGGATAGATACCCAGTGGTGGGATGGCTGGGTCATATGGTATTTCTATTTTTAATTTTTTGAGAAATCTCCATACTGTTTTCCATAGTGGCTGTACCAGTTTGCATTCCCACCAACAGTGTATGAGGGTTCCTTTTTCTCCACCACCTCTCCAACATTTGTCACTTTTTGTTTTGATTATTTTTGCCATTCTAACAGGTGTAAGGTGATATCTTAGTGTAGTTTTGATTTGCATTTCCCTGATGATTAGTGATGGTGAGCATCTTTTCATGTGTCTAATGGCCATCCATATATCTTCTTTGGAGAAATGTCTGTTCATGTCCCCTACCCATTTTTTGATCGGGTTGTTTGATTTTTTTGTTGTTGCCTTTTGTTTTTTTAAGTCCACATTGCTTGAAATTATGACTCATCATTTCAGGTGATTGACAAGTTATCTGTTATTTGCACCCCTGGCTCTATTATCTTTTCTATTCTTTACATGGGTTCTTCTTTAAGGAAATACCACTTCTGACATAGTTTCAATGTTACAGTCCAATATTCTAGAGCAACTTTGTTCAACAGAACTTTCTGCAGTGATAGAAGTATTCTATATCTGCACTGTCCAATACTGTAGCCATTAGTTACATGTGGTCACAATGTACTTATGATGTGCCTAATGTGACTGAGGAAGTAAATTTTAAATTTTAATTAACTTAAATTCAAATAACCACAATGGCTCTTGGTAACCCAGCTTTTGCATATGATGTTGGAAGTTGTTCATATTTGATGGTAATCCCATTGAAGGACTTGAGATGTGATAAAACATTAGCTGCTAAACACTCGGTAAAAAAGCTAGTGACCACCACTGTTCATTTAATTTTGCCTACCTTGCTGAGTTTCAAGCTAAATCCACTTTTTAAAAAAAAGAAAAGGTATATTCATTAAAAAATTTTTTTTTAATTTAAATAATTTTTAATTTATTATATTTTTTAAAAATCCTTTTTTAAAAAAGGAAAGGTATATTCATATCCCTCTTTAATAACTTAACATGAGACTCTAGAACATTTTTTCTTAAGGACCTCTTCTTTACTGATAGCCAAGCAAAATAATTATTAATGGATAAATATTGTTTTCCAGCTCCAGCAACTTAAAAAGACTTGGCAAAGGCTGTAAGTCAAAAGCTGACAAACACAAAAGCTTTCATATGTAACAGTTTGTATGCTATTTCAGCTGATACTATTAATACTTTATTGAAAATCTTCCTATTGAAAAGAATGAAAAGGACGCAAACACAAAGTATTTGGTAAGAAAACAAAAGCAGATCTTTACTATCAATGTGAAGTACTGCTGATAATTACCAGTTTCTCAAATGAGAACACAACCTACTTGTGACTGAAGAAATAGTTACTCTGTTTGTGGATGACAGAAGCAATTTGGCCAGGAAAGAACCAATGGATGGGAACCACATATAATTCCAATTTGGTTAATTTATATAAGTGAAGTGAAATAGTTAATTTTGCTCACTAATATACTCAAATTTTAATTATTTTTACTCTCAAGATTTGTAAAAATTTGATTATTCAAATCAATTTAAGATTATTTATATTTTAAATATATAAAGAATAAGGAATTTCTGATGCTATAATAAGAAAACAAAAGCATCTCTTGAAAGAGATATAATTATAGTCAAATATAAAAATAAGAAATGTAGCCTACTGAAAGAGCCAAATTATTGTATTGGAAACATTTAAACTATAGTTGTGGGGACGGAGGAGGGGGGAGACATTTAAAAGGTTCCTTTAAGTTCAAAGAGGATGAATTTTGAAAGGACAAAAGCAATTTATGAACCTATGGACATATTACTGGGGAAGAAAAACTATCAATACACTCCAAAAGTTAACCTAATTGGAAGAAATCCAACTAGAAAGAAAAAAATTCTATTTTTAACGACGTTTTTTCTTTGTTCATTTTATATAAGAGCTTATTTATTCCTTTTCCAAATGGGTATTTATTATTTGTACAGATACATAAAAATGATTCCCATTTAAAAAAATACTAAAAATATACATTAACCACAAAAAGTACTTACTCTGACTGGAAAGATGAGCATGGCTATTTTCAAAATAGCAGTAAACACAAGAAGCCAACATATATAAATCATGACAAGTGTACATCTCATTTTTGACAAAAATAAGTTCTATTTTTACATTAATGCTTTATTATCAGCTTCTATATGAGATCCTCCAACCTTATTTACATTTACTATGAAATTTCTATTAGCATGTGTAACTCAAAGGCACTCAATTCAGAGGTTATAAAGTCCTGAGCTTAAGTAGGAAATAGGATTCCCAACTAAATTTGAACATAAATAATTCTAAAGATCAAAGAATATGAAAATGTTTAAAGTATAATATTTGGTACAGAAATAATCCATGACCTAATAATAGAGTTGTACAGAATGTCAAAGAAAAGACCACGTAAGGCAAAGGATTATCCTCAGAATCAAACTGATTTTCTCCCCTAATAAGTTCATTTGAGAGTCTAAGCTGATTTTTTTGTTGTTAAAATCCTACGAAAGCTAAATTAAGAGCAAAATAAAATAGCCTGAAAATGCTTAAGTCAAATAAAAAGTTCCCCAGCTTAAGTCTCCAAAACCATGGAAAAAGTATTTAACAATTAAAAACAAGTATAGATTGGAAGGATATTAGAATAGGAGGAGGAATCATAAAGAGCAGTTGAAAAAATTAAAGGACGGCTTTAAATGCACCAATTGAAAGAGCATTTGTAATTGGCCATTCAGCTGATTCCTTTAGCATTCTTTTAGCCAAATAAAAGTAAATTCACAGATGGATAACTGAGGTTCACTAACATTAGGCAGGATCAGAGTTTAAGCTGAAAGCTAAATCTATATTTGGCTGCAGAGAAATGTGAAATGTACCTACAGTGATTTTCTACTGGTGCTAAATTAAAAGCATGAGTCGACATCTTTCTAACAGAAATGGTTTCACAGATATTTTCTTGGCTTTAAAATGTTTTTTTCATATATGCATAGAAATGTAATGAGGGTAAGAACAGTCTTCTGTATTATCTGTACAGTTCATAAGGCCTTTGTCATTGTTAGTCACCTTGGATGTGAATATCAGTAGGGCCATTAAATTAAAGCTGGCCAAAGTTTTCAAAGTGCTACTGTTTCCAACTGATGAGATTCTCAGTTTTCTGGATTTTCTGGATGACGATTATTTTCAGTTCTTTTTTCCGGTGATATATATAGGAAATTGCAGCAGATATATAAAGGGAAGATCAGAAGCCTGCTGTCCAAGTTCATCACTACTTGTTCCTATAAAACAAATTTATAGCTTTAATGACAGGACAAGTAGATAGTAATATTAAAAAAATAAAACAGAAAATCAAACTGTTGAATTGAGTGAAGTGAAGCAGATCGTATGGTGGTTAAGAGCTTGTTTCTAGAGTCTGAGAATCACAGCTCAAATCTCAAAACTCACATCCACTAGCTGTGTGACCTTGGGCAAGTCACTAACCTTGTCAACTGCAGCTTCCTCACTGTAAACTGGTGACAATAAGAGTACCCACCTCATAGGATTACACTGAGGATTAAATGAGACAATGCACATGGAAGGCTCAGCAAAGTCAGCCATATACGAAGTATTCAATAACGGTAGTTATTTTCATTACTGAAAAATTTCTATCAAGTACCTACATAGTTTGTGAGCAGATATAGTCCAGAAATATACAGACTTCTCATTTGGCTTTGTTTTCTGATGGCCCTTAGGTACAGCAAATAATTATAGGGGGGAGTCACCAACAAGCATGATTCTCATTCTTGTCTAAGATTTCCTCCCGTCTCTAATGCAAAATGTTATTTGTCTCTTGGAACATAAAATACATTATCATGTAAAATCAATTTCAGTTTCAGTTACGTCAATACAAATGAGAATGCCTTGAAATCACACAGAGACAGGAATTGATACTGCACCTGAGAGACACAAATGTAACCATCTCTCATGCTACAGATCTCCATTTGGAACCCTTTACCATAGCATTTGGTGTGAACAGAATAAATCCTCAGAGTTAACAGCAGCAGCACTAAAATGAGAACTATTTTTTTAATACTTGGATACATTCTCTGCAGTAATATGTATTAATTTCACTTTATTTTATACATTTTGGAGAATATACTATTAAACACTGTTTAAATTTAGAGGTTTTAATTTTTTACTGAGGAACACGTTCCTGCAATGAAGACGGACTAAAACTGAAATATTTGAGTGACTGACGCAAGCTCAACTGGGCACAGCTTCTGTGTTGGGGGAGTAGCAGATAAACTGGATAAAGAAGGTAAGGAATACAAATGTGACCCAAACACACACACACACATATACGCGTGTGCATGATATCTGTATATACCCCAAAACAGGGAAAGTGGTGTTTTTAAAAAAAAATGTTAGAGAACCAGATGGAAAAGATGATGGGGTCAGGTGCTAACTGGGTTAGAAGAGAAGAATGAGGTCAAAGCATAGCTCATCTTTAGATGCTTGAGTCACCCTGACCTAGGCAGTTGGTAGCAACAACCCAGGTGAAGGCATATTTACTAAATCTGTTGAGGACATATGCTTTGACGATATGTATATTGATGATAAAAACCAAGATTCAGCACCACAACAAAACAAAGACTCTGAGGAGGATTAGTATTCTGGTATTTGAACATAGTTAAGGTTGGGGTGGGGGGTCAAAAGGCCAACTCCAGGAAAACAAGGGAACCATGTAGACATCTCTTGGGAGCTGAAAGGATACACCAATTTCTGAATATTAAATTGTATTAATCCCCATATCTGACACTAGCTTCAGCAAACCTCTAACTCCATCTGAGGGCTCAGTTTACATCTACATTTGCATTGAAGCACCATAAAGTTCCACTTTCCTCCTTCTGCTATGGAGTGGAAGCTGAGACGCCCACACATCACAGCATCAGACAGAGTGGCAGTATCTTCCCGAGTTTCCATTTCTACTTCCAGACCATTATTTCTCCATCTTCATTTATAAATCCCTGCTTCTCTGAGGCTCATGCCACTTATTCTGTACTACACCCCTATTACTTCCCCATATTCTACTGTATAGGTCTAAATTCCAGGATCCATAAATCCAATTCCCTACTGGAAATCTTCCCTTAGATATAAAGCAACTCAAATTCAAACCATCAGCTACTGGCTACTACCTATTCTTTCCTTTCTTTCTTGGCCTTCTATACTTTCACTCTTGAAATTTGGCTTTGACTCCCCATCCCAGCTCCTGAATGTGTCACCAGGTTACTTTTTTTGCCCACTCCTTAAATACCAGTGTTCCCTAGGTTTCCATCCTGTCATACTCTCCAGGCATTTCCTGTAGGTTATCTCATCCAATCATTTTTTTCTAGCCCAGGCATTGCTTATAAACTTCAGATCCTTTTACCCACTGGCCTGTCAAATTTATACCTCAATGCCCTCAAATTAAATATGCCTTAAACTGAATTCAACATCTCTTCACCCTCACTTTAAGTCATGTTCATTTTTCTTCCTCTAATTCAAATCTGAGGAAAAATTACTACTATATATATATATTTTCTTTTTTTGTGAGGAAGATCAGCCCTGAGCTAACATCCACTGCCAATCCTCCTCTTTTTGCTGAGGAAGACTGGCCCTGAGCTAACATCTGTGCCCATCTTCCTCTATTTTATATGTGGGATGCCTGCCACAGCATGGCTTGAGGAGCAGTGTGTAGGTCTGTGCCCAGGATCTAAACTGACAAACCCTGGGCCACTGAAGCAGAGTGCACGAACTTAACAGCCACACCATGGGCCAGCCCTGAAAGATTACTACTATAAATCAAGTTGCCCAAGTCAGAAAACCAGGAACTATCTTTGACTACTTACTTTCTCACCTTCGCACACAATTAGGTGCCAAATTCTATCACTTGCACTGCTTTATTTCTAGAACCCAAAGACATTTCTTTATCTCCATTGCTACCTTCCTTAAACTGAGGTTCTCATTATTTCTTATCTTTATTATAGCAGTAGCTTCTAAATCGTCTTCCTGCCATTATGATGTCTCTAATCCTTCTTACGTATTGCTGAGAGAGCTTTCTGTAAAGCAAATTTAGTTAACATAGTCCTATAAGATGGATAGTTGTAAAATAAATATACAAAAATCAGTAGCTGGGGCCGGCCCCACGGCTGAGTGGCTAAGTTTTCGCGTTCTGCTTCGGCGGCCCAGGGTTTTGCCAGTTTGAATCCTGGGTGCAGACATGGCACCGCTCATCAGACCATGCGGAGGTGGCATTCCACATGCCACAACTGGGACCCACAACTAAAAATACACAACTATGTACCAGGGGGCTTTGGGGAGAAAAAGGGAAAATTAAAATCTTAAAAAAAAAATCACTAGCTTTCCTATATGTCATCAAAAACTACAGAAAAAAAGATTCAATTCATATTAGCAATTAAAATATAAAATATTTAGCATTATACTTCTAGGACATACATAGAATTAATATGGGGGAAAACTAAACTTTAGAGAGAGACCTAAATAAATGTAGAAAATACCATATTCCAGAAGGGAAAAATGTCAATTTTCCACAAATTACTCTATATATTTAACAAATATAAATAAAAATTCTCACAGGAATTTTTGAGAGGAGGCTTGACAAAATGATTCTATACCTCATACAGAAGAATAATCATACACAAAGAACCCAGAGATTTTTGAAAAGAGAAGAATGAAGGTGGGTTTGCATTACTAGGTATTAAAAATTCATTTTAAAGTTAGTCTAGTTAAAACAATGTATTGTCTCTACAACAAAGAAATCAATAAAACATAACAAAGTTCAGAAATGAAATCAAGTATATAAGGATTTAGCATAGGATAAAAATGGCCTTTCAAATACATTAATACATCTAATACACTTCAGATGTATCATCAAAATACTCCAATGTGAAAAATTAAATGAAAAGATAGAAAAAATACGGATATAATCCTAGTTAGAAGGCCTGATCATCACACCAAAAGAAGAAATCATTAAAGGGATAGGCTGATAGAGCATTTCATGAAGGTTGAGAGACAAATGACGAAATGGTAAAACTATAGCATATCACAAATGTTATTATTCTTAACATATAAAAGTTGTTAAACATTAACAAAATATAAATACCTTAATAAAAATTTAAACAAAATAAAGTGTCAATTTACACAAGATAATATGTCCAAGAAACATACAAAAAACCAAAGAGATGAAAATTAAAACAAATACAATTTGTTTCCACTTTTTACATTGGAGGAAAGATTGGAAAGAATGATAATATACTATGTTGGGTATACTCTCCTATACTGCTGGAGGGAATGTAAATTGGACAGTATTTTTAGAGGGCAATTTGGCCATTAGAAAATGTATACACCATTTGACAGGAATTCCATTTCTTGGAATTGATCTTTTTAAAAATCAGAAAAATGTACAGACATATGTACATTTTTTTTACAATAATAAAAAAACAACAAAAAGGGAAGAATTATTTAAATTACGGTATATCCAAAATAACTAAATATTATGCAGTAATAAAAATGATGTTGTGGATATATATTTATTGACAACAAAAGCTATGTACAAGTGGAGAAAAAGCAGATTACAGGATAGTTAACAGTAAGATCCAATTTCGGTGTCATTTCTAAGTGGGGTATGGATGATTTTTCTTTCTGCTTATTTATATTTTCTATAACAAACATCTATAACTCACGTAAACACACATATACGACTCCCCAACTAAAATCCTTCCATAGCTCTCTACAGATCTCAGGAAAAAGTCCAAACTCTATCCACAGCCCATGATGCCCTGGCTCCAGTCCTACTGAACTCTTCCCCACTTCTTTCAGTTCCCTGAATGACTCACGTGCTCCCTTGCCTCCATCTTACTCGTCATTTGAGATTTGTTTCAGATATCCGTTCACTTTTCAACTTTTCCAGGAGAGGACATTTTCCCTGAGTTGTCTTCCCTTCTTGTCCTCTCCCAATAATGACACCTGCCCCCAACCCCGCAGTAAGGGTTACACACTACTCTGAGCTCATTTCTATCATGCTACTTATATTAAGCTATACAACATAAGCTCCTCTTTATTTCCTCCACTCCTAGCATAGAACCTAGCACGCAGCAGGGACGCAAATGTTTGCTGAACGAACAAATCAAGAAACACTTGGAATACAACTATTTTCTTGGCTTGGTGCTTTTTAAGTGTCTGGCTGCTTTGAGCCATGACAATATTTGTTTTATGAAGTTCCAGGTAGACCGTAAGTATAGCCATTGTCTATGCAGCTCCGAGGGCACAGGGGGGACCAAGAGAGAATTCCAATGGAGGCAGATTTGAACTTTCTTATTACAGTGTATCTACCTCCTCAAATACTACCTGCCACATGAGAGTCAGCTCTCTGTTGCTAGAGTCCTAACAATGGGTGAGGGATCCTTTGTAAGAACGCTGTCCGAAGGCTCTCACACAGGGCATGTGAAGGCTGAACTATCACTTGCAAGCTTCCTTGCAAGTAAATTCTGATGTTCTATGAGATTCTTTCAGTCTGAGGGATACTTCTAATAATTTGTATGAACTCTAGGCTCCGAACCCTTTATTACAACAGTATGTCTTTGGAATGCTGGTTCATTTTAATAGAAACAAACTTCCTCAATATTTTAACAGCTCATTTTATTATATTTTTTTGTGAGGAAGATTGGCCCTGAGCTGATATCTGTTGCCCATCTTCTTCTTTTTGCTCAAGGAAGATTGTTGCTGAGCTAATGTGTCTGCTAATCTTCCTCCATTTTGTGTGGGATGCCCCCATAGGCACAGCTTGAAGAAGGTGCTAGGTCTGCACCTGGGATCCAAACCTGCGAAGCCTGAGTCACTGAAGCGGAGTGTGTGAACTTAACCACTATGCCGCTGGGCTGGTCCTCATTTTACTTTATTTTTTTTTTAGGAAGATTAGCCCTGAGCTAACATCTGCTGCCAATCCTCCTCTTTTTGCTAAAGAAGACTGGCCCTGAGCTAACACCCATGCCCATCTTCCTCTACTTTATATATGGGATGCCTGCCACAGCATGGCTTGACAAATGGTGCTTAGATCCACACCCAGGATCTGAACCAGCAAACCCCAGGCTGCCGAAGCGGAATGTGTGAACTTAACTGCTGTGCCACTGGGGTGGCGTCCCTCATTTTACTTTTTGAAAGTGGTTTACTATCTCATCATGACATTTTGAAACTTTCACATGCACGAAATAAACAAACAAATGGCCTTAAAAAGAACTTTGGGAACAGATGTCTGTCATTTTAGAAACCTGTTGTGTTAGAGGATAATGTTCTCTTAATATTCAGGAGCTACAGGGACGTACTGGATTATCTTCCAGGTGTCTGCTATTAATATATAAATAAATGCATTCATGAACACAATGGGTAAAGCAATTAAGATTTGTAACTTTTTGAAGATGATATTCAGGATAAACAATTATTTCCCTATTATCAGCTTTTCCCTGCTCCTCAAGTTTAATTGTTTTCTTTTTTCTTTTCTTGTCTTACATTTACAGCAGAATGGGATAAATTATGCAGAAGTAAACATGGCACTTCCATCTTTACCTTCAAAAAACTTTCAAAACAATCTTTAAATCAAATGTTAATTCTACTTAGGAATTTTCAAAAGAGGATTCAAAGGACAAATACTATAATGAAACACTGAACAGAAAAGTAATCCAACATACCTGATCCTTTTCAAGTGTAAGTATTTGATAGCCAGTTGTTCGACTACATATTAGTTTTCCACTACTATCAAAAGAGGCCAAACGTAATCTAGGATTAAAAAAACCACACCAATAAAAAAATAAACATGATTTTTAAATCACAGATTAATTTAAATAAGCCCTCCCTCACTTTAATACTTATTTTTTCTTCCATATTCTTTATAAGTCTTTTGATAAAAGACTTTAAAAAGTCTTTTCAAACTATGATTCCATTTAGATTTACAAGCTTGTGCTATTATACATATCTGAGATATAAAAATAATTCATAAATATGCCTTTTTTATTGTGGTAAAATATACATAAAATTCACCATTTTAACTATTTTTAAGTGCACAGTTCTTGGCATTAAATACATTCATACTGTTCTGCACTCATCACCACCATCCATCTCCAGAACTTTTTCATCTTTCTCCATCTAAAACTCTGTACCCAGTAAACACGAATTCCTCATTTCCCCTTACCTTAGCCCCTGACAACCACCATCCTACTATCTGTATCTATGAATTTGTCTACTCTAGGTACCTCATAAGTGGAATCATACAATATTTGTTCTTTTGTGACTAGCTTATTTCACTTAGCATAATGTCTTCAAGGTTCATGTGGCAGCATGTGTCAGAATTTCCTTCCATTTCAAGGCTGAATAATATTCCATCGTAGGTATATACTACATTTTGTTTATCTATGGACATCTACTGATGGACACTTGGGTTGTTTCCATCTTTTGGCTCTTGTGAATAATGCTGTTATGAAAATGAGTGTACAAATATCTGTTGGAGTCTCTGCTTTCAATTCTTTTGAGTAAATGCCCAGAAGAGGAATTGCTGGATCACAGGGTAATTCTATGTTTAATTTTTTGAGGAAGTGTCATACCATTTTCCACAGAGGATGCATCATTTTACATTCCCACCAGCAATACACAAGCATCCAATTTCTCTAAATCCTCATCAATGCTTGTTTTATTTTGGATAAAAGCCATCTTAATGTGAGGTGGTATCTCATTGTGGTTTTGATTTGCATTTCCCTAATGATTAATGATATTGAGCATCTTTTCATGTGCTTATTGAGCATCTATATATCTTCTTTGAAGAAATGTTTAAGTCCTTTGCCCATTTTTGACTTGGGTTGTTTGTTTCTTTGTTGTGGAGTTTTAGGAGGGGTCCATATATTCTGAATATTAACTCCTTATCAGAAATGTGGTTGGCAAATATTTTCTCCCATTCCATGGGTTGCCTTTTCACTCTGTTGATAGTGTCCTTTGATGCACAAGAGTATTTAGTTTTGGTGAAGTCCAATTTATCTTTTTCTTCTGTGTCATATTGAAGAAATCATTGCCAAATCCAACATTAAAACTTTTACCTCATGTTTTCTTCCAAGAGTTATTTTATAGTTTTACCTCTTGTGTTTAGGTGTTTGATCCATTTTGAGTTATTTTTCGTATATGATATAAGGTAAGTATTAAATATATGACTTTAAAAAAACCCGTTCATTAAGCGATTTTCTATTTATCAGCATTCTCTCCAGAAAAATATTGCCAGTACAACTATCAGGCAAAGGTGGACATAGAAAATCCTATAGAAAGTGAAGGATAATACCAGACATGTTTTCCTGGAAAAATACCTTCTTGTATTTCCAGTTCGGACCTTTTACCTGCAAGGAGTAGCAGCAAGGCAACAGCTTCAAGCGCAGTATCCATCCCTCATCATTCATATTCCAGCCTATTCTTTCTCCCTGACATATTAGATCTGGATCTTATGATTTTGATTGTTAATAATATTTCATAGGAATGGAGGCTTATCATTTTCTTGCACATTTATATATATTGTATCTTATCAAAGTTCTACTATTGTTGTGTAAATTATCAAGGTTTTACCATTTCTTATATTTCTTCTAGAGTGAGCAGGAGTGGGGTAGGAAAATTGCATCCTACCTAAATGCTATGCTTCTTCGAGGTTGTAAACTGACGGATCCGCTACATGGCTGGTTCAGTGTATTGCGTTTGAAAATGATGTATCGATTAGTGTAAGTTACAAGCAGGTCAAAGCCGAAGTTAAAACCTGTCCACCGCCAGCAGTACTAAGAATGCAAAAGAGGAAGATTTACTTCAGTTTTTCATACTAGCAAGTCACAAATAAAAAGTTCAAAATGTCTTTTCTTTCTGTGACTCATTCCAAATATTTCTCTCATGGGTCCCTAATTTTGTCAGTGCCTTTCCCTTAAGGCTTAACACCGAATATATTTATGAATAATTATAAGGGTTTGCCACATAGATACAGAATATATCAAAGCCAGAAAAGCAGCCTTTATGATTATTCCTTGAGGTACTTTCCTAATATCGCCTCTTCATGGTCTGTTTCGTTCTCTCTCCACACTGTAATTCTATCATAAGTAATATGGCTTTTCACTGCAACTCTAAGTAGATATAGTTTAGGGGACTAGGAGTCTAGATAGAGGTAATAAGAACCCATTACAACCTATCTTGCTTTAAAAATACTCTAAAATACCTTAAGGAACTGGCCAACAGATACACAACGGAGTTATTTTAAATACCATCATGAGGGTCACAAGTTTGTTTATTCTATTGCCTAATAATTAAAGAGAGACTATTAAGTAAGGTGGTGTCGTACAGTGAGGTAAAGTTAGGACTTCAAGTGTTTGGTTAACACTCTGAATTACAACATTAGTTCACTAGTTCACTGATATTTATTGAGCACATATAATGTGCTATGTACTACTCTAGGTATTGAAGAAACAGCAGTAAATAAGTTTCTGCCCTAGTAGAATGTATATTTTAATATGTGTATATGTTTGTGTGGAAGGAGATGAATAATATATATGGCACAGAATGGAAGACAACAGAACTGAACAGAATGCCAGGAGAAAGTGACAGGGTAGAGGAGGGGCTTCCAGTTGGGGAGCCGGCTGGTTCAGACTGGTGGTCAAGCAAGGTCACTTTAAGGAGATACTAGGTGAGTAGAGTCCTGAGTCAACTAAGGAGTAGACCAGGTAGCTATCCGGGGAAAGAGTGACTTAGACAAAGAAAACAGCAAGTACAAAGGTCTGGAGGTAAAAACATGCCGGGCATATTTGAAGAACAGAAAGAAGGGCAATAACTGAGAGGGACAGAGGAGATGAGTTCAGAGAGTCAGTCAGGGGCCAGAACACTAGGGCCTGTTAGTTCATAGTAAGGAAGAGTTTGGATTTCAAGTGTAGTAAGAGGCTAATGGAAACTTTTAGGGAACAAAGTAACAAGCTCTAACTTGCATTTGAAAAAGATGACTTTGGCTGTTGTATGGAAAACAGAATGTAGAAGAGCAAGAGGCAAAATAAGGAGAGCAGTTATGAGGCTACTACAACAGCCCAAGCAAGAGAGAACGTCGGCCTGGACTTGGGTGGTAGTGGTAGACATGCTAAGAATATATTTTGAAGGTAGAACCTGCAGGAATTTCTTATGGATACCAGGTGTGGTATGAAAGAAGGAAGAATCCAAAGTTTGCAGCTTATGCAATGGATGAAAAGAGGGGCCATTTATGGTTTGGAGAATCCTTGGGAAGGAGGAAGTTTGGGGATGAAAATAAAAGAGTTCACCTTGGGACTATCTGAGATGCTATTAGGATTCTAAGAAAGATTTCAAATGAGTAGCTGAATATATGACTCTTGAGTTAGGAATCATCAGTGTAAAGTCACGAGACTAGATAAGATCACTTGGGAGTGGACACAGATAAGAAAGAAGCCCAAGTACTGAGACTCGAGTCACACCAACACTAGCTGACAAAGAGCAGAAAGATTTAGCAAAGACTTAGAAGGAGCAGTCAATGAAGCAGGAGGAAAACCAGCTGAGTATGCTGTCCTGGAAGTCAAATGGAGAAAATGTGCAAGAAGGAGTGAATGAACAGACATGTCATGCTGCCAAGAGCTTTTGGAAGACTAAAAACTAACTACTTGATTTGGCAATGTGGAAATCACTGGTGAGAATGGCATGGCAGTTTCACTGGAGTTCACTGGAGTAAACGAATTGGAGTGAATTAAGAGAGCATCAGAAAACAGGAAGTATAGACAACAGATACAGACAAGTTTTTTTTTTTTTGCTTAAAAAGGTGCAAGGAAATGGAGTGGTAGCTAGAGGAGAATGTCAGGGTTTGAGATGGGTGATGCTGCAGCATGTTATATGCTAAATGAGAATGATGCAGTAAAAGAGAAAAACTAATGATGCAGGAGAGGGAGGTGGTAACTGTTGGAGCTTTTGAATAGCTGAGGGGTGGAGGCCATTACAAGGGGAGGGGATGGACTAGGACAGAAGCAGACGGTCATCCTCTAATAAGAGGAAAAGCACAGCGCACAGCTACAGATGCAGGTAAACTGGTAGAATTGTTGGTGGGAGGATGTACAGATTCTCTTCCCATTGCTTTTATTTTCCCAGTGAAGAAAAAAGTAAGGCCATCAGGTAAGAATGAGGGTGGCAGCATTGCCCTTTTGAGAAGGTATGAGTTACTCAAAGAGTGGGACGATAAATTCACTAGGAAATGTAAGAGGATCACCATGGAGCAATAGAGACCTGCTTGAAGTTTACAGTTACAGACATTCAAGAGAGCTTTACTGGGGTATGGTGTTTTTCTTTAGCCACATTCATCTGTTTGGAAGCAGACATGAAGTACATGAAAAGCTGGGATTTAACAAGAATTGGGGTTTAGCCAGGTGAGCCTGAGAGAGTGAAAAGGGGAAAAAAGAAGTTAAGAGTAGAAGCCAGGGACCAATTTTAACATGAAACATAAAATATAAGTCAAGTAAAGAAAGTAGTAGGGATGTGTTGAGAGGGGTAATGGGAAAAAGGTAGTAAGAAAAATGTATTATACATTTTGGTGGGGTTAAAAAATGGTTGGAATCCAGGTATTAGAGGGAGGGTGCTAGAAAGATGATGGGAAGCAGAAGCTGAACACGGTTATGCTTGAAATGAAGATTTTTGATGGGGGTGTATTAATTAGTAATGCTAAAATTGAAGATATGCTCACAGGAAGTGGGTGTCTGGGGCAGAGTGGAACAAAAGATCACTGGTGGAAGGAAGGTCAGGGAACAGAGATACTGAAATCACCAAGACTGATATCAAGAACAGTGATGAAAAAACAGTGAGCCCAGTGAATGACGGCCACAATAAGGGTAGGGAGTGGCGTATAGAAAAGCATGCGCTTCAAAGGAGCTGTGGTTCAATTAGGGATGAGGGAGGAACAAGGTATGGAAGCAGAAACAAGGAAGACTAAGGAATAAAGAAGATACCTATTCCTCTTTCAGACTGAACATTTATCACAATTATGAATGCAAATGTAAAATAATTAACTTTTAAAAATTAAAAATAAAGTTAAAATGAGGGAAAATTTGGGAGAAAAATAACCAAATGGTTATTTAAATTAGGCTAAATTTTTTTTGAACATGAGACTTACAATTAGGGTGGAATTTTAAAAAATGTAGTTCATGTCCCATTAGTGGGTTGTACAGTCAATTTAAATGAGTCATAATCAGCTTTTTAAAAAAATTAAATAGAAAATAGGATCTTTGGAAACAGCAGTGCTAAGCATTATTTCAAAATATTTTGTTCATTTATATACATTTATATTGGGTGGTAATGAAAAATGTAATTCTTAATGTGGGTAGCAATCAAAGAGTTTGAATGTCTTTGATTTAGGGTAACTGTAAAATAGAAAGGATCCCTTTTAAAACTATGCAACAGCTCCCATATAACTTCTTATTTATCCTAATTTATGGATTACTGAGGGATCCTCTCTTCATATCTATCTGGACCCAAAAACTTCAAGTCTCAGGGAAGGCCAAATAATTAATCACCACTGAGCATGTAACTCCTTGCCCAGGAGATCATGCTACAGAAACTGTACTAAAAAAGCTCTTCTGAGGTATGACAAGTATCATGATTGTTATTGAAAGTGTATTTTGCATTAATAGTGCAACAATTTGTATCAGAATATTCAGAGTCACAACCCATACTTACTTCACCATCTTTGGCAAGCTTTCTACCACACCTCATGCTATTTCCCTCTAGTTCTTCTTTATTGATTTCTTGAGGCCTAGAAATATACATAAGACATGAAATCTCGTAGAAAATAGGCAACTAATAATTAAAAAAGAATTTTAAGTTAGAAAGACTAGAAAAACTTGCTACTAGATTTAAAAATAAATTTTGGGGGAATAGATAAAAATTAAGAATGCATTAATTAAATCTAACCCATGGCCTTTGCGAAATAAAAAAGACTTAAAATGTTTAATGTTTCACTTATTGCCCTGATTTCTAGAATACTTTTATGAGGGCTCAGCCAAACCAGAAAAGAGGGAAAAGAAATCTATGAGAAATTCTGCTCATCAAGAAGATGAAACACTTAAAAGTCTAACTACTAAGTAAAATAAAATATATTATTTAAGATGCGACTATCACCTACCATTTGACGTTGTAAGCCATCTTTTTATGTAGTCTAACCATACAAACTAGTATTTAATAGAAATAGCTGTAGAATTTTATCAATTGATCTTTACTCAGTCCCCTACTTTAAAAACTTAATCAACTAAGAGAAACACTGTTATTTCAAGTTGTATTAATAAAATGGCATTATTATTAGCTTGGAATTCCAAATGATAAAAATAATACAATATATTCATTCATAAACAACATTTATTAAGTACCTAGATACTGGGGACATCAACATCATAATATAAAAATACTGAAACAAATATCATAAATAAAAAGTAAATGTAAATAAAACTAATAAAACGTGTTCTTGACCTCCAAGAGCTCAGTCTAATAGGGAACTAGACATAAGTAATAATTATAATAATGTGGAAAGAATTGTGATGTTAAGAGCGTGAAGAAGGCACAGATTTCTTGCCCAGAGTTAGAGCAGGGGTCATCACAGAGGAAGTATTACTTGTGCTTGAGTGGGAGTTTGTTGGGGTGGAGGTGGGGGGCGAATTCTATGCAGGGCAAGGGCATTCCAGGTAGAAGGAACAGTAGGTAAAAAAGGACTGGAGCATAAAAGAATACCAAATGTATGAAGAATTGAGTGCACCTGGAACCCAAGATGAGCAAGAGAGGAGATGAAGAGAAAAGCATTTGGGACAGACTGTTGAAGGGCCTCAGGCTATGCTAATAAGCATTTCAACTTTTCCTATAGATAACAGAGTTCTCAGGTACTTGTTCTGTTACTTTCCAATTTTTTATTACGAAAAATTTCAAACACATAAAAGTAGAGAAAATAGTATAATGAGCCAAATTTTCTCACCATCTGGCTTCAATAACCTTGTTTTAGTTTTACTCCCAACCCACTGCTCCCCACATCCCTCCCGACTGATTATTTTGAGGCTAATCCTCTAGACATCATATCCTTTAATCTGTAAATACTTCAGTATGCATTTCTTAACGATAAAGACTTTTAAAAGTGTTAACAATATATATCACACATAAAGCATTAATCCCTAACTATCATCAAATGTCCCTGGACATATTTAAGCAAGGAAATGATACAATTATATTTCTCCTTTAGAAAAAGAACCCTGTTGGCAACACGAAAGAGAGTTTGGAAGAGAAGAACCTTGGAGGGAGACTTTACTAGATTATAACCTAGTATCCAGGAAATACACTGTCTTCCTCACTTTTGTAGCCTTGCAGCAGTGTGAGCGGATGCTTAGTATCTGTGGAACAGAGCACTTCACTGAGGGCACTATAATCACATACTTCGGAGGGCAAGAAAGCCACTTATTCTAGCTCAGTCTCTTAGGTCAGACTCTGTATAAACTCAATAAGGATATAGATGACAAAAATCTTGAAAAATAAAGAATAACATTTTAAAACTGAATATATAAAAGTAGGATGATTTATAAAATATTTCATGTATTACAAAATGCTTCAAAAATCTTAATTGCATTAAATTAACTCATTTTTTTGTTTCTGATTTATTATTTCTATTTCAACAATCTTACCGCATTTGTGCAGGGTAAGTATGCTGTGCGTATATTTGGGAAAAGATGGAATATAAATTTATGTAAATAAAGTAGAAACTAAGAACTCTGGATAATAATTACCTCATAATCATTATCACAAGTTTATATAACACTTTCATATAAATTTATGTAAATAAAGTAGAAACTAAGAACTCTGGATAATAATTACCTCATAATCATTATCACAAGTTTATATAACACTTTCATACACTCACTGTTTGGATATAAACATAACTAGGCCATTATTTTAGGAAGTTCTTTGGTGTATAAAAATGGGTTAAAAGTGATCAGGCAAAAAAAAAACTCCTTGAGGCCTCTGCTATATACTCACAGTCTCTGCACACTGCCTATACCAAGGAGCTAATAGAAAGGCCAAGTAAAAAATGTGGAAGTACTTCTGTGAATTGCAAAGCACTATATATTGAAAGAATAAAAAAATCTGCTTTCCCTTAAAATGAAGAAAGCAGATAAATACTTTGTAGGTGGTCATGTGCTTTTGGCGAAGGCTTCTGAACCAGATGATGTTAATTTATTTTAGACTCAAAGGTCTTTAAAAAACCTATTACATTAATCATAATTTGACGATACTATCACAAATAAGAAAATTACCTTTACCTATACACAAATATGAAAATCATGTTTTATGAAAGCATTATTCCAAGTAATATTTCAGTATATTGAAAGAAAATCATAATATAATACTAGGAGAAACAAAGTATATCATTTATTCAATTTTACTAATATAGCAAATGACAATTCAAACATCCTATTATACTAATTGACCAGAAAGATAAATACTTATAAGATTGATAATATTATAGAAACCTAAGAATAAAAGTAGGTTAATGATCTTTTCTCTACTTCTAACAGCTCTTGATTTTTCAATACTGTCACTTGATTTTTCAATACAATGAACGCATTTAAAAATTCATAGCAAATGTAACATACTTACCCCACCTCACTGTCTTGTTCTGCCCGGAGCATAGCAAGCCACTGCTGTTTATAAACAGAAGATAACCATTCTAAAATGTATAAATAAATAAATATAAGAAGAATAAGAAATATGGGAGAACATAAAGGATTTAAAAATTTTAACAAGTTGATAAAATTCTTACCATTTCTAAATTCAAGTTTAAAACAGCAATAAATAAAGTTGGTAGTTTATATTTTACAAATATGCTACAATACTTATGGCTTAATGGTTTTTAACAGAAACAAAAGTTTTAACAGAAAAGTGAATAATGGATTGTTTCTTTATTAAATTATCTAAAAATAAAAACTAATTAATGGGAAATAAATCATTCCCTAAATTATCAGATGAATCATACACACAAATAATTTTGGCATATTAGATTCAGGTAACTATTATTAAAAATAAAAGATTTTAATTTATTCAAATGAAATAGAAATTATAGATATTTTCCCTTTAATAATAAGCATACAAATTTTTCCACAAAACAAGTTTATGTAAGCTGAAATTTTAATTATTTTAGATAAAAACATAGATTTATTAAAAATAAGTAGAATTGGCTTAGAATCATATTTACTTTTCTGTGCTTTATTTATTCCCAACCAAATTAATAGTTTTTCTATTTTTAAAGTTAAATCATTTCTCAATCTCTACCTAAAGGAAGAGGGAAAACTCTGGTAGGTTAAAATCTGGATTTTCACTTCATAAGTCTCTACTTAAATAAAGGTATCCAGATGACGTGCACTGATTTATTGGTATCTTTCCTTAAAACTCTCTATAAATACACTATTGAATGTTTCTTTCCCCCAAAATAATATTCTTGCTATTATAAGGAATAATTGCTAATATCTAGGCCACAGACAGTTTGTCTTCAGCAGGTAAAGACTAGTAGCAAAGTTTATGTGACTCAGTATACATACACACATATCGTATATCTTATTTGCAATACATTCAGATTTTTAAATTCCGTTCTACTGTATTTTATTTAAAAAAAAAAAAAGTTGATCCCTTCCTGTTTAAAATGATTTCTCAACTCACTAATGGGTATGTCTACAGTTTGAAATTCTGATCTAGAGAGAGACTATGGCTTTTCATGATTCATTTATAAAATCGGAATGAAAGAGTTACACACATATATTCTCAAATATCTCATGAAAATGTTTTAAAATTTAAGTTCTAACAACCTTTGAATAATCTTTAAAACCAAAAGCATTTCAACAAGTTAAAAACATGGGTACGTATTTTTGTCCCAAGTCCTTTCTTGCCTTAATCCAAAAGAACAAAAGTCCAACTAGAAATCTTTCTCGTCACTGGTAGTTCATCCAATAGCAGTAACCCAAACATAAGTCAGTAGAACACTAGTTCAAATGCAATGTTGACAGCTGATATGAAGGGGAAAAAAAGGAATCCTGCTAAAATGAGTTTGAAAAACACAGGATGAAAATAAGTGAAATAGGTTCCTTTATACCATTCAGAGTTTATAATATGATTATATGCAGTCATATCTCCAAAAGGCAGATATACTGGGCAGTGTGCCAGAATCCTTTTTGGCAGAGAGTTAATGGTCAGCGAGAAGATTCTGAAAAGATGCCTTCAAGAAACTTCCAGTCAGTGAAAACTAGTTTAAGCATTTATTTTAAACTTTATCAGACCAAAGTCCAAAACAAAATTCAAAATGGGCACATCAAGGTGGTATTTGACAGTGCCACGGATCAGCAGCTGCAGATCTAGTCTATAGCAGTTTTAACTGTAAACACAGTATTTTTCCAATAGAATAAATGAGATAAGTCAGAATGAATTTATTTAGATTATTTCTCTTGTCTCACACAAAGGATATGGGGAAGGAGGCCTCCAAAAGCATACTATTTGAAAATCTAATGTCTTAGATTTACAAACTTTAAAAAACAAACAAAAAGAAACATTGCTAACATGCCCAGTATTCTACTGTTTAAGTGAAAGAAAAGTGTATTTTCGGGTATATAGACACACAAAAATTTACTTACAACCAGTAAAGCTTATAGCATAAAACAGCCTACAAGTTGAACTGTTACATAAAACACATAAGTCAGATGCAGATTACGAAGGTGAAGAATAAAAAGTTTACATAATAAAAAAATTTCTATACGGACAAATAAGAATATGTTGGACAGAGCAACTAGGTATATAGTATTAGTACAAAATTATGAAGAAGTTTTGGCTCAAAAATTCTCACGTAAATAACCTAAAAATCTAGTTCTCAAAGATGACAATTTACTGTACTGAATAATTCAAAGCTATTTTCTGAATAAAATTAATTACATGGATTTATATACCTTTTCATTTTCAGCAACTTATTTTCACAAAACTCATATTGCTTTAACATATCATCTCCCTTCCACCTACAATAATATTAAACATTAGGTTTCCCCATTATTCCCATAACAGTTATTCCTGATATAAAAAGTTACAAGAATACCTATTTTCTTGCTCACAATGCAAAATAAGGGACAATACATCTATTTTATTACTTTGTTATCAAAAGCCAACAAATTAAGCAGGCTCAAAAAAATGGTGATTCCAAGTTACTGCTCAAGTTTCTATAATTGGATATACAAAATTAAAGAGATTAAACATAGTGGAATTCTTTTAAGTAACCAGTAAAATATAGTAAAAACTATATATATGGACTTTAGAACAAGAAAGACTTGGGGTCGCATTTGAGCTCTGTGTCTCACTAGCTATATGACAGAATACTTATACTTCACTTCATCAATAAAATGGGGACAACTGTCTTGATAAATTTCAAAGATTATGTTACAAAATAGACGTTAAATGCGTAATCTGGCATATTACCCGGGACACTGTGAAGAAACTACACAATTTGTTTACTTTTCCCCGTTCTCTTTAAAGATCTTAGGTCGGGAGCTAGAACTCAAACTTTTCTGAGAGAGTAAAGGCACTATTAGGCCATATGTAAGTTAACATGTTTTCGAAAACAGTTTTAGTTCATACAAACTGAGTGCCTCCTTCTTGTCCAGCACTGTGCTATGTACTGGAGGGAAAAATATAAAAAACATATGGCCCTCACAGTCCAACAAAGACACAGATACCTTCTGTACTAAAGTAATGTAGCAAGAGATGGCAGTGTCTTAAACAAGAAAATGTCTTGGGCAAGAGAAGGAGGTGATTTTGAGAATTATCTATGAAAAAAATCTACAGGACTCGGTGAAAGGATGTGGAGAAAGAGTTTAGGAGGAGTGTAGGATGACTTCCAGGATTTTGCCCTTTTTCGAGGCTGGGTTATTAATGACGTCGAAGACTTACACCAGGAACCCAGGGAAAAAAGCAAGCAGGGATTGGGGCTGGAGAGGGAAGAGGAGTGCTGCTTTGAACAGATGAACTGAAGCAATTTATAAAGGGCTAGCCAGCAGTTGGATGTCCAAGTATGAAACTCAGGGAGAGGTCAGAATTGGAATCTTTTAATCATATGAATGAAGGAGATTACTCAGGGACACTACACAGAATGAAAAGATCAATGAGCCAAGGGGACCCTCAGGAAGTTAAGAGGCAGGTAGAATAAGAGAAGCTTACAAAAGAAAAAGAAAAGGAATGGTAGAGAGATAGGAAAAGAATCAGGAGGCTATAGCATTTCTAAACTAAAGTAGTACAGTTGAGAATTTTAAGAAAAAACTAACAAACCATGATATAAAATGCTAGAGAAGTTAAAATAAGGCTAAAATGAAGCCACTAGATTTTGCACACAGGACAATCTTAACTTTTGCTAGAAAGTTTCAGTGAAACAGTGAGGGCAAAAGACAGAGTGTAGTTGGTTGAGAAATAACTGAAAGATAAGGAGATAGAGCCCACATCTGTAGACTGCTCTGAAGACGGTGCCTTAGAAGGGAGAGAATTATTCCTATGGGGCGCTCAGGGTCAAGAGAGTGTTTTTTGTTTTGTTTTTTAATAAAAGAGATTTGACATTTTATAGACTAAGGGAGAATAGGTGAGGAAAAGATCAAAGATGCAGATTAAATGATAAAATAAAATTCTAGAACAAACAGGAAGTGATAGGATTATGAACACAGTAGAAGGTTGGCCTAACAAGAGGAAGCACCTCAACCTGTGGGACAGGAGAGGAAGAACAGATAGGAGAGAAAGATGGAATTTGAAAAAAATCACCTGATTACCTCAAATTTATATAAAAAACAGAAGGAGAGTTCCCACACTGGCAATGCGGTAACTGGACAGGAAGCCTCAACAGAGTGGTAGAGGTTTGATATAAATGCTGAAGTGAATGAAAAACAGGAGTGACCAAGTAAAAACGATATAAGGAGTCCCAAGGTCCAAGCTTAGTGTTGAAATGCGAACGTGCAGTGGCACCAACTCAAAAGTTATAGAATGCTCTGCAGCAGTACTCAGCACAGAATAGAGAGTATAGGAACAAAGAAGGTTTAATTTAGTTTTAGGATTTTGTCAAATAGAAGAACAGAGTTGAAGGCAATTGTGAGAGAGATGGCTCAGATAATCTATCATGAAATCCTGGCCTGTAAAAGGCAGGAGAGGTCTGAAAGAAAATGGAGGGCTTAAAACGGATTGGAAGTCAAATAGTGTAAAAGGGAATGAGGCTATGAACACACTAAAAGGTTATATACAGCCTGAAAACTACTGGGTTTCTGATGCTGAGAAATTCCGTGTTACAAGAGTCATGGTGTTTCCATGGGTGGCGAGTGCCTAATGAATGTTTAGCAAATCTAAATGTTACTACAGTTGAGGTCAAATTACTAGGAGGCTAGGGTATTAAATGGAATGATGATATGGACACATTATGTGACTGGACAGGGGTGGAGAAGTAGACAATAAACCAAGTGTCCAAGTCTTAGATGAATGTGGAGGAATGACTGGGGGTCAGAAGAGAAAGGATAGAGGGTGACTCAGATCATATGCGATAATCATTTGCAAAGGGCATTGAGGGGTTAGGACCAAGACTGTCTGGCCTCCTAGCCCTATATTGGCAGTGTCTTAATTGACAGAAAGTCGTCTATGGAGGCAAAATGGCATCTGCTGGGAGTGCTAAATAAATGTGAGGGAATAGACGGAAGATGTGAGTTTGTTGACTCTGGTTCTGGAGCACATTAATAGAAAGGTTTGGGAGGAATGGTAACAAGACAGGTCAGAGGGATCAAGGGGAAGGGAATTATGACAATGAGAGTACGGAATAAAACAGACAATGATATGACTAATAAATAATAAATCTAATTCCATGAAATAATGGAGTTCAACTGTACTTGACCCAAGTGAATCCTAAAATACAATGCTTCTATACAAAATCCTGATTTAACTCGGAATTAAACATATTTCTAAAACTTTTGACCTAAAGATGGTCAAAATGGATGTACTAAAACTCCCCAGAATGCATAACTTTGAAGAATGTTGACACCTCTTTGGTACCATTTCTGAAAAATGATCAATGAATTTTAGCTAAGTAATCAAAATTATTTTAATTTATTTCAAATCTAGGATACCTTGCTATTGAAAGCATATACCAATCTATCTCATAATTTGAGTTATGTGGCCACTTTTTGACCCCTCACAAAGAGCACAGGATATAATTTTAATTTATATTCTGCTTTTGAAACTATAACTTTTATTTGGACATATAGGAAAACCTATTTATCCATTTATATCTGTAAGATGGAGTATTCTAAAACGAAAAAAAAGCCCTCTACTATAATTTCAACTCAGAAAAAAATGGCTGAAATCTGGTCAGAAATATAGGATCTAAATTCTTTTCAATTTTATACTGAATAAAATATTTCAGATTAGAAATACTTGTACTCAACTTGTATTCCAAAAACATAAAGCTTATCCACTTGCATCACAGACACACCTAAATTAAACTACTTTAGAACACACTTTTTAAAAATCTCTTTCAAAATTCATTTCTAAAGAGTTTTATAAAGGAAGTACGATTAGAGAGGAATCAGCCTTGGCATCTAGTATTACACCATTGTCAGGGCCTGGTGTATAACACATACTAAAACTATCATAGAACTTCTATACTACAGGAAATACAATCTTCGGAGAAACCACACTCACACAAATATAATACACACTCTCTCATCTTGGCTCTCTAAAATTAATACTATAAAGCTGATTTATACAAAATTAACAGAAAAACATGTCTGCTAGAGTGATTTTATAAAAATGTGTTACTTTCGAATATTCCAGTAGTGTCCATTCAATATCTTTCCAAATACGTATACAGACTTCAAGAACAACTTAACTCTGTAAACACACAGCTATATTAAAAATTGAGGTGTCAAAAATAATTACAACTTTTCAGACAAATCTATGATACTATTACTAATGTTTATAAATTTACAAATAAATCTTCAAACAGAAATTCTATTTTCTATTTCTTATATGCATATATAGTACTAAAACTGAATTTTATACGAGCACTAGAGATTTAACTTAGTTAAATCAGTAATTTTTAAAAAAAATTTAAGCTATAATTAGCAAAGATATTACAATTGCTTTGACATGAGGCTTAAGACTAGAATAAAAAAAGAAAATAAGAAAATTTAAGGAGTATTAATAGAAAAAGCAGTTATGACCTTTAAGTAACACTTCAGAAGTCATTTTTAAAAGTCTGGCTCAAAATAGTGTACTAGTCAATCAAATTAAAGAACACCATATTACAGAAAACTATATAGCCATTTAAATATTCTGGAGAGCAGTTAATGATATGGGAAAATACCCATAATATATAATGTGAACACAGAAAAGTACCTATATAGTATGATTTGGTTTTGGTATAAAAATGTATACGTTCTTGGGATTAAGGATAATTTTTATTTTCTTTATTATTCTTTTCTATGATATATATTACTTTTATAATCAGAAAGATAAACTTAAAATCATGATTTCATCATGTTCTCTTACCTGAAGGTACTAGAGAATCTTGTTCAATAATTCTTGCAGAGGCCAAATCACTGATAATATACTGTAACCTTAAATGTCTGAATACTGACACAAATGGTTTTCCCTGCTCAGTTTCAAGGAAGGTCATACCTTCAAAATCTATAAAAAAAAAGTTTAAATTAAATAGCCATTCTTTTTAAATATATTTTATTCCTAAAAGTTTTCATGGGTAGGGAGAGACAGACACACACACATAACGTCTATCAGAATACAAATAAGCTAGTTCCCAAGTTTTCAAAGATTTTATTAACCTCAGGAGTGTAGATAAAAACTTGGGGAGATTTAGGGAAAAGCCACAGGAAATTAACTTTGGTCCTAAGTAAACTCTTGGGCTAGGAATTCAGTTACATGCCTTTCTGGGGTTTTGAGCTTACAGAGCAGCAAGGAAAGGCAGGCTTGAGAATGGTAGTTAGGTTACAGTCTCTCTCGAGACTCCCCTCTCCCAGGATCTGAACGCTCCAGTGGACCTCTAGAGCCCAAATGCCTCCCTCAAGGGTCTTCACAAGACATATGGGACGTGGAATGTCTCTTGTGATTCTCCTAACTTATGCTTTAGCTTCATGTCATGAACACTAGTTAATATGTTAATTCTCGATTTATATCTACAATCTATATGTATCTACAAAATAAGATACAAAGACACTGTAGCGATGGATTTGCAACACATGGGTAGTATTATTAAAACAATTCAAGTTTACGAGTATATGAATTTTTTTCTTTTAGGGAAAATTTAAAGTTAGTACATTTCAATGTGCTTTCATGAGTGGGAAGGAAAGGTCTAGAGTTACGCTATCAAACAGGGACTTGTGCATAAGCTCTAGTCTGTTTTCTGTTAAACAAGGTACACCAATGGGAGCACACTCAGCCCTGCTGCTATTAAGGACAGGGAAAAAACGCTGAGAGTTGCTACTGCAGACTGTTATGTCTCTAACCAAGCTTCAACCAGAAAGGAGGTGTTGCCTACTAAAATATTTTTTTCCTGAAAACGGCAAAAAGTTAAGTTAATGAAAAGAATTTTCACGATTTTCAAATTTTTATCCCATACATTTTTTGTATTCCTTTGGTGCCTGCCAAGAGTCCAAGAAAGCAGTAAATTCATTAAAAAAATTAATAGTTAACTTTGCTTATTTATATAACAGGCATTAACTGTGGATTTATGTCTTATCTTTTTTTTAATTGTAACTTTAGTTCTAGTTCACATGTTGAGTTAAATGTGCCAATTTCATAAAGTGTACTGAGAATACCATTATGTTCTTACAGGTGCTCCATCACATGAACGAGTTATAAAAATCTAATTCCAGGGCCTGCCCCGTGGCCTAGTGGTTAAGTTCAGTGTGCTCTACTTTGGCAGCCTGGGTTCAGTTCCTGGGAATGGACCTATACCACCCCCTCGTGGCCATGCTGTGGTGGCAACCCACATACAAAATAGAGGAAGACTTGCACAGATGTTAACTCAGGGCAAATCTTCCGCAGCAAAAAAACCCCCCCAAAAACAAAAAACAAAAAAAACCCCAACAACAACAACAAAACCAATTCTAGATCATCTCATAGAAATCTGGAAATTATTCCCTCTTCTTCAAGGGCATAGAAGAGATCGGCTCACCTACTTTTGTAAGAATTCATGAAATTGAAAAAAATATGTTTTAAAGACTCTAGCTGGCCAAAATGTGGCCATATTAATTGCACTAGACAAATTCAATAGCAATCCCTACATATAACTGTGTAGCAAAATTTCTCAATTTCTACTGTTTCTTGTACTTCTGACCCATAGACATATGAAAAGTCAAATAATTAAGAAAACCTAAGAGAATATATATACCAAAATATCATGGGTGAGGGGACTACAAGTGATTTTTCTGTCCTATTTCCTGAGTATTCACCACTTTAAAATTTTTAAATTGTTTGAAATTACTTCAAAAGTCCTCACTGAAAAACAAGGGCATTAGACATATATTTTGCTTTATGTAATAAATCTCTCCCTGGAAAATTATCTTAAACTGTATACTTTTACACTACTGAGGCTGAGATGGAGAGCCCAGAGAGGGAAAACCAGAAGTGGACCACAGCTTCCTATTCTGGTTTCTGCCATGTAGGCCACAGAATAATTTCTCTCTTGATGGATTGCTATGGTTAATCCATCTGGAGCTCAAATGAGCATAAATTTCTATAAACATTTACCTAACATCTACTGTTTCTATTAAGTCCCATTGTCTTTTTAGCTTCTCCACCCTCCTTATCTCTTTCAGTTTTTCTCTCTCTCCGTTTTTTATTTAAATTTCCTCCTCAATAATTTCTCTAATCCTTCTTTAATTACCACAAAGTAGCACTAAAGTATAATTTAAGCTGTAAGTTTAGTATTTTGTTCTTTAAGTAAATCAAATTAGATTTTATTGGTATAGTCTTTCATACATTTTTGGTTCATGAGCTTGACAGAAAAATAATTTATCTGGCTCTGAACCAGAAAATCTCACTTCATAAAATAAGTCTACAAAATTTATTTAAACAAGATGCAAAAAGCACTAAATTTTAAAGTTAACAACCTCTATTCGTCAAGTGACACCTTTAAGAAAGTAAAACCTACAAACTGGAAGATAAGTGACAAAGGATTGATTATCAAAAATATATAAAGAATGCCTATAAATCCTTAAGAAAAGACAAATACAATATTAAAAGAGGAAAAAGACCTGAACAGACATTTCACAGGAGAGGAAACATATAGCCAATAAACATATAAAGAGCTGTTTAATCTCTTTAGTTTTCAAGGAAATGAAAAGCAAGACCACAATATGAAATAGTTCAATAGCAATTAAAACAAAATAATATATTGTCCAGTGGTGTGCTGAAGCTGGTCTGTACTGGCTCACAGGAGCTGACGATGTGCACTTCCCAACTCCACATTCAGTGATGTCACATTGGGAGCTTAAAATCAGCCATGCTAGAAGAATCTGTATCATAGAAATTTTTAAAATGCTACCAATCAGGGATTTTTTTCAGAGAACCAGCTTACCAGCACACCACTATGTTATGTATGTTAAGATATACATGCATAATGCAATAACATTTTTTTTTAAGGCAAGAGAATAATAAACACAAAACTCAAGATAGTGGTTGGGGAAAGTCAGAGGGACACAAGAGGAGAGAAGCACATGAGTAAACTGAAGTCATTAATGTTCTAGTACTTGAAGATTAGTTCGTGGAGGTTCAATGCATTATTAAAACTAAACAAAAAAGGTGGCCAGCCATAGACCAAAAATTACAGTGAACTAAGAAAAGCATGAACTAAACCACTTCTTTGCACCAGAGGGCTACTAAAATTTTTGTTCTATATCTGTTTTAGCAAAGTAAAAAATAACTACAATGCATGCTCCACCCGTGTCCAGGTTGAGAAAGACCTTATGGCAATCTTAACCATTTTAGATCAGTCTCCCCTGAGAATCTGATGAGAACTATGGAAGCTCTCCCCCCACAAAATGCATGCAACACACATATATACATAAAATTCTGCATCTACTTCTGGGGGTTAGTGACACACCAAAGCCTGTCCATGGGCCCCTATGTTAAGAATTATTACCTGATAGACAGGATTTAATTGGTTAGGGAAAATTCAATGTGGTCAAACAAGAGACAATGTAATCGCTGAGATCTGTTGGTGATAAAATGGGAAAAATAGTAGTTTGAGGGATCAAAGTATGGTGTTATTTCAACAAATAATAATTAAGTTAATACTAGACAAGGCATTTTTCTTATCCAGCCTCAATTTTCTCAGTGTAAATGAGAGGCTGAATTAGATAACTGATACGGTCCTCTTGAGCTCTAAAATTCCCTAGGTCTATAAATAAGGCAGGGCCTGATTTTAATAAATTTCAATGTAAAAAAAACCAAAACAACAAATTCTCAATAAAAACTTCAAGCATACCTTTTCTCCTCTTAGAAAACCAGACATCTGTTTCAGTCAAAAGCTGTTTTAAAGATCCATTCCAAGAAGGCACAAGTTGAAGGAACATCCACTAAGTTCAAAAAAAAGTAAATAAAGAAAAAATTACAAGATTTCTTCATGTTATGATTTTACATTTTCAAACTGCTTCCACCTTAAAACATAATATCTAAAAAATTTAACTTCTATTAAAAGCAATTGAAAGAAGTAGAACTACGACATGACATGCTTATAGGCCTTTAAATTCATCACAGCACTCATTGTGACAACATGGATGGACCTTGAGGGTATTATGCTAAACAAAATACGTCAGACCAAGAAAGACAATTACTCAGAGGAGAAAGACTGTTACCGTATGGTTTCACTCAAATGTGGAAGATAAACACACACACAGATTCGGAGGACAGACTGGTGGCTACCAGAGGGGAAAGGGATGGGAGGAGGGTGGAAGGGGTAAAAGGGCACATTTACACAGTGACAGATGGCAACTACACTTTTGGCGGTGACATGATGCAGTCTATACGCAAGTCAAAATATAATGATGTACTCCTGAAATTTATGTAATGTTACAAACCAATGTTACCTCAATAAAAAAAATTTAAAATATTCATCATGGCATTAATCATAGACCAATGATAAAAACTAGATGAGTATGTGATAAGAAATAAAGTAATCCCTGAAAAGTATTATGGCCTCAAACACACTGTAGTTACACTATTAAAGAGGCAAAGTTCTAATATATATATTAGATTAGTAATTTATACTAATTTATTCCACTCACCAATTAACTCACTTTCCCTACTTACTATGTGAGATCATAAAAGCAAGAAATTAAATGAGAGAAAAAGTAGTTTCTTGTTATCTTACTGCTGTGGAGACAGTATGCAGAGCAGTCAAGAACATGGACTTTTACATTCTGGCCCTGCCACTTAACAGTTGGGCAAATTAGCTAATTTCCCTGGGTCTTAATTTCTTCATTTGTAAAATAAGCATGATAATATGTCTATGTCATAGGACATTAAAGAATTAATATGTGTCATGTACTTTGAATAGTGCCTGGCACATAGTAAGCATTTATCACTAGTGCCATAAAAGCAGTTACAACAACAGGAAAGAATAGCTGCTACCAGTGGCTCAGAGATAGAAATGGGCTATCGACCACTCCTTTAACGACTAGATAACCCAGTCACTAAACTTCCTTGAAGAAAAATAGTACCAGAATCTCATCTCTACCATAAAAACAAGCAATCGCAATGACATAACCTAGAAGGTGTCTCCTTCCCTGATTTCACAACTGTGCTAAATGCAGTTGCTGGGGACAAAAGGCCAATGGCAAAATCATGCAGTGGAAGAAGCAATAGACCAGGGCTCACAAGACCTGGCTTCTGCTTCAAGTCTGCCACTTAGTAATCATAAGAATTCTAAGTCTTACCATCTACAGAACAAGTATAATAGGGAGTTGTGAAAATAAATTACATTAAAAAGGTTGAAAGAGCAAATGAGGTCTTTAAAAGAATTTCAGCATTTTCTAGAAAAACTCTGTGTGAAAATTTCATCATAAAGTCATTAAATTCAACTAAAGCTCAACTTTGAAAACATTCCTGAAAATCACATAAAACATTTAACATTTCTGATTATGTAAAGAACGTAACAATAACATTGTTGTTGTTGAAAAAAATCTGGGAAAAAAACAGAAATGTATTCCTATGATAGAAAAGTATAAAGAACAAAATTAAAATCACTTGTGATACCAAATCCCTAAACATAAAGACTTTCTAACATTTTGGCATCTTTCCTTCTCTTACATTCGTAACCATTCCTTTATCACTGGACACTAGCTGTGTTCACTATTATAAGCAATGCTGAGGTGATATACTTACATATATTGTATTATGTCAATACCTTTTTAAGAGCTGTATATACATCCATCTCCACTTGCATCACAAATAAGTTAGATGAACCAATAAGCTGCTTCATGACATTTATACTAGAAAAGATAAAATAGAGGTAGTGAGTTTAGCTTCATGTGCAGGCTAAAAGACCCTCATGGAGCTGAAAACTTTTTAGTCTTTCTTATCAAAAGAAAATGTGGAATTAAAATGTAACATAATAAAAATTAGAAAACTATCTGAACACAAGGATACTTCTAACTCAGAGTGCTATCAAAGGTCCTTTTTGCACTGACAGGAAAATGAAGAGCTTTGATCTGCTAATTAATCAAGTTAAAGCAAGGTCCCAACAACATAACTTTTTAGTATGCTCTGATAAAGTCGCAGCCTTCTTCTTTTGCCTTTCCTCCCTATGCTATGTAAAAAAAAAAGACACGTCAAAATTCACTGAAACATGTGTATCTTCAAAGTAACCTTTAACTCTAGACTTAAGAGAATCACTTAGTCAAAAAACATGTTTTTATTACTGTTAAAGAGAGCAAGATAAAGAAACATGTGTTAGTTTAAATTTAGAGTGGAAATGATATCACAAGTTATTTTTCTTATTTTTTTTTCTTTCCTTCCTTTAAGCCATAAAAAGCCAGAAGAACATCTCCATTTTTAAGATGACAAGTACGATTTATCTCCTTTTGAAAAAGCTCAATGAGAAATTATAAAAGAGAAAAAAATTAAAGTGTTTCTAATGATTTTTAAACCAAACACACTGAAGAGTTTTGTTTATACCTTGACATCACTAGGTGATGATTTTTTTTGTAGAATAACGCTTCTCCAACTTTTCTACCAAAGTACCTCTTTAAGAGCAGAGGAAAAGAAAGGATCCAGGAATCCAGGAGATAGTCAGCCATAAAAATAACAGTTCTATTAATTCTTGTAGTTCATCTTTAAGGTTCAAAGAAGAGTGAATTCTCTCTACTCATGTTTACCTCTCTCCCCACACCCCCCTGCAAAAAAAATCAGTAAAATTGACAACCCAGGGAACTATGCAATGTTAAGTCTTTGGTTTTGTACATTTCCATCAGAATGCCACATACTTGTAAGGACATTTGTACCCTTGTCTCAGAAGCACCATTGTCAAGAACATGCAAGGCTGAAAACGACTGTAAAGCCTAAGGTCCTTTAAAAGTTCATCCCGAGGCCAGCCCTGTTGCCGAGTGGTTAAGTTCTCAAGCTCCACTTCGGCGGCCCAGGGTTTCACTATTTCCAATTCTGGGCACAGACATGGCACCACTCACTGGGCCATGCTGAGGTGGTGTCCCACGTGCCACAACTAGAAGGATCCACAACTAAAATATATGCAACTATGTACTGGGAGGATTTGGGGAGAAAAAGCAGGGGAAAAAAAAAAAGAGAGAAGTTTGGCAACAGCTGTTAGCTCAGGTGCCAATCCAAAAAAAAAGTTCATTCCCTCCCTGCATTTCTCAGACTCATCGCAGATATGTTAGCCCCATTACTAAAATAAGGTCCTTGAGGGTAGAGATCATGACAGAATCATCTCTCCATCCTTCACAGCCCCTAACAGAGTACCTTTATACATATTACACAGTGGACATTCAGAAAGTATTTGTTGAAGGAAGGAATGAATGAATAATAAGCAGATTTAATTCAAAAGGCCAATTTGATTGTGAATTTAATTTCATTAGGCTTAGCAAAAAGTTTAAAACAATTTCTTCAACTTAATTTCTCAATGGTAAAGATGTTTTTTTGGGTTTTTTTTGAGGAAGATTAGCCCTGAACTAACATTCATTGCCAATCCTCCTCTTTTTGCTAAGGAAGACTGGCACTGAGCTAACATCCATGCCCATCTTCCTCTACTTCATATGTGGGACACCTGCCACAGCCTGGCTTGATAAGCAGTGCATAGGTCCACGCCTGGGATCTGAACCAGTGAACCCCAGGCCACCAAACCGGAGTGTGCAAGCTTAACCACTGTGCCACCTGGCCAGCCCTGTAAAGATGGTTTTTAAAATAAACTTTTAGGGGCTGGCCCCATGGCTGAGTGGTTAAGTTCGTGTGCTCTGCCTTGGCGGCCCAGGGTTACACTGGTTCGAATCCTGGGCGTGGACATGGCACCGCTCATCAGGCCACACTGAGTCAGCGTCCCACATGCCACAACTAGAAGGATCCACAACTAAAAATACACAACTATGTACCGGGGGGGCTTTGGGGAGAAAAATGAAAAATAAAATCTTTAAAATAAATAAATAAATAAATAAATAGACTTTCAGATTCTCTAAGAGCCCAGCAAATGTGAGGTAACATTTGAGACTTTTCTATAATTTTATAGTAGCAATGAATTTTTCTAGTAAAATTGGTTAAAACAGTAGACATAATATAACTTATACATTTATGACACAGAAATTTGTGAAGCATTTGTTCACTTCCTGCATGTAGCCAAGAGACCTTTCATGAATTTGTTCACTTTTTCATAAGTAATACATTTTTGTTTTTATGTAAAAACATTCTCCATATTTTAACAAATGAAAAACATGATTTTAGGATGACTAATTATAAAGTTACTTAAAATTCAAATACCTGAGTTCTTTAAAAAGCTCAACATTCTGATGAGTCATCAAATTGTTTAGAAGCCATTCAAGGCACCTGAAATTAAAACATGGAATTATACATTACATATTTATAATTCACTAAGTAGGACTTACAGTTAAAATAAAAACAGATTATTAGTCTTGCTAGATCATGCTCAAATTTTTTAATTTAACAGAAATTTAGTATTGTTTTTGTCAGCAGTTGTTAAGGCAATATTCCCTTTATATTAATAAAAGCATTTCTAATTAAGAAAGCTTCATTCCAAGTTTATGTCAAATGGTTTATGAAGGAGTTTGCATACTTCTATTACCTTCTTTATAATTTGAAAGTGGGTATTGCAAATCTCAAGAATTCAAAACACTGCCAGCAGTTGCACTCTTATAATGACTGTTATGCCTACTACATAAAAAAAATTCAACAGAAAATGTACTGTAAAGAGTGACTATAGTTTTTATAAGCATGTATAACACCCAAGGTCTCTTACAAAGACAACACTTTTGAGGAATTTACTAATTAGGCCAAATGTAAAAATGGACTTTTTAATAACAAAATTCTAGTCCCCTGGTTTTTTTTCTTTCTTATAGCTATACAGTCTCTTAAGAAACCAAAGCAGCCAAATTCCCAAAAGTGGATGGAAGGAAAAACAAGAAAAGTAACTCACTTTTTCTTTACAGAATCTAATCCATAGGTCCCTGCTGATGTGTAATAGCCACACACAGTTTTCACATTAATTGTTTCCTTCATTGTCTCACCACACTGCTGTATTAAACCATCCTGTAAATATAAATAAGCACTGGAAAGGCCCATTCCACATGGGAAAAATTAGCTCTGAATATGTGCTTTTACATATTAAAAAGGAAAAAAAAAAAAAGGAAAAAAAAGGAAGAAAGAAGAAAGAAAACTCATTAAGTGCAGCAAGCCTAAGGTTTTTATAAGTCCAGTAAAAATACTGAAAAAAATCCAGCAAGTAGTCAACTAAATACTTGGAATTGAAAAATGGAAGGGAGGGGGTAAAAGCAGTAAGGTGGAGATGAATATTGTTGTTATTCTCTTCCTTTCCTATTCTTCCCCTCTCCGGGACCTTTGCAATTTTAAGCAGTTTGCTGTCTGTTTTACCTTTTCTGTTTAAATTAGGAGCTCTTTACATAGTCAGTTGACCATATGATGGAGTAGGCAAGTAAACAATGTGGATCATCAGAAAGTGTTTATTAGATTAAAATATCTAACAATATCTAAGAAATGCATGTAAGACAAATATCTTGTTTTAAATTTACATTGAAATTTTAATCTAAATTGTTTACATAGAAGATTTCAAATGAACTAACTTTAATATATGAAAAGAATGTCACTTTTCACTCATATTTCTGAAATATAATCATCATGCAAGTATATTATACTCAAATTTCTGAAATATAATCATCATGCAAGTATATTATACTCAAATTTCTGAAATACAATCATCATGCAAGTATATTATTAAGTTAAATAGTTAAGTTATAAAAGTAATGCAGAAAATAGATTTAGAACAAACCAAAAGGACTAAAGTTAGAAAATAAAGTATACTATTGGAAATAAGTATTGAAAGGATCAAAACATTTAAAAAATCAAATGACCTCAGCCAAGTATATTTAGCAAGATATTAACTAATACTTCAAATCAATCAGTATACAAATGCCACATAAAAGGAAACAACTTTTTCAAAAGATCAAAATAAAACACTGAATCCATTAGGATTTTAAATTTACCTGGAAGTCATTCTAGACTCCTCCCCTTTCCTCTGAACATATTGCCTCTCCCCAAGTCCAGAGGATTATCCCTGCTTAATCTCTCCAGTATCCAGTTTTGTTCCTCTCCATGCTTACTGCTACTACCCTAACTGAGACCCTCACTTGGACTACTGAAGTAGGTTTTTGTCTCTAATGTAATACTCATCTTTCCTTCAATCCATCCTTCACATTATTCCTGAAGTATTCTTTATAAAACATAACTTTGTCTTTCTCCTGATTAAAATCTTCCAAAAGTACTTATATATAAAGGTAAACTTCTTACAAGGTACAGAGGGACTTTTATGATCTGGCCTCTGCCTCCCTCTCTCCAACCCTTCTTTTTATTCTATGATACAGCCGTGTTCCACTCGGATTCTCTAATCCGCCACTGTTTCACATCTCTGGGTCTTAGTTTATTCTTATATGAAATGTTCTTCCTCCCCCTCTTCTCTCTCGAAAGACACATTTTCAGTTTCCAAGACTCAGCCTCAAACATGACTTCCTTCTTTGACACCACCAAGTTTAAGTGACCACTCCCTTCTTTGAGCATCCACCCAATCCTACAGGATGTTTACTATTGTACCTATAATATTGGACAGCTCTTACTTTACCTTTGGGTCTTCTATCAACCCTCCCTGCCCCATTCCACAGACACAGTATATTGTGAGCTCCTTGCAGGTGGGGACCTATCTTAATTTACCTTTGGATCTCTACGCCTAGTTTGATACATTGCTCAATATACTTCCGTTGAATGAACAAATCTGTCATTCTATCAATAGATTATACACATTTATGTGGTTTACACACAGTTATATTATAATTAAGAAAAAGTTTACATAGTAAGCACTCAACGTTTTTCGAATCCATGAACTAAACGAATTGGTAATCATAAGCCATCTGCTTAATAACAGTCAAGATAAGTCATTAAAGAATAAAAATCTGTAAATGGACTTAGACAAGCAAATACTCTCCACTTTAGTCATTCTAAGATATCTACACAGAAATAGCTTGCATTCATCTTACACAGATATCATGACCTCCTTAACTGTAATACATTACTTTTGGTTAAGCATTTTAAATGACTTATCACAAGTGGCATATTCATACATTTAATTTTTATTTTAAAAATTGCAAAAAGACAAGCCTTATTTTTGTTTTTGGAATAGACACTTCAAAACAAAGATACAACTGTGATCCTTTCTTTGAATAATGTGCATACTTACCAACTGCAGCATACAAGCTGCTGCCAAAATGGCAATAACTCGACTGGGCTTTATTAAGACATCATCTCGATACAGTGACCCAAATGCAACCTGCAGTGCTGAAAGCAAAAGTACACATGTAGAATGAAATAACAATTGTATCTCTAAAGAGTATTACAAAAATTATAACAATGTCTTCACACACTAAGACCTATGTCTAAATCCAGTATATATATAAAAGGATAAGAGAAGTATCACTAACTGAAATGCTAGTAATGGTCACTGATTGACGGTGCTAATTCAATAACAATGTTATAAATTTCCACTTATTCTACCAAACTGAGCTGGATTCTTCTACATCTAATCTTGACATTAGTTGGTGGTGAGAATTGACACCCTTGGAAAAAGTTTTATAAAGATACTTCCGAGCAGACCAATCATTAAGTACAAGTACACAGATCCAGCGATCCTCCTAACCTGAAAACCCCTGGGTTAGGGGGGCTTTCAGGGCTTCACCACTGGGGAGTGTGGAATAGCTCCCGGTCAGGTGCATGACACATTCTCACCCAGCCACCACAGCTATCTAAGCCTGTCCATCCTTCTCTCCACTGCTATTCTCATGCATGTCCCACATGGTTTGCTTTATAAATAGTCTGAACTTTTCCTTTGCCTATGTGGTGAGTACTGGGTAGTTCCACTTGGGCTATCAAAGAGGGGGGCAGGAGAGTGGAATAGGAATTAAGTGAACTACAGTCTGACCTAGGCTCACTAAACTGCTCTGAGATCTAAAACAAGTCCCTTAAATCCTCTGGGCCTCAGCTTCCTCATCTAAGAACCCTTATAGCTCTAAAACAACACTGATTACATGATTCACATCATTATTGTTCCTAGAAAAGGTCTTCATATGTAGGGAATGATCAATGAATATTATTTACCAGCTTTTCTACATAATTTTAATAAATGGTCATAGTTTTTCTTCTTCACTCTACATTCTCCACGTCCCAGGCAGATGTATTTATAAACATAAGTAAACAGACTGATAAGGCCCACATGACTAAATAGATTAGGGACAGGTAAAACAGAAGTGATAAACTATGGACCAAATCAATATAACATTGTCACCTGAGAGTGTTAAATGAAGCTTTTTTCTAGCCTACAGAGTTAGAAGAAAATATTTTCTACCAAAAGAATAAAAACATTATGTTTTTACGATTTTGGCATAACAGTAATTATGATGGTGGTTACCTTCTATATCAATATTCTGATCAGGAATCTCCAGTTCAATAATATTCATGCTGGATTCTTTCCAAGAACCACTGAACATACTAGAAAAGTAGCCAGACTTAAAAAAAAAAAAGACAACAATTATCCAGTGCTTTCTGTCTTGCAAATTATTTTCTCATTTCTAACTTCAAGCAACTATTCTATCAAGCCTAACCCATCATGTTATTTCAAGAGAAAAAGAATTGCCAAATATGTCTACAAGAGAAAAGAAAGATAAGGACACTACTAGGTCTATCAAAATACTTTCAGTTTAGGACTAATTTAATGAAAGTTAAATGAAATTCCTCTATCACTATCTGAACTGAATCCTTATATTACTATTTGAACCTCATTAGCTTTTTATTTAGTTAAAAGTTTGTGAGTATATTACATGTGTATGTTTTCCTTCTCAATGACATTGTAAATTCAAGCTTAGAAACTGTGTCAATAAATATATTTCACAAACATATGACAACACACAAGGTAGATAGATGATAACGTACTGAGGAAGACAGAAGAAAAGACTAAGCCCTCAAATGTTGAATCCTTACTGTACATCAGTGGCTATAAAGGGTCCAGACCAGTCCCAAGTCAGCACAATAGGATGATCCCCAAGAAATTAGGGAAAATCCAAAGTTTAGTTTTATCCAATCAGAAAATTCCAGAATGGACCTGAATTCTTAGAAAGGTATCAGAATGAAGTCTTTAGTTACCTCCTTGACAGCACCTCTCATAATTAGAATTACTTTGGAATGGATCAAATTTTAACTAACTTAAAAAATTTTCCCGGGGCTGGCCCAGTGGTGCAGCAGTTAAGCACACATGTTCCGCTTCGGCGGCCCGGGGTTTGCCAGCTGGGATCCCAGGTGCGGACATGGCACTGCTTGGCAAGCCATGCTGTGGTAGGCGTCCCACATACAAAGTGGAGGAAGATGAGCACGGATGTTAGCTCAGGGCCAGTCTTTCTCAGCGCAAAGAGGAGGATTGGCAGCAGATGTGAGCTCAGGGCTAATATTCCAAAAAAAAAATTTTCCTGAGTACCTAGTACATATAAGGCACTGTGAATATAGCAGTAAACAAAACAGACATTGTTTCTGTCCTCAGGGGGCTTATATTTTACCATGTGGCTTGCACTATAATCAATCCAGTTTCTCTGGAGAGGGAAAGCCTTAAAAGAGGCATTCTTATCCTTAAATTCACAAAACTGCTTTCAGAGATTAAAAAGAAAGATATGGACCATATCTTCAAGTTGAGACTAATATCCTGATATATTATCTGGGCTATATACTTCAAGCCAAAGTAAACTTGTTAAAAAAGATTAAATAAAAAACATTATGACTAAAATGTTAGAGAAAAAATTCTTTTCAAATGTTTTTACTGAAAAATCTTATACCATACTGTCTTACCAGTAATTATCGTCAAACGATAAAGAAGAGAGGAAAAATATAAGCTCCACTGGATAAGAACTGAATTGTTCTATTTCCAGTGCCTAGAACAATGATTTGAAGAAAGAATAGATAGGTTTGATGAAAGAATAAATGAATAAAACATCCGAGCCATTAGAGCAACATTTTCTTTTATTTTGGAAGTTTTGAATCTTTAAAAATGAGGTGGCAAATAGCAGTATTTGCAGCATAGAAATCAAGTAGGTATATCAGCTAAATGACTTAGTCTAAAATACTTTTTTGGTCTTGTCTTTAACTGCATTTTGCAGGAAAGAAGGAAGAGTAAGTGTCAAGAACTTTCCACTCAATCTTAAAAAACAAAAACAAACCAAAAAAACCAAGCTCATAGATACAGAAAACAAATTGGTGCTTGCAAGAGGTGAGAAGTGAGGGTAGGAGAAATGGGTGAACTGTTTTTGGGAGTTTTAGTTTAAATAAATTGAATAAAACTTTTTAAGAAAAAGAAATGTCATGAATTGATGATGGCATGTCAAAGAGGAAGTTGTCAGAGTTAAAATGAATAGAGGAATATCTCCAAAAGTGCTTTCCCAGGAGAGTAAAAACTTCTTATATTGATTCTCTTCCCTTGGCTACTGGCTTGGGCAGAGGATTTAAAAGCTATGATTTCAAATTTGTTGTATTCTCTTCCATGAACAGACATTCCCCCATATGTGAATTTCTTAGATTCATTTCAATCTTTATGCTAAAGGTTCCTGGAAACTCTTTGGTGATCCCATGTCAGATAACATCATATGGCCCTGTTCATATTTTCTTCTGTGACAGAAGCATCAAACTCAGGTGTCAGTATCTAATTTATTATGCAATGTGCCTTAATGCTCTCAAAAAACTGTAGATAGGACTGAGACATATATTAAAATCATAAAATTATCCCATAGGACCAGTCCAGTGACGCAAACAGATCACTATTTTGTTTGAAAATGGTTTGTGGTAGTTCTTCAGAAGCTAATCATGAAAATTAGGAGATCATCGATGCATTCCCCTTTTCTCCTTATAATTGTTATGGATCCATGACTTGCCCCAAATCCTCTTAATTCTCCTTAGTTTTTCTCTCAGGGTCAAGAGAGTCTACATATTTAATATCCATGGTATAAATCAGTTCTTGGAGGGGTTCTTATCCCTGCACACTACCTGAGGCAATCATGGTTTATGAAAACTGCAGTACAATAGATGCTATCGACAAAGCACTTTCTTTCAAAAAAAAAAAAACAAAAGAACTTTCCAATCACATTCAAGCTTAACTACAAAGCAACATTTCAGCTGAATTTATCCAATTAAAATAATCATATACAAAATAAATTCAGCAATCTTAACTTTAATGTTAAACATTTTTTCCCTAACATTTTCCCTTTTGACAACAGAAGACAGAAGAACAAAATAAACAACTTATTCAAGTAATGACAAAAAGGTATTGCCAGGCAGGTATGACAATGAAAATTCAAAATCTGTTTTCTAGACCAGATTATTTTCAGTAACAATGTTCGCCATATTTCCAATAAAACAAAGGCTTTTTATCAGATGATATGACTTAAACAACTACTCTCCAAACAAAAGATTACTGTGAAATGCAATGAGAAAGAACATCACTTAAAAGAGTTTAAGTTTGGTTCTTTTTTTTTTTTGAGGAAGATTAGCCTGAGCTAACACTTGCTGCCAATCCTCCTCTTTTTGCTGAGGAAGACTGGCCCTAAGCTAACATCTGTGCCCATCTTCCTCTACTTTATCTGTGGGATGCCTACCACAGCATGGCTTGATAAGCAGTCCACAGGTCCATGCCTGGGATCTGACTCGGCAAACCCTGGGCTGTGGAATCGCAGTGCGCAAACCTAACCACTGTGCCACCAGGCCGGTCCCAGAGTTTTTTAAGTAACTACCTTGTTTACTCAAGAAGAAAAATAAAATACTTACTTGACATAAATATATTTTGTGTAAACTCCATTCTTCTCCTAGAGCACAAATCTTAATGTCGCTATTTTCACCATTCAAAAATAATGTTTGATAAATATATTTGGAGGTACTCTTTAATTTTTTCCTGTTAAAAGAAATGCAAATGTTACATATATGTAATGCTGTTTTATTGATTTTGCACATAACTCAAAATACTCCTTTTGTTAAATTTTTATTAAATGGAGCCAACCTGTCCATTGTGTAAAAGGATAGAGGAATATTATATGTTCAAATTTGCTCATGTATGGAAGAATACATAAGAAACTAATAATACTGGTTATCTCTGAAGTACTGTATTCCCCAGAGGGGTAAAAGTGGTTAGATGGGGGCAGCATGGGCAGGAGACCTTTCACTGTATACCTTTTGGCAATTTCGATTTTTGAACTAAGTGAATTGTCTATTTAATAAATTAAGAAGATAAGTCAGCATGGTGATTTTTGCTTATTTCCTTATTTAGAAATCAACAGTATGAAGGATCTCAATACAAATGCAATAATACTGCTTTGCAACCACAAAATGGAGAACAAGAGTAAAAACTTCACCTATCTACGTAATTTTTTAAATAATTTACATTTAATTTTATTTTGGTACCAAACTATTCTTAAACTAGTTTTAAAAATTTTTTTCCATGGGACAAATGATTTGCAGCTGTAGACCGAAAGTTTTCAAAACTATGCTCAATGGATAAGTGTCTTAGGGGCCACCAGGAAGAGCCGAGGAGTGAACTCTGGGCATCCCACCTAACTTTCAGCAGAGCAGCATCACATATTATATCTGTAAACATCTTGGATTTCTGCATAAGATTTAATTTAAAGGAAGAATTGTATTTTTTTTTAAGTTTGATAATCACTGCTCAAGATGGTCTTTACTAGAGAAGCCCTAGGCAGAGGATGATCAATATCTTTTATAATTCCTGGCCAATCCCGACAGCTTTCCTAGTACTTAAAAATTTTAAATCTTTTTAAAAATGAAGTAGTAATTGTTTCAGATGGTGTCTTGAACCAGTGTTTTTAACACCTCTTCCCAACAGACAGTAAAAATAGCACGTTTTGGTGGTAGACAGACTTGAGTTTGAGTCCCAGCTCCACCACAGCTCAGGTACCCCAGAGGTAAGGAGAATACTAATAGTAGCCACTTCATTGGGTTACTGTGAGAAACAAATGAGATAATGTAGTTTCCAGTTCCTGATAGCACTCTCCCCAAACTGCATTAATAGAGTAAAAGTATAGAAAAGAGTAAGCCCACAACAGCAAACAGGTAAGGGTGGGCTTATCACCTGATGAGAGAATTCTAAGGATCTGGAAGTTAGAAAATAAACTGGAATGGAAAAGAGCAGTGAAAGCCACAGCCCAAAATATATCATGAAAGTCTAGATGGAAGTTGAAGCCCATCTGCCTTTCAGAACCCAGGCATTGGGGGATGAGGTCTCAGGGGAAACAAAAGGCAGAAGTGAGAAGTGAGGCAGCAAACGGGGAAACTTATTCCCCTAAAGGTCGCCTCCACTTTGTATGAACACAGAGTACAGATAACCAGAGTACAGATAACTGAGGCATAAAGATCCCCAGGCTCTTCAGGAAAGAAACAGAACAAATCTATCAGGAAGATCTAAGATTTTAGTGTGGGTCTTGGCGCCCCAGACAAAGCAATCTTCATTCTGGCATTTGAGGAATCTGTAGCCTGTTAGATCCTAACCCATTCACCCTGAATCATGGTTCCCAAACTGTGTAAATCATGTGCTCCCAAAGCACCTGGACCACCACAGCAAACTCAGGGAGGCATGTGGAATATTTTAAATTTGAAGGAAACACAGCAACATCTTTCAGATACCACGTAATCTACTATTAGGTTGTTTGGACCTAACTGTGAGATATTTCTTTAGGACCAGAGGTGCCATGAAAAAAATTACTGAAACAGTAAGGGTGCTGTTAACGAAGAAAGTCTGGGAATCTCTGCTCTAAAACAAAGCATGCCCCAGCCATATCCAACTTAGTACTCAGTCTTCCTACTCAAAGAGGCTTAGTAGAAATACATCTACTTACTCAATTAAAACACACACACACACACACACACACACACCAGTTATTCATTCTTAAATATAAGTGGACAACCGTGGATAACCCAACATGAATAAAATTAGGAGTATTAAAGACTATTAAAGATAGAAATTGGTCCCAGAGGAAATAAATAATTCAGGGAAAAGAAAACTTAAGGAAAAAACCCCAAAACACTCTAATTAGTACATCTAGAGAGCTGAGATTATTACATTTACAAAATAACAGGATGCTATGACAGAGGATTACTCAGAACAAGAAAAAAAAGAGCTGAGCTCTTAGAGACTAAAAACATGGTTGCCGAAATTAAAAAGCCAAAAGAGAGGCTAAATGAGAAAGTTAAGGAAATTTCCCAAAACACAAAGCAAAAAAGACTTAGAAAGAAAAAAGAGAGAAAGAGGTACAATCCAAGAAATCCAAAATCCAGTTCATAGGGGTCCAAGAAAGAGAAAACAAAGATAACAGGAGAAAGGAAATTATGGAAGAAAGTTTCCCCAAACTAAAGTAGTCTCCAGATTGTAAGGATCCAGCGAGTACCAAGGCCATTAAAAAACCCGCATTTAAGTATATTCTGGTTAAATTTCAAAATACCAAAGAAAAAATCGTAAAAGTTCCAGGGAGAAAAAAAAGATCACCTAAAGAGAATCAGACCAGCATCATATTTCTCATCAACACTATAGGCTAGAAGACAATGAAGTAATATCATCAAAGGTATGAAAAATTATTTTGCATTAGATTTCCATACCTAGTCAAAGGATGAATAAAGCGAGAGACTAAATTTACATTTAGATAAGTACAAATTACCTCCTTTTGTACCTTTTCTTAGGAAAATATTTAAGGATGTAGTTCCCTAAAATGAGTGAGAAAGAAAAAGATATACACTACAGAAAACAGTGGATCCAAACCTAGAGATGCGGTGAAAGGAAGTCCCAAGATAAATGCAGACCTAGAGAGCAGTGGATCCAGAATGGAACAGAAGGATGAAGGGACCCAAGAGAGTGGTCTTGGTTTTAAAGGAGAAGGACTCCATGCAAGTGTGTTTGGAAAGACAGAAAAATCTGAAGATATTAAGAAGTATCATTCTTTTGTCAACAAAGGGGGGAAAAGGTAGAAACTCTAGGAAAATAAAAAAGCAATACAATGAAAGGTATTATCTCAAGATAAAATGAAAACAGGGCCCAACTTTAAGCACTTGATGGGACACAAGAAAAAGATTTCATTTAACTACAAGGTTAGAAAATTTCTCCAAGAGAAAAAGTGGGGGCTGGCCCAGTGGCGTAGTGATTAAGTTCCCATGCTTCGCCTCGACAGCCGGGGTTCACAGGTTCAGATCCCAGGCGTGGACCTGGCACCACTCGTCAAGCCACGCTGTGGCAGCGTTCCTCGTAAAAATGGAGGAGGATTGGCACAGATGTTAGTTCAGAGCCAATCTTCCTCTCACACACATAAAAAAGTAAAGAAAAAAAAAAAGAAAAGCAAGGGGTTGTGACACTGGACCCAAGAAGTATGATTTATAATCCTAGCACACTACTGGACTCTGCAGTAAACAATATTTACATAATTATAACAACAAATACTGTTTACAAGATTTCGATTTTTAGAGACAATCTAGGGACATCAAACATTCAAGATCAGGTTGCAGAAGAGTTGAGTTTTAACAGTCTGTTAATGTAAAGCAGGCAGTTGACAAAAGGTATGAAGTGAAAGGTGGACCTGGAAGCCGAAGCTTTTCAAGTAGTTGGTTGAAGTGGGTGAACACACCAGATAGATAACCTCAAGAAGCATATTAGTGCCAACATACAAAATTCTAGGTCTTAATATTTTCTTACACCCTTCATTCATGCTGGGCTGAATCAGCCAGGCATCTTCCATTGATATAAAACATACTAAATTCTGAAATGCGTTTTATAATAAAAGTTTGCTCTAAAGACTTTTTCCACTTCAGTCTACTTATGCAGTCCTGGGGTGGGCAAACTTTTTCTGTAGAGGTCTAGACAGTAAATATTTTCAGCTTCGTGGGCCAGACAGCCTCCAAGCGAGTTCTGTCATCATCCCACTGGGCAGTTTCCTGCCCACTGGCCTCAGCCTACCACATCTCAGCAAACTTCTCCACCATCTAGTGGGCTGCAGCCACACGTCCTTCAACATCTGAATCTCAGCTTGGGACAGGTGGTCCCTCTTCCAAGTTTGTTCCTCCCTTGGATATTCTTTCTCAGCCCTAGAAGTAGTGACTGCTCCTTATATCCTCTATTCCTGTATTTTTTAGAGATCTCTTTACCTTAGTAGTTTACCTTCAGTAGTTAATTCCCAGTTACTTGTTAATAATGCTTATATTATGGGGCCTGCCCTGTGGCTGAGGGGTTAAGTACACACGCTCCGCTTCGGCAGGCCAGGGTTTCACCGGTTCGAATCCTGGGCACAGACGTGGCACCGCTCATCAGGCCACGCTGAGGCAGCGTCCCACATGCCACAACTAGAAGGACCCACAAACTAAAAATACACAACTATGTACCAGGGGGCTTTGGGGAGAAAAAGGAAAAATAAAATCTTTAAAAAAAAATAATGGTTATATTAAATTTTCCCTGTTCAAATTACTGTGTGATTTCTCTCTCTGAAATGGACTTTAACATACATATTTTTTAAATGACACTACATATAAGTGGTCTAAATACTAATTAAAAAGCAAAGAATATCCTATTGGATTTTTAAAAAAGCAAGACCCAACTATATGCTGTCTACAAAATACCTACTTTAAACATAAAGACACAGACAAAATGGAAAAGGATACACCTTTTAAACACCTATCAAAAGAAGGTGGTAGTGGCTATGTTACCAGGGATAAAGAGAGACATTTTCTAATGATAAAGGAGGTCAATTCATCAAGGAGACATAATACTCATCTCGGGCTTTCACACCAGGCACTGTGCATTCTATGTGTTCTAATATTTGTCAAACCCCGTAAGGCAAGTATTAGTTTCTCCATTTTACTCACGAAGAAATAAGGCTACTACATTGCAAAATACAGACTAGAACTCAGAATCTGAGCTCTTAAAACTATACTACACTGACTCTCCAAAAAGGTAACTAAACAACGACAGTGGGGGACCATTTTTGTAAATAAATACAAGCATTCATACGCAAAACTGTACGCCAGATTTTATAAACCAAACTATTAAAGAGATTATCTTTGATACTTTTATTTTACAATAAACACCTAACCCTTGTGCAGCAAAAAATTTTTGAAACTTTTTTTAAAGTTTCATTTAAAAAATTACATCTATGTGACCCCACTGATGACCTTAAAAAAACAAAACGGAGCAACCAGACTGTTTATGTGAAAATACATTCTACTTGTAAACTACATTCTAGTTCACAAGTCAATATCCTGTTTTTCAACGGTGAAAAACGGTTAAGCAAGCTGCAGCGCAGCTTCACACATACTCAGGGTCAACGTCCAAGTACCAGAGACTTAGAAAGACTTTGTTCCTGGTAAGGAACAAATGTACACTCCTGATAAACCTCACCTTTACAGTTAAGGAGAACTCCTGTGTGTAATCATCGCCCCTACACTGAGTGCACGACAACAGGGGTGCCCATTTCAGACGCTAAATTTATGTGTCTGTCCTATTTCAGGAACCGGATGCAAAACAACTTATTCTACCGCCACCTACTCAGAGACCACAAAGGTGTATTACGAAGACCGGCCAGCCAGCCCGCCGGGTGTTTAATGAGGAGCAAGCTCTGGCTTGGCGTCTCATCCTGGGGCTGTACCACCACCCTGGCAGCGTCTGTGGTCTACACTGCAGGACACCAGGCGTCTCCCAAGGTGCCCCCCGTCCGCCCTGCATCCGGCCGGCTCCCACATAACCCTATCAAGAGCACGCCGGCGCCTCGCAGGCTGCGGGGTGCCGCATCGCCCAAGGCACCGGGCGCCGGGCTAGTCCCCAGGCCGGGCCGCGGGAGCCCCCAACAGGGGCCGGGGCGGGTCAGCGTGGGCGCGGCCCCCCCGTACCTTCGAGGGGTGTTGAGGAGCCGCTGCTGCTCGTCCCCTTCCTCCTCATCCTCGTCTGTCTCGGAGTCGGGGTGACAGTAGCAGAAGGCCCCGCTGCTCCGCTTGCGCTTGCGGCTGCCCGGGCAGTAACAGAAGCCGTGGCCGGCCGCGTCGCCGCCAGTCTCCTGCCTCCGGGCCGAGCCCCCCGCCCCAGACCCCGGGTCCTGCTGAGCTCGGGCTCGCCCCGGCTGGCGCAGGACTCGGCTGCTCAGCAAGCCCATGGGCCACGGCTCCCTGGGACTTCAGGGAGCGCACCTCAGGGAGCCCAGCGGAGACCGTCTCCAGCCATGGTCCGGCCGCCGCTGGCCCCCGCCTAGCCCGGGCGCCTACACCGCCACCTTCTCGCGCGCAGCCCCAACCGTCGCAGCGCACGCTCACACCTCCATCCTCCGCCCCGCCCGCCGCGACTGGCCGCGCGGTGCGCCGGGAGCGCAGGACCTCGCCCCCTCGATTTCGCAACAAAGCGCCGACCGACGGGCGCATGCGTGCGGCGAGCCTCCGGAAGGGGCGGGGAAAGGCGTGCTTGGCGGGTGGAGCCTGCGCAGAATGAGACGCGGGGGTGGCGGTGGGACCCGCGCGAGTTGTTGGTTTCTGGTCGGCTTGGGTCTCATACCAGCTGGAACTTTGGGGCCGACCTACCTTTAAGCGTTACTTCGTACACTCGTTTTTGTAAGCAGGGCCGCGAATTCCAGCTTATTCATTCTTTCTGCACAGGTTCCCTTGAGCTCCAGATGCCTGCTGGGCCCTGTGCTAGGCAGGGGGCAAAAAAGACAGTGCTGTTTGGACTCTTCTTTGGAGGAGCTCAGCGGTGCTGGGATCACGCCCTGTCGGAGGTGGGCATGGCTTCCTGGGGGAGGAGGACCTAGAATGTGGAGTTTTGCTAGGCCTTTGGGTTTCTTAAACATCAGCCCTCCTCTGCCCTGGAGGAATTAGGACAAACGTTCCTTGCACTCCTTCCCTTGCCTCCTAGCAGCAGTGGGACATCTGAATAGGGTCTGGTACCGGAACTGTCAGGGCTTAAAGTGCCTTCTGGAGGCCCGAGCAAAATTTACATGTGTCTGAGCAAAATTGACAGCTGTCTGCCTCGAGTATGCAGCCGTTGTCAGGGACTCTGGACAGTCAGCTTTAACTCCTTGACTCCCTTCTGCTACTTTTTAAATAAAGTATTTATAATGAGATATTTTAAATGAAATATTTATAATGAATTACTCAAATAGGGTAATATGATCACATCCATGGGCCTACCACAAGTAGGATAATCTAAACCTTAAATTTAAATTATACTTGCTTTGATTCATTCTTTTAAATAGAACAATAGAGGTAGGCAGAGGCTCCCTCTCCATGTCAGTCTGTCTGTCTCCACTGTGATGACCACTATGCTGAGAATGGTGTGTATCATTATTCCCATGTATGTTCTTATACAAATACCCATAAGCAATATATTTTCTTTTGCACATTTAGGTATGTAATTAAATGGAATCATACTGTACCTACCATTCTACACCTTTCTCCTCTCTCAAAATTATATTTTTCAGATTTATCTAATTGACAATCTCTAGTTAATTTTCACCACTCTTTGGAGACTAACTCATAATTTATCTTTTCCCTTACTGAGGGAGTTAGGTTGTTTCTACTTTAATGTTCTTATAGAACAATGATGAACACTATGTGCAAGGGATTCACTAAATAGATTCCTAGAAGTGGATTTGCTGGGAACTTTCTACCTTTAGTAGCTATTGCCAAATTGCTCTCTGAAATGACTGCACCAATTTATATTCCCATCAGTAGTATATGTAGTTTGGGGGCGTTAGTGGACTGGTGTCTGACTCAGGCCTGAGAAATCTGTATGGAGAGAGGCTGGCTGAGGCAGCTTTTGGGGGGGTAGGGAGGGGCAGAGAATGATGGCTGCAGGGGGATCAGTGTGCATGCCCAGAATTTGTCAGCACAAAGCATGTGCAAGTGTTTCCCGTGGAACAAGTGTGGGCCACCATAAGACAGCCAGCATGGGATCATCTTAGATTCTGTCCAAGAGGTGTGGGTGGAAGGACCAACAGACTTCAGAACAGAGAACCTGAAGAGTTCCTAGGGGCTGAAAAAGGAAAAATGTATTTGCCTTGCCAAAGGAATCAAAAATGAGTAGTTCGCTGGTGATGGGGGTTGATAAAGGAACACAAAAGAATGCGCACAACAATCCACTTTAAACATCTGCCAACATAGCTGATCCTCTACCACCACAGCAGTAACAGTGGAGTAAGAACCTTTGCTGCTGTTGTTCACTCTCCTGCCTCCTCCTGCTACAACCGGGGCTAGGTTGGGGGTGGGGAAGTATTGGAAGGAAGCCATAGTGGAGAAAGAAGAGAAGCCTACATATCCCCTTTCCCAAAAGCCAGTTTCCTGCTGACGCTAGGCCAGAGCTGAACGAGGGAGGGAGTCTCAACTGTAAATCAGGTTTGGAATTTTGACATATTAATTACTGAAATGACACTGTTTCATGACCTTAAGGGATGGCACAGTAGGACTTCTTAAAACCTAAGCGTGACCAGGAAAGTCATGACTCTATCCTCTATCTGAATTTTCATCTAAAGACAGGAGAACTAGGCCCGATGAAGAAACGTACATGGACAGTGGGAGAGAAAATCAAAGTTGCTTCATAATTATATTCCAGAGTCATGCTTGTTTATATAATAAACATTCCTCAAGGGAAGCTTAATCCTGGCCTCTAGAAGATGTCCAGTCAACAAATGTAATTCTTTTAAAATTTTGGCTAAGTCATATAATTTAAAGATAAAACTATCAAAAAATTGTAATGCTTCCAAAGCCAAATAAAGTTGACTGAGAGATCCCATACTCTTCTGGGTAGGTATCAAAGCTGCAGTAGTATTTCCTATAATTAATTGGAATGACTTAAATATTCATGTAAATAGCTTTCACCAATAGATCAAGCACTTATAATAGGCAAGTAGAAACAAATCTTTATATTTCACCTATCAAAATACAATAGATACTATAGAATAAACAAAGACACATACTCTAAATGTTCTACTTAGAATAGAGAGCATCACTCATTTCTGAAGAATAAATTAAATACATTATATCATTAGTCTTTAGTATATGGGAACATTAGTTATAGCACTAAGCCCACATAAGACTAAATATGTTATTTTCTCTTAAGTTGTAGTTCCTCATAGAAACCGAGTAACATAAGTCCCTTTCAGGGTCTAGGATGAGAAAACTCACAAGTGGCAAAGTCAGTCAAAGAAAGCACATACTTCATTTTAAAGGCACCATATTTTATTAAAGTTATTTTTCCATCTTGGATACAAACTGAACTTTTGAATGAAATCCAAGTACGCATTCAGAATAATTCTGGGGTTGAAAGGCACAGTGCAAATGTAAATTACAAATCAACGAAATCGAAAGTGATTTTTAAAACTAGTTTTAGCACAAAAAATTTCCTTTAAGTAAAAGTAAACTCAGAGCATTACACCATCACCAGGATACCTAGTTTGACAGTTATTTTTCTCCGTTCATCTTCAAGATGGATTAAGACATTAACCATAATATTGTGGAATGTTCGGCATTCATGTTTGGTAAGCAGACACATAGGATCTGTATAACCACACTTTTACAATTTAATTTGTTCAGACAAGTTGGTGATTTTGGTACACTTTACACTTAACCTGGAGAGAGTGAGTGATCTTAACATAAGATGTGATGGAGGAAGTCTCCCAGGCCAAACTCAGGAAAGGTCAATTAACACTATAGACAAAATCTAAACAAAGAGATTTGTGGACACTTTCAAACCATGACTTTGTAAAACAGCAAACTGGATAGATGTTCTTACTGACTATGTGCTCACAATTCCAAATCAAGAAATTACCAGCCACTCTAAAGACAGAATTAGGGAAGAAAAGTGGTTTTAGAAGTCTTCCACTTGAATAGTTTTTCACCAACAAGAAAACATGAAATAATTTAAAATATTCCAATTCCTTTGAAACACAGAGCACATTTTTATTTCTAATTTTAAATCTCCTTTTATGTTTTATAAGCTTTGAAATGCAAGTACAGCTTTAAAGCATCATAATGAGTAATTATAGACGAATAATAGTACAGTCTATATCCTAGGAGGCATCTGTAGGCGTTTTAATTGGAAATAAGCATTGTGAGATATTGCTAATAGCAGTGTAGAAAGATGAAGTTAAAAAAATTTCAAGAGTTGGGAATCCTCTTATCCTTTCTGGATTTTATTTTAATCATCTCCTCCACAGAGAATGAGCAGTACCTTCCTGTAGTCTCCGGATGTGTCACCCTGGCGACAAAGGAGGAGAAGTTACAGTCAGATAAATGGATTTTAAAATGGAATACACAGGGCCAGCCCGGTGGTGTAGTGGTTAAGTTTGTGCACTCCGCTTCAGCGGCCCAGGGTTTGCAGGTTTGGATCCTGGGTATGGACCTACACACCACTCATTAAGCCGTGCTGTGGCGGCGTCCCATATACAAAATAGAGGAAGACTGGCACAGATGTTAGCTCAGGGCCAATCTTCCTCACCAAAAAAAATTGTATCTCTGAGAAAAATCCAGACAAGATTGAAAAAGTTAACCTAGATGACTATAAGCTGTGTATTGTACCCCCAAACCCCCCTGGTACATAGTTGCACATTTCAGTTGTGGCACGTGGGATGCCGCCTCAGCGTGGCCTGATGAGCAGTACCATGTCTGCGCCCAGGATCCGAACCAGCAAAACCCTGGGACGCCGAAGTGGAGCACGTGAACTTAACCAGTTGGCCACAGGGCCGGCCCCGACATATATCTATTAAAATAAATCTTAATATATTCTTGTTCATACTTTGTCTCATTGATCTGCCAAAGAACAAGGATATGTTCAAGTCTATCTAGCACAGTATTTCCATCAATGTCGTCTTTTGCAGCCTCAAGTTTCTCATTTATATATTTGAATGCAATACTATTTGCCACGTAAAGTTTCATGACAATTTAATCTTTGTTGTGAATTGTTGCCTTTATCAATATAAAGTGATCCACTTTTTATTTAATGCTGTTTCTCTGTAAATTCGTTTTACTTATAATCCCTGCTTTCTTTTTTGTATTTCTCAAATGTGCTTTTCCCTGGCCTTTTTTTTAAAGCTTCTTACATGTCACTGTATTTGAGTTGTTCCATTCATTCATTCATTCATTCATTCATTCATTTATTTATTTATTTGAGGAGGATTAGCCCTGAGCTAACTACATTTATTTATTTATTTATTTATTTATTTATTTATTTATTTGAGGAGGATTAGCCCTGAGCTAACTACTGCCAGTCCTCCTCTTTTTGCTGAGGAAGCCTGGCCCTGAGCTAACATCCATGCCCATCTTCCTCTACTTTATATGTGAGACGCCTACCACAGCATGGCGTGCCAAGCAGTGCCCTGTCGGAACCCGGGATCTGAACCTGCCGGGCCACCGAGAAGCGGAACCTGTGTACTTAACCGCTGTGCCACCAGGCCGGCCCCTGACTTGTTCCTTTTAAACAGCATGGAGTAGGATTTTATATTTTTACCTAACCTGAGACTTTATTTATTATTATAATTTACATTTTTATCTTCTGTCATTTTTTCTATTATTTGCATATTTTATATTTCTATTCTCCTTTTGGCAATTGTTATTGAATGGGCAATGTATTCTTCATTTTTAATCCTTTCCAGTGTTGTGTGAGTGTGTGAATACACATATATATTTACATATTTATATATATACAAACATATAATGTAAATATGTTATATTTATATTGATGTTTCCCCAAGCCAATCAATATTTTTGTACTCCATCATGAATAGTATTATATAGACTTTCCACAATTTATTTGAGTCATACCTTATTGGTTAATAAAAATAATATAATATGTAATGTTATATACTATAAATGTATGACATTATTTATACAAATCTAAATAATGCTATGATAAAATATAATATTTAGTGTACTTTTTTCACATTTCATGAAACAATTTTATTCAAATTCTGTCACAGATTTTTTTATTGTGGTAAAAAATATATATAAAACAAAATTTGGGGGGCTGGCCCTGTGGTCAAGTGGTTAAAGTTCCTCATGCTCCGCTTCAGCTGCCTGGGTCCACAGGTTCAGATCCCAGGCGCAGACCTACTCCACTCATCAGCCATGCTGTGGAGGCGTCCCACATACAAAGTAGAGGAAGACTGGCACAGCTGTTAATCTTCCTCACACACACACACACACACACACAACCAAAATTTGCCATTTTAACCATTTTTAAGTGTATAATTCAGTGGCATTAATTACATTCACATTGTTGTGTAACCATCATTGCTATCTATTTCCAAAACCCTTTCATCACCCCAATTAGAAACTCTGTAACCACTAAGCAATAACTTCCCATTCTCCTCTTCCGCCAACCCCTGGTAACTTCCAATCTACTTTCTATCTCTATGAATTTACTGCTTCTAAATATTTCACATCAGTAGAATCATACAGTATTTGTCCTTTCGTGTCTGGCTTATTCCATTTAGCATGCTTCCAAGATTTATCCATGTATCAGAAACTTCATTCTTTTTTATGTATCTATGTACCATATTTTGTTTACCCATTCATCTGTCTGATGGACACTTAGGTTATTTCCAACTTTTGGCTATTATGGATAATGTTTACATTGGTGTACAAGTATCTGTTTGAGTCTCTGTTTCCATTTCTTTTGAGTATTTCCCTGGGAGTGGAATTGTTGGGTCATGTGGTAATTCTATGCTTAACTTTTTGAGGATGTGCCAAACTGTTTTCCACAGTAGCTGCACCATTTTACATTCACACATCCTCGTCAACACTTTTTATTTTCTGTTTTTGTTTTTGTTTTTAATTATAGCCATCCTAGTAGGTATGAAGTGGTATTTCATTGTGGTTCTGATTTGCATTTCCCTAATGATTCATGATGTTGAACATCCCTTCCAGTGCTTATTGGCCATTTATCTATCTTCCTTGGAGAAATGTCTATTCAAATTCTTTGTCATTTTTCAATTGGGTTGTTTGTCCTTTTGTTATTGAGTTGTAGGAGTTCTTTATAGATTCTAAATAGTAAACCCTTATCAGATATGATTTGCAAATATTTTCTCCCATTCTGTAGATTAGTGCATTTTTATTTTATTATTTTCTCTAAAGAAATCCTAAACATATAATAGCTAAGTAACGGTTACAGTTTATTTTTTAATTCTATAAGTTTTGCCAAGTTGCCTCCTAGAAAAGTTAGACCTGTTTACAATCCTTCCATGAGAGATGGTGAGTTTAACCCAGGCCCTTCTCAATGCCGATATGATCTCTTTAAACTTTGTTAAGGTATTAGGTGAAAAACGATGATTTCTTTTTGCTTGCAACTCATTGTATATTAGTGAGATTAAACATTCTAAATATTTATTGTCCATTTGTGTTTCATCTTTTGTGAAGTGCATGTTTTCTTTTTGCCCAATTTTTCTTTTTGGATTTTTGTCCTTTTTCTTAATGATCGGTAGAAGCTCTTCCTATGGGGATATTAACCCTTATTATATGTCACAAATATATTTTCCCATAACTTCATTTATGGTCATCCCTGAATCTTGTATTTTACTTACAGCTAGCTATATTTCAGCTCTGTAAATAAAGTGACCTCATAGACTCTACAGAAACAGAAACAGGTTCCTGAATGCCTTGTAGACATAGTAACAAACTCTGCAGCTCAAATCCCCTAATAGTTACACCTCTCCAAGCTATGAGTAGGATTCAGAATATTTAATTCACAGAGCAAATCCTGCTTTGAAGTTTACTGTGCACCCAACACCAGCTTCTAGGGAAATGGCTCTTGGCTTTCCTATTCATGAGACCCTTCTGTCTTCCTCAAGAAGTAAAATCCCAGTAATGAGGGTTTTGAGGGATGTGAATCGTTTCTCGTCACTCCCATGCCATGCTAGGACTCCTGGAAGTCTGGTGCCAGGTAAAGAACAGCAATCTAAGATAACTACCATGCTTTCCCATGTTTTCAGCAGACCTCAGCTGGCCCCGGAAGGGTTCTGGGTGACTGATTCAGTTGCTTATCTTTCACTGCAAGCAGGCAGACAAGGAAATTGTGCTCTTAAAAGTATTCATTAAAATATGATCTTTCTCTGTCTGGGATCAAATGAAATAATTACTATATTTAGATGCAAACATTTCCAGCTTCTAACCTGGCAGAGATTTAAACATCTGTGTGAAAGGAGAGAGACTGGAAATCTCTGAATTAGGGGAGCATCTTTCAAGGGAATGACATCTGCAGAGGAGGAAAAGATAAGAAGTATCTAAATAGCTAGGTGAGGACCCCATCCTTTCATCAGAGCTTTCCCCTGGGCCAAGGCAAGCCTCCCATGACCCACCTTGATGAAGGAGTACAGGGACTTTCCATAGAGCCTCTTGAAGTTTGCTCGGATGTCCAACATATCAATCTCTGCTCGAGAAACCATCACTCTGATAAGAGTGTCATCATCGGTGCCCAAGCCCTAAGGAAGAAAACAAGATTGCTGCATATCAAAGCCTCTCTTGTTTTCAGATAGTGCTCATCTTCGGTCTATCAAGGCAAGAGGATGTATGACTCTCCTGATGATGATGTCCTTTGCACCACAAGCCTAGAGGCCTGTGGAATATTGCTCCTCACCATAGTCTTCAAGGCTCTCCACAACCTACCTTTCCAACGTTCTGTGTTCTGACTAGAGGAGACCGCCCTCAGCCGTTCTAGACACATTTCCTGTGTTCTGCAGCCTGCTGGCCTCACCTGCAATGACTCCTCCCCACATGTCATCCTTCCCTCCCCAGCCTTACCCTCCTTCCTACCATGTAAAATCCTCTGATATAAAACTTCCTTTAAGGTCCTGCTCAAATATACCAACTTCTTTATATATTCTTTTCTGATCCTTGTCTCCTAAACAAATATTGAAACAAAATATCCTTTCTTCTGTGTTCCTATAATATTTGGATCCTCAATTATGGTCCTACATTCTCTTTTGTTCTTAAAGGTGTTTTGTATACACCTGCCTTCCTCTCAAGACTAGAAGTTCTTTGAGAGCAAGGACTGCATTTTGATCTTTCCTGCACCTCCCGTGGTTCCCATCAAGGGTGCTTGCACAGAGTACAATGCATGGTTAGGAACTTGGGCTCTGAAGCCAGACAGCCAGTGTTTGCATCCCTGCTCCACTGCTTCCTCACAAAGGACCTTGAGCAAATTGCATATCTTCTCTATGCCTCGGTTTTCTCATCTGTAAAATGGGGGTTGATAATAGGCCTGCCCCATAGAGCTGTCATGGGGATAAAATTATACATATAAAGCATTAGAAACAGTGATCACACATCATAAGTATCCAATATTACCTAGTGTTATTATTGGCAGGCACTCAATGAACTATCTAATGAATTGAATTGACTATCTTAGACTGATTTTGGCTAATTTTAGTGGTGGATGTAAGTAAGCATATGAAGGTGGACGTAAGACATGACAGAGTCATTCAGATGCTAAAAATGAAGCCATTTACCTTCATAGATTTATAAAGCCTCTCAGCAAAATATGCAGGTTTGTTCCTCATGCACTTTACTATCAAGAGATAAAAAAAAGAAATGAAAAGATTACAGAGAAAATCCATGGGAAAAAAATGACAGTTCCCTCTGTTTCTACAAGGTATTTAGTAGTTATCTCTTGATTGCTTTGTTGAAAACATTTTAGCCAAACAGTGTTTCATGAACATAAGCCACGCTGAAAACATTTTCACAGATGGAAAGTATCCTTAATTTATTGACAAGTTCCTGGAGATGTAATTAACAAAGGCCAATAAAGCAAAAGGCAGCAAATAGTTTCAAAATGATTACTATCTCTCCCATATGAAACAGTTATTAATTCTAACCATTCACAGACTTGCAAATGAAGTTAGTATAGGATCATCTTTGTCATATACTGAAAATAAAGGCACGGAGGAAATGAAATATATAAAACCACGTGGTACAATAACAATCAGGTTGTATATAATATTTCTTGTTTAAAATTCTGGAACATATCATGAGTAATTTAAACAATTTTTTTATTCCTGAAAAAAAATTCTGCATCACCATGACAACAAACTGGTAACAATGAGGAAAGTCTATAGACATTTGTTTCTCCACTCCCCACCCCCACCAGCTTACCTATACCTAGCAGAGCATCTTCAAAGCTACCAGATGTTTCAGATTTAATACTCTGTTCAATATCCTTCTGTGATATCCTTTTGTATTCATCAAACACTACAAACAATAACAAGACAGCATAATAAATAATAAAAAAGAATAAGTAATAAAAAAATAAAGAAAACTAAAATTTATGGAGAGTGAGCATCTTTTAACTAGACCACACCATGTATTCTTTGGCACATTTCAAGAGGAAACTAATTAGCAAAGTGTATGAGAACCCAGGAGACATATGGCAAGTGGAATGGGCCCAAGGAGCGGAGGAAGGAACACTGTGAATCCTGAAGGACATCAAACAAGTCTCTTCCCTTATCTGGGACCCTGTTTTCTCACACATAATATGGAGATAATCTCTGGAGGGATTTGCTTTTCTCATTGTTTCCTTTTGGCTCATCAAAATTAGAGAAACTCAACCTCTTCAAAACTGAGTCACATTTGATAACAGCTGGCTGGATCTTTTAATAGACTCTAACATAATTTTTTCTTGCATCTTTGCCAAGTATTTCTTAATGTGATGAACATGTTTTCCTTTCTTGCTGTCTCCTTCTGGAGCCTTCTGAGAGTGGATATCTGTTTCTTTTATCTACATCACCTTCTTTGGGGTGCTGTGTCGCCCAAATGTCAGTCTTGGGACACTCCTGCCCCACAGCATGCACCATTGGGTCTACCAAATGAGTGATGGGCTCACCCACCAGGACCAATCAGTCTTACCCTCCTGGGAATTTTTGAACTGAGCAGATCATGGGGATGGCCAAAGGCACTGAGTCATCTTTAACCTCAGAGAACATAGGGATCACCCGGGAAACCTGTCAAACCTCCTGGGTGTCACTCTCTGAAACACTAAGTCAGCAAGTCTGAAGGAGGGGTTCAAGAATGGACACCAGACTTTGGGAAACTCTGCCTTAGAAATAAAATCCATGACTCCCTTCTACTGAGATCCCCAGAACTGCCTTGATTTTTCTTCTTCCTAGAGTTGTTCAGCTCTCCCTTCAATTCAGTGAGCGATCAGTATCTTCCATGTTCCTCTTGTCCCATTCTATATTATTTCCTCATTTCTTACTTAGAGTCAGTGAATATTACTTGGAATCAAAGAAATCTAATTGACACATTTTCTAAGCCTCAGTTTTTTCCACTATAAAGTAAGAGAAATAATAGCTGCTCCATTAGGATGTTGCAACAAACAATGCTTATACCATGCTTAGCACTGCACCTAGAAGATAGAGAATTATCAATGAACCTTCATCATTGTAAATCCTCACTATTTGTGTTGGTTGCTAAGAAGATGAAAAAATTTTCTTTATCAAAATAGCACTTAAAAGTGGCTTACAGGCAGATAGTATTTTATAAGCATCCAACTGTGGAGTCGCACCAGGAATTGAAAATTGTTACAAATGTATTTGCACTAACTCGCCTTCTGAGGACCTGCAGTTCTTGAAACATGCCACTAGGGGGAGATGTGTGTTGTCAGTAATCACAAAAGGGAAGGCAAAGAAATAAGGAGCTAAGTCAGAAGTCGGTGCATGTGATGGTAGCTCATGCATTTATTAACAGGAGTAATTGCCTATTTGTTCTCACTGTGGAATATCTGGAATGACTGCAGCTTCCAAAGTGTTGTACTTTTCAATTACTTTATTTATGTTTTCAACATAGCAAACTCATTCTTCTCAATTTTCCCACGAGCTTTGCAAATTGTGTGTGATTATAAGGGCATGGTGGGTTTATAAAATTATGATATAGAATAAAGACCTAAAGAGTTTACATAAAAGATGAAATATCTTATTAAACTCTATTGCTGTTTACAAGAAGAAAATAAACATGACAACAAATATGCTACAATTGTATAGTATCTTTTTCCCCAAAGAACTTAAAAGCACATTACAAAGACTAGCATTATCACAAGCAAATTAGAAACATCACACATGGGAAATAAAATTTGAAATTATCCACTGTTCATCTTATGCAACATACCCCCTAAAGAAATCACTTTTATTAGCTTTACAACTTGGATGTTAAACAGGAATAAATGTCAACCAATATTTCTTATTTTATTGTTCACTGATGTTACTGAAGATTTTTTCTTATGTAACTAAATTTAAAATGGGCTGCTTTCGAAAAAGGGCTGATTAGGAAGGTCGGTTTCCTAAAACAGGAATGCCAAACTTCTATGAATACATTGTATATCTGCTAATTATTCATAGTTAATCTTTTAGAAATTGGCCCTCATGCACTCATACATTTCCAAGGTAAGACATCTAAGACAGTTCAGTACAATCGGTTCTTTGTACCAAGGAAAGGGGAAAAGGTTATCAATTAATTATGGGAAATACAGCTTTTACTATCTTTCAAACAGTTTCTTTGGAAGATGATACAAGTGCCTTACCATGCAACAGATGATTTCGATTCCGGGAACAGAGAACGGTTAGAAATTTCACCTCATTTGTCCCCCATTTCTTCTCTCCAGCCTCAAACAGATCCTGAAGCCAAACAAAGCACAAGTTGAAAACACCGCAGAGAAGGTGCCAGGACATATGCAAATATTTCCAGAACTTCAAAGAGCTGAGCTGGCTTAGTTTTATTCTGTTGGTGATGGGGGTGGAAGTGGCATTGGCAGTGAGTGGAAATGACTCAGGATTTTTCCTTAGCTCCTAATGGGACCCTATGATATCTCCTTGAGAGTTAGGGCAAACACCAGCGGCCCCCTCTAGGCAGATGACGTGGTTCTATTTTAAGAGCTAAAAGGAATGCCCTAGACTTGGGCTGTCCCATACAGTAGCCACTAACCACTACTTAAATTTTAATTAAAATTAAATAAAATTTAAAATTCAACTCCTCAGTCATAGTAGCCACATTTCAAGTGCTCAGTGGCCACATGTGGCTAGTGGCTACCCATACTAGACAATACAGATGTAGACCTTTTCAACACTGCAGAAAGTCCTATTGGACAACACTGATCTAGAATGATCTATGGTTATCTGGAGGCTACAGAAGGTCTCACAATAGAACCAGAACCCCATTAGTAATTGCTTATATTCTAACCAAATAGGAATATAAGAAATTAATTCTGGTCACTTTAACTATATTATTGATAAATCAAAACTATTGTTCATATCACTTCACACTCATTAGGATGCCTGCTATAAAAAATTTTTTTAATAAACAGAAAATAACAAGTGTTGGTGAGGATGTGGAGAAATTGGAACCCTTGTGCATTATTGGTGAGAATGTAAAATGATGCAGCTGCTCTAGAAAACCATATGGCTGTTCCTCAAAAATAGAATTACCATGTGATCCAGCAATGCTACTTCTGTGTATATACCCAAAAGAACTAAAAGCAGGATCTTAAAGAGATATTTGTATGCCCATGTTCATAGCAGCATTATTCACAATAGCCAAAAGGTGGAAGCAACAGAAATGTTCATCGATGCATGAACGGATAAACAAAATGTGGTATACATACAATGGAAAACTATGCAGCCATAAAAAGGAAGGAAATTCTGACACATGCTACTACATGGATGAACCTTGAGGACATTATGCTACCTGAGATAAGTCAGTCACAAAAAGACAAATACTGCCTGATTTCACTTATATGAGGCATCTGTAGTCGTCAAACTCATAGAAACAGAATGTAAAATACTGGTTGTCGGGGGCTAGCGGGAGGGGGAAATGAGTTGTTTAATGCGTATAGAATTTCAGTTTTGCAAGATGAAAAAATTCTGGAGATTTTAAGTTCTTAACACTTAAAAATGGTTAAAATGGTGTATTTTATTAAAAAATTTAAAAAAATTCTTTTTTAAAAACCCTACTGTTCATTGATAATCAGCAGCTGGCTTGTTAAATTTCTCAAAATGCCCTTAATTGACACATTTTGTCACTTATTGGGGTTACTTCCATCTGTTCATCTGTTTCTTCCTTTTCACAGTCCCAGGTGGGCCCAGCCTTTGAGTCAGCGAAACTCAGACACCAGACACATAAGTGATGGAGCCTCCAGCCCCCAGCCAGTTGAGTCACCTCCATCTGTTCATATCTTCCCAGCTAAGACCTCAGACATTACAGAGCAGAGAGAAGCCATCCCACTGTGCCTTGTCTGAATTCCTGACCCATGGAATCCATGGGCATAATAAAATGGTGGTTGTTTGGTCACTAAGTTTGAGATAATGTGTTACACAGAAATAGTAACTAGAACATGTGGGTAAAGAACCAACTTTCAACTGTCACCGAATACTTTTGTAAAATACCATAAAAATGACCTTGAAAAGAGTAACTTTAAATAATGCTTGGAAAATGCTATCTTTTTGTGTTAATTTTTTTAATAACTAGTGAGGTTGGACATATTTTGCACATTTGCCATTTCTGTTTTTCCTTTTCTGAGGTAGCTGTTAATGTCCATTGTCCATTTTTTTAAAAAAACTGGGGTATTCTTATTCATAGTAACAAAACAGTAGTTCTGATTTATCAATTACATAGTTAACTATATTATTTACTTATAAAACCTCTTTATATATTAAGCTTATTATACATAAGGTGAAACTTTTTCCCATTTCATCATTTGACTTTAATTTTTTTTGTGGTATTGTTTGCTAAAACAACTCATGTATATATATATATATATATATATTTTTTTTTTTTTTTTTTCCTCAAAGATTGGCACCTGAGCTAACAAGTGTTGCCAATCTTCTTCTTTTTTTCCTGCTTTTTCTCCCCAAATCCCCCCAGTACATAGTTGTATATTTTAGTTGTGGGTCCTTCTAGTTCTGGCATTGTATGTTTTTTAATGTAGCCAAACTACCAATCATTTTTCCTTATGGTTTCACGCTTTGGCGTCATGCATACAAAATCCTTTCCCAGCTCCGGATTAGAAAAATATTTAACTATTTTTTATTACAATAACTTTTTGACTTCATTTATTTACATTAAGATTTCAGTCTATTTGGAACCCATTATGATGTGAGGGGAAAGTAGGGATCTAACTTTATTCTCTCCCAAATGGTTGGCAGTTGTCCCAACTCCACTGAGTAAGTAATCTGTGTTTTACTGATTTGAAATGCTACCTGTGTATTCTGACACAGGCTTGGTCCTGCTCTCAGACTGTCCAATCATTCCATTGGTTTCTCTCTATTCTTATACCAGGACCACAGGCTTTAACTTATTTTTACCTTTATTTTCTATTTAAACATAGATCAAGGCTGTCAGGATTCTAATCTCCATCATCTTTCCTCCATATTCCTCCTCTTCTCTGATCGCTTTGTCCTTTTCTTCCGAACTCTGGAGATTTTTTTCAGCATCGCTTTCCACAACAATGATTCTGTTTTTGGCAATGTCATTTCTGATCATTCTTGCTTCTAATAAACATTAAAATTGTTTTTTCTTGTTTCATCTAAGAAATTTCTCCTCCATTCATCTAGCTCCCTTTTTTGTCTCTGCTTACCTTCCATCCAGCTCCATTTTCATCTCTGTTATTTTCTCATTGCATTTTTTTTTTTAGTTCTTGTTTAATTAAAATCCATTTCTCTCTCATCTATTTAGGGTCCAAAGCACTCTGAAACCTGTCTCTTGTGGTATGGCCATGTTTGCCTCCCTCCTGCCTCAGTTTGTTCAGAGGCCACATCGTGTTTGAGTTGAGGATTTGTTGATTTTCATGCTCATTCATCCTTAAATGAGGGGCAGTGTTTCCAGATCTGTTTGTTCCCCAGAACAAGGTGAGTGCGTTCTTCTTGCAGCTCCTCACTTTTCATTTGGACGAATTTCAAGCAGGAGCGCTTGTCGCTAGTGCACTCGGGGCAGCTGAGAGCAAGTCTTCTCTGAGGGGTTGCCTCCTGTTTGCATGAAGCCGCTGTGCCTGCTTCCCTGGGAGGGGGTGGGGGGACCGGGTGCTGAGCCTCTTTTCTGGGGCAGGAAGGGCCCTCCCGCCTCCTTGGCCCAGGTTTGCTGCCCATCTGGCATTTTAATGGTCCTCCTCCACAGTTTCCAGTATTGATGCAGATTTTTCCCTATTTTTATATTTCCTGGTTTGTTTGTCTTTCAGAAGAAGGGAATCAAATATGTGTCATCGTCCAGCAAAAGTTCCAAAGGGTATTTTTCATGTAGTTTTAATATATCATGAATTTCTTTTTAAAGTAGGAATTCTGATCACCTATTATTTCCTTTAGTGCAAGTTATATTCCAAGAATAGATAAAATTCGACTTGTTAGATAATAGCCTCTCTATATTTTAAAATTTCTACCTTTTATGAGAAATTAGTCCCTAATTCCACCTGCTCTGATCATTCTTATCTCAAACTCATTTACTTTCCTACATTGAAATCCAGCTATAATACCCAAAGTTTGCAAATACTCCCTTGCTGCTGGTGCAAATTAAAGAGCAAAGATGGACCAGCTTTTCCTACTGTCTGATCCTGGAAAAGCTGAAATCTTGGCTGGAGTTGTTCTTAAATTCCTCGCCTCTTGGTAAGACTTGGAGGATCCAGAGACACTCTATTCTGAGTTCTGTTCCCTCTGTCCACCTTCCCAAGCCCAAAGTTGTTTGGAAGCACCTTTTCACCTGGTCACCTCCAAAGAGAACTGTGCTCCTTGAAGAGCCCAAAAATATTTGTTTGTTGAATTGCATGCTTTAAAAAAATCAGGCTGGGGCTGGCCCGGTGGCGCAGCGGTTAAGTGCACACGTTCTGCTTTGGTGGCCCGGGGTTCACCAGTTTGGATCCCAGGTGTGGACATGGCACCACTTGGAAAGCCATGCTGTGGTAGGTGTCCCACATATAAAGTGGAGGAAGATGGGCACGGATGTTAGCTCAGGGCCAGTCTTCCTCAGCAAAAAGAGGAGGAGTGGCAGCAGGCCAGTCTTCCTCAGCAAAAAGAGGAGGAGTGGAAGCAGTTAGCTTAGGGCTAATCTTCCTCAAAAAAAAAAAAAAAGTTAAAAAAAAAGCTGAAAAATAAAAATCAGGCAGACCTGGATTCACAGGGCCCAATTCCACCAATATGTGATCTTGGACAAGTTATTTAAATCTATGCATCAGTTTCCTAATCTATAAAACAGAAGTAATAATATCTACTTAGCAGATTTGTTGTAAGGAAAAAATGTAAAGTAGTTAACACAATGCCTGGCACCTAGTAAACCCACCAAAAATTGACAGTGGATATAGTGTTTCAGGAATAAATTGCTCACTAACCCTTCATTTCATTTGGGATTCCCCTGGGCTATTAGGTTCCTTCCAGCCTGCCCAAAAATGCTCTCCTTGAGGTAACTGAAATTCACATAAGCATCCAAGAGTTCCAGTATTTTCAATACCTTCTCCCTCCTCCAAGCTTCTGGATTAAAGGCAATTTCCTGTATCTCCTGTAGGGCATGGGCCACCCCGAGTCCTCAGAACTCTTATGAGAGCAACAGGTTCTCTCCTGCAGAATCCAGAGTGGCTCATACTTCACATACCGAGTGGGACCAGTCCTTCTCTATGGTTGTATATTGGTTAAGAGCACAGGGTCTACATCCAAGTTGCCTGGGTTCAAATCCCAATTCTGCCATCTATTATCTGTGTACTTGAGCAAAGAACTTGACTTCTCTGGCCTCAATTTTCTTGTCCATAAAACAGCGATAGCAATACTTACTTCATACAGTTACTGCAAGGACTCAACAGCTTACTTCATATAAGGAGCTTAGAAGAATGTTTGGTAACTGGTAAGAACCCACTTTTTATTAGCTATTATTATTAGTGTTATCTGGCTACTGTAACTAGGACAGGGCAACCATCAGTGGGCTGGGTACCAGGGAAGCAACCCCTTCTTGGGGTTGGGTATGAATTTTACCCAACAGGTTACACACTGTGCCAAGCTGTTTTACACAGGTCTTATCAAATGTTCTCTTTGGGAAGTAAAAATGCAAAATAAACCAAGCAAAGGCAGGTCCCTTCACCTCCAAGTAGTTTAGAAGATGCTCCGTGGTTCTTTGGGGTGGCTACACCATGGTCCCAATGTCAAGAAATCTGGAATCCAAGGGTCTTTACATAATGATGTCCTGTGCCACCCCCAGCCCTAAGTAGATCTGCAAGGAACTTCTTCTGTTGAAGGTTACCTGTAGGAATCTTTTTTTCATAACATATCCCAGCCTGGCCAATTATACACTGAAATATAAGAGGGTGTCCTCCAACCAAGGCCTGTCTTACTGGCAAAAGAGAGGAAAGAAGCTGCAGTTCCACTAACCTGGGCATCCTGTCTCACGAGAGCATCATCCAGGTAATTTCCTTCATCCCTGCCACCCTGAGGACGAGAAAAACAAACCAAAGAAAATAAGAGAGTATCTACCAAGACTGGGGGGTGCTGTTAAGACAGAATGTCTGGGAACCTAAGCACATGGTCATTAGACAGAATGCCACTAGTGGTCACTCTTCCAGCCTAGGAAGAGAGAACAGACGTCCTTTGAATGAGCTTGCATTATCTGTGGCTCTGATCTGTGCCTAGAGAACACCACCAACCAAAGGGCGAGCCCCAGTGTGGCTCCCTAATGTTGCGTGGGTGTCTCTGCCAGCAGAAGGAGAACAGATGCTCTCTGTTGACCACTCCCTCCACGACTGCCTCCTCTCCTTTCCCACCTCCCCCACTCCGGTGTCTCCCCAGCTGACTCATGCCTTCCAAACTGGCAAATCTACACTGATCATTTATGCCAAATAGGGGCTGGGAAAGGAGAATCAAGAGAATCTGGACCAGCAGTGGGGCTTGAGGAGCACATGAAAATGCCCCCACCCCTCACCAACACCAGCTCACAGGGAGAGCAGGGTTGAAGGCTTGGAGGAATGCTAAAGAGTGACAAAATAAGCTACTCTGGTTTGTTAGGCTATTCTTATTGCTTTCTCAATATTCTATGGTCTCGGCTTGGCTCAGCAGACTGGTAAATGTGGGAGGAAAAGAGGAAATGGGTAGGAAATAAGAAAAGCAGGCCGGCATTGTTAAACAAATCTCAGAGACAGAGTGAGGTGGGAGTTGGAGATGATTTCCGGGGTTCTGCTTTGGTTGTTGGAAGAACAGCACCAAGATGAACAGAAACAGGCAAGTCCGGAAGATGAGCTGGTTTGGAGGGAAAATGAGTTCAGGTTTAGTTTAGGAGGACTGATTTGAGTTGATGGTAGAATGTCCATAAGGAATCATCTAAAAGCAGTGAGAAATGAGTCTCACGCTCAGGAAGGAGGTCAGGGATAAAGATAAAATTGGGAAGTCATGTGAAATATCTCGTGTATCCATCTTCTCTTTTCTGGCACCCTGCTCCAACAGTAGCCCAGTCCTCCTTTATTTCTCATCTAGAATATTGCGGTAACTTCCTACCTGGTCTCCCAGCCTCCAGTTCAACTCATCTTACACATCACTATTACATCACTCTTCTGAAAACGCAGTTCCAATCACACCACTCTACCACTCCAAAACCTTCAGTGGCTCCCTACTGCTCTCCAAAGAAAGGGCAAACTCATTCCCATACAGAATCCCAGTTCATCCTTCCACCTTGCTCCTAAAATTACCAGCCCAACCGCTCAGCCAGTTGTTCCCCGAATATATCTGTGTCCTGTCTCGTTGGCCCTTTCTTGCTGTTCTTCCTGCCTGGAATATACCCACCCACACCTCTGCCTCTTGAAATCCTAGCAAACCCTCCACACTCTGAAGTAGCACCTCTGTCATGAAGCCTTTCCTTTGTTTCTGCAACCAAACTCGCTTCTTGAATCTTCCTTTTACTCTGTGCCTCCCCCTTGGTACTTAACTTTTCATGCCTTTATTATAGCAACTGTGTACCTGATATACTCCTTATGACAATATAAACTCTTAAAGCCGTGGAACTGCCTCTTAATCATCTTCCTAATTTTCAGTGTGCCTGGCATGTATTAGGTACTTGTAACTATAAATTAGAACTAACTAAATAAGTAAAATTAGAATAAATGGGCATCCATGACTGGCCAGAGACTGTAAAGCAGAGAAGATAAAACAACAGAGAGTCCCAAGAAAAACACCTGGGGAACGTTCACATTTGGGAGGTTGAAAGGATGAGAAAGCCTGGAAAAGGGGATACAGAGTAAGAGTCTCAATAAAACCCAACCCCCACCAGAAGCAGCCACCAGAGGGAACCACTCACAGCGGACAGAGACACGAGCACGCGCTGGAACATGAAAGACGTGTCAGAGCGAATGTCATCTTCAAGGCTCCGCCCGTATTCTAGCAAGAGAGTAAAATTAGCGACATCAGGACAGAGTCCTGCCCAACACTGTGTCACACTCCGGAGCCTTCTGTCCTCTCCAGGACCAACCTGTTTACTGACGCAGCTCCTCATGAGGTTTTTCACCCCACGGTTTTTCAAAAACTAAACTCTGATAAAACAGTGAAGATAAGCTTAGCTTGTCATTACAGTGGAAATGAGATATTCCTGTCCCTTAAAACGGGAGGTCGAGACAGCTGGGGTGTAATCCTCACTCTCCGGTCCCTACTGTCCAGGGGTCTGTCCTGAACGTGCTTTTCGGGGACACAGAGAACAGTAACTGTTGATCGGCGTGCAGAAAGGCAAAGGGAGCCGAGTTTCCGAACCCGCGGTGGGGACAAGCAGGGGGCTGTCAGGCTCAAATTCTAGCATGTGCCTTCCCTGCCATGTCACTAGCTGGAGAGCATCCCCAGAGAAGCTCCAACCCTTCACAGTCCTCGGGGAGAAGACCTGCCCTCAGCAGACATGCAGATCCCGGTGCCAGAACCACACTCTCCAGGTTTAGAATCTCCGGCTCTGGACACTTACCAAAAACCTCTTACTGTTTTGTTCTCTTTCTCCCAAAGTACTACATGTTTACTACAGAAAACTTAGGAAAAAACAAATAAGTAAAATGAAGGGGGGGGAACCACACCATAATCTAATCACCCCAAAATAATAATCATTGATAACATTTTGGTGAATATCCTTCCTCATTTTTCCCCACATACACATATTATTTTTCTTTCCTAAAAAAAATGGGATCATAGCATACTTTTTATAATTTGTCTTTTTTCACTCATCCATATACCATATCATGTAATGTAATTTAATATTATCTGTCAGTATACATTTTGATGACTACATAATAGTCTGTTGTGTGAGTGTATCATATTTTATTTAGCCAATCTGCTACTGTTGGACATTTTTAGCTACTATAAACAATGCCAAACAAACACTGCAGGATCTAAATCTTTGTGCACTTTTTTATTATATTCTTAGGGGAAAAAAGGTATGCATCTTTTAAAGGCTCTTCATATGTATTGTCCTCTGGAGATTTGTAAGAAGCAAGTAAATGGCTAGCATTCTGAGAAGGCTGGAGGACATACAGTCCAATCTGGATGTAAGAAGTTGGGCCAGACGGCCCCTCCAGGCCATTCCTTGGAACAAGAGAATTCACTGGTGCCACCCTTTTTGAACAAGCATATTTGATTCTCTGCTTGATAATAAGGAACAATTTTCCAGCCTTCAGAAGATTAGAACACTGCACTGGGTAGCCTAAGCAGAGTGGCATCTTCACCTGAGAAGTTTTGAGAAGCCAACAGACAGTCTTTGCCTAGACGGGGATCTGCCTGAAAGCAGAGCTTGGAACTGAGGATGCCTCATGGTCAGTGTTTCTATGAACAGGGTCTAATCAGTGGGTAACGACCTGCTGCTAGTTTACTTCTCAAATCCCAGCAAAACCTCAGCCAGGCCACTGAGGATGCTACATACCAAGCTGGTAGGTCTGGTTTATGCGCCGGATCTCCTCCGGTGACCGAGAGGCCAGGATCTCAATCAGGCAGCCCTCATCCGTGCCAGCTCCCTAAACACGAAACCCAGAGGAAGAGGGTGTTATGAGCCAGTTTACAAAGTTGAGTGCCAGACACAGAAGGAATGCAGCCAGGAATCTGTAGAGAATAAAGACAACCCTCGGGGCTCTAGCAACAGGATTTGCTAATTTTTAACTGTCCTGCTCAAATTCCAATGTGTTTACCATAATCATTATTAGTAACAACAAACATTCATGGGCTCTTTCTACTGATAGTTAAGGTGCCAGGTTAGGGACAGTTTCTGCCCTCTGGGGACTTAATCTTTCCTGGACGTCCCTGTACTTTTCCCTTGAAGGGCAGAATCTTCTGGCAAAGACTCTTTGCTTACCCAGAGCCTAGCCCAGAACCTTCCATGAGGCTGAGTATTTATTGACACGGTTGAGGAGGGTAATTGTGTTTGAATTTCATACTTGGTCATTAAAAATTGGCAGACCTTGGGTGAGGGCACAGTGGATCCAGCATCTAGGGAGGCAGACAACCTTTTCCGCCAGTTCTGAGCCCACAGCAGCCCAGAGGCCACCAACGTGTCAGTCATAAAGTTTCCTACCTCAAAAGTACTAACACGACAAGAAAGTTTCTGGAACTGCACCAAAAGCACAACTATAATCATTCCCCCTGGAGCCATAGGAAAGAGCAAATGCTTCCATAACTCTCGGAAAACAATTTTAAAATTACAATTGCTATAATGCAATGTCACGTTTTCAAGTTGTCACAAATGAAGGAAAATCTTTCTCCTGTACCTCATCCTCCCCACTCTCAGAAGGCCATTATCACAGTTTCTTGAGAAAGCTCCCCAGCGTTTGCACTAACGGCACAGACAGCACGCGAGGAGGGGGCACAAACCTTCATGGCCCTTCGCAGCTCCTGCACGTCGTACAGCACGGTGGGCGTCATCATCCCCAAGATCACCCGCTCGAAGTTGCCACTCAGTTCTGACTTCAAGTCGTCTATCAGGTCCTACAATGCAAGAAAGCAGTTCTGCTTAACTGCTCCATGTAGTAACTGAAACAAGCCGCTCTCAGAGTGTGGTCCAGGGACGCCTGGGGTCTCCAAGACCCTTTCAGGGGGCCCACAAAGTTGAACTATCTTCATAATAACACTAAGACGTTATTTGCCTTTACGCTGTCATTCTCTCACAATTGTACAACGGAGTTTTCCAAAGGCTACTTGACACACGTACAATTATGTTAAAAGGCTATTAAAATAGTCCTCTCTTTTCCAACTACATATCTATAGGAGACTAGCTTTTCTTCATATACCTCAACCAAAACCACACATCACAACAAACTGAATGCAGAAGCAGATATGAGAATCCAACCATCTTCCATTACGCCAGATGTTAAGAGATTTGCAAAATGTAAAAGAGTGCCAATCTTCCCACTAAATTTTTTTTTTTGGACTATGTACCTGTTTTTCATAAAAATGTTATTTATATTAACATGTAATATGTTTATTGTTTTTTAAATAAGTTAACAAATACATATTTTTAAATGTCTTCAATTTTAATTTCTAATATGGTAAATATCAACAGATATAATCCACAAAAACAAAAAAGTCTTCAGTAATTTAAGAGTGTCCTGAGATCAAAAATTTAGTAGACACTGAGTTAAATGTATTTGCTCACTTAACAATATATCTTGAATATATTCCAAATCAATATTCATCTATGACATTTTTAATAGCTGTTACAATTTCTATATGTAGATGCAATAACATTTTAACCAGTCCCCTGTGTCTGGTTTTTCTCTACTGTTAAATTACACATGCGTTTAGTTGTATCTTTGCAATCATTCATGATTATTTCTTTTTTTTGAGAAAGATTAGCACTGAGCTAACATCTGCTGCCAATCCTCCTCATTTTTGCTGAGGAAGCCTGGCCCTGAGCTAATATCCATGCTCATCTTCCTCTACTTTATATGTGGGATGCCTGCCACGGCGTGGCTTGATGAGCAGTGCATAGATCCGCACCCAGGATCTGAACCAGCGAACCCCGGGCTGCTGAAGCAGAATGTGTGAACTTAACCTCCATGCCACGGGGCTGGCCCCTCATGATTATTTCTTTTTTTTTTTTTTTTTTTTCCCTCATGATTATTTCTTAAGGCTCACTTCCTAAAAAGAAATGTACTTATTTGGACAAAGGACAAAATACTAAAGACATTTATTCACATTTCCTCCTAGAACAGGTCAGAGAATTTAAGAACCTGCTTAAGATCAACCAACTAATAAGGGGCTAAATTGCTATTCAAGTCCAGATCTCTGATTCCCACAAACCTGATTCCATAACACTGTATTTCAACCTATTGTGTATATTTTTATGTTATGTCCAGACATAGTGAATGAATGAATGAATGAATGAATGACTAAATAAATTAGTGCTCAGTCAATCCGTTAATGTTGCTCATCTTAACAAACTGCCACCAGACTAGCTTAGTTCTGAAGCTGAATAATCAACCCGAATGTGTGTGGCAACACCCTTTAGGTCTCTAGTTCACACATCACACGCACGTTCATGCCTATTTCTGCTCAATAAATTTCTTTGGGGATGGAGAAGAGTTTACAACGCACAGAAGATAGTACAAGCAATCTGATCAGAAGAATCCTGTTCCCGACCGGGGGGGCCCAGCCAAGGTGCACATCAGACGCTCTAGGCCATAGCGGAGCAGCCCTGTCCCACGCAGCAGTTTAGAGCTGTCCTTGAGAAGCAGTGGCCGTCTGACTGGCTGTAAAGTATCTCGAGGATAGAAACACGTCATGGAGTTACTGTACTCTGAGAACTGGAGGCTCTTATTGATAATGTTTCCTCAATAAAAAGATTCTTGCTAATCAGAGATAGGTTTTCAGTGCTGTGGAAAGATGGGGTGGAATGACTCTGGCAAGGGAGTCATTGAAAATGAGACTAAGAGAGGGTTCCTGAGGGCTGTGGGATTCAGACTCAAAGAGGAAAACATGGTGAGTGAACAACCTCTGAATGCATGAGCTACTAAAATACACAGACATACACACATAAAGCCCCATTCTAGACTCTAAGGGGGTGTCCCTCAATTGCGGATCATCAAAGGAACGAATATATGCTACAAATGGGTTTATGTGGAAGAGCCTACTTAAAACAAACTGAATTTAAATATTTCAGTCAGTTTGGAGGGTCTTCATCCACGGTGGCCTAAAAGAAGCCATCGGCTCAGGGAAGCCACACTGGAAGCTCAGCCCTGCCCGGTGCTCAAAAGGGTGGTGGTTGAGTCCATTCAACAACCAAGTCCCTGAGAAGACTTGAGTGGGAAGAGACTAAGCTTGGCCTGAGCTCCATGAATCAAGAGCTCCCCGACATCACTTCTGGCTAAGGATAGTGGAGGAAACACGTGTTGAAATTGTCTTTTTTTTTTTTTTTTCAAGAGCATCCTTACACATGGCAAGGGGTCCATCTTTTAAAAACACAGGGCTACTTCAGGAACCTAGATCGGGAACTAGCCCTGCTTCCTTGTTGCCTGACAGGTCCCTCGTCAACACGGAGATGGAGAGACTGTGCCTACCTTGCCAATGGTGCTCTTGTAGGCTGTCCTGATTTCCTGGCGCTGGGCGGTGTTGCGGTAGGCGAGGACACTGATTATGGCATCTTCATCCGTGCCTGGGAGTGGAGCAGAGACAGTGAGTGAATGTGATTTGAGAGGGATGAGAAAATGGGTTCCTCTGCAGACACTGGAGTAACCCAAACACACGCAGAGAGCTTTCTAAGAAAAGAGGTCCTTGGGCTGGCCCCGTGGCCGAGTGGTTAAGTTCGCGCGCTCCGCTGCAGACGGCCCAGTGTTTCGTCGGTTCGAATCCTGGGCGCGGACATGGCACTGCTCGTCAGACCACGCTGAGGCGGCGTCCCACATGCCACAACTAGAGGAACCCACAACGAAGAATACACAACTATGTACCGGGGGGCTTTGGGGAGAAAAAGGAAAAAATAAAATCTTTAAAAAAAAAAAAAAAAAAAAAAAAAAAAAAAAAGAGGTCCTTGTTCAGAGGGTTTGTCTATTGTGGGGGTAACAGACACTAGATTTGAGTCTTAGCCTCTCCTTTAATTAGCTGTTTGCCACTGAACAAAATAGTTAACATCTCCAGGCATTAGTTTCCTTATCTGTAAATGGGAGTAATCATAGTACTTCCCTTAAGTGAGTTACTCAGCACAATGCCCAGCACTTACTAAATACTCAGTAAGTGTTGACTGGGATCATGCTTCTTCCCCTCCTCTGGAATTCTTATAATGTCTTTTGGATCCCCTGTATCTATCTTCCACGTTCTTGCCTTTTCTCTCTTTGTTTTTATCCCTTTATCATTTCCTCCAAGCTTTGAAACAATTCAAACTCGTCTTTTCATTCACTGATTTGGCACTTTGCAGGGTTTAAATTGGCTGTTCACTGCATTCACTGAGTTTTAAGATCTGTAATTGTGTTTTTCATCTCCAAGCTATGTTTCCTGATCTCAGATGATTCCCTTTTTATAACTCCCAACAAATTCCCATGATGCGATATCCTATCAAAGCTTTATAATATGAATTACAAATTAAAAATGTCCTAAGTTTTGTTTGCCTGTTTCTTGCAGCAACTTTTATAGGGGGACTTTATTCTGATTTTTCAAATTGGTCCCTCGTCTTAGTAACAGCTGGATGTTCATGCATGTTTGGTGAGTTTCCTGTTCCTTCACTGTTTATACTATATGGGGGCGTTGTGATGGGTTACAGAAGGGATTCTACTTAAATATTTCAGGGAGAAATGAAAAAATATAGATTCATCACAGTTATTCTTTCCAAGATTAGAGATCCAGAAAAATGTGAGGTGTAGGGAGGAAGCTACAGAACTTTAAGTTTATATATCTTAGGGACCTACTTTCAGGTCTCTTAAAAAAAAAACAGAGGGTAAAAGACACAACCTTCAGAGCTCTCAGCTGCGGGGAGAAGGCCCATCACCTTTTGTTCACCCAGTTTCTGTGAAAGGGCACCACCCCTCTTCCAGTCAGTCAAGTATGAACCCTCAAAACAGCTCTGATGTTTTTCACTTTCTGTCTTCCTCCACATTCAAATTTCCTGCCAAGTTATGCAAAATCTAGCTCTACAATCTTTTTTGCATCCACCTCCTCTTTTTGATTCCTACCACTACCACTCCAGTTCAGGATTTGGGGGTCTCTTCCTAGACAACTGTAAAGTTGGCTAACTAGTAATCTTACCTCCTATTTGGTCTTTCCAAAGTCTTGCCAGATTCATTTTCCTAAAATGCATTCCTCCCCTGCTCGGGAATACACAATGGCTCCCTGGTCTGCTGGATTTACGACAGGCGCTGCAGTCCGCCATCCGAGACTCTCCACGAGATCCCATTCACTATCATAAATACCCACATAAAAAGATACCAGGCAGCCAGATCCACCGACTCAGCTCTTGAATAACTATACTTGACCCAACTGTACTGCACTCCTTTCTCCTGACCTCCTTCATTGTCAGTCTATTGGTTTATATGTCTCCCTAACCTCATCCATTTAGTGTCATTATTCTGGCATCTGTTGTCCCCCAGCCAATGCCTTTGGACCATGCCCCCATGTCTGTGATTCTCCAGGTGGCCTTCTCAGTAACACTTCCAGGCCCTCTCTTTGCTATCTGTCTTCTCAGAAAGCTCCCAACCAGCCTACTCCTGCTTTGCAAGTACCTCCTGCTACAATCCGCCTTTCCATGTATTCACTGTGACTGCCCTGGGCCTCAGCTAGACTAGGAAATGGGACGATGCTCACACTCATCCCACACCTCTGCTCATGCTATTCCATTCACCTGAAACACCTTCTCTTTTATCTCTATTTACTGAAACTCACCTCATCTCCCAAGGCCTATCTCAAATTCTACATTCTCCAAGGAGTTCTGCCTGATGCCCGCATTTGAAATGTGATCTCCTCTGTGAACCCTAATGGGGTCTTATTTGTGCCCCTCCTGTCTCTATCATATTAGGAACTGATCATAGTTATTTCTGTACACGCCTTAGCCACCTAGCACCCATGGACTATTTGACCACAAGGACTAGGTTTTATAATACTTGTCTCCTCCAACCATCCACTTTGCATTGGCCCACACACAGGCACTGAAAATGCTTGGTTGTGTCGAATGTCTCCTAACTCTTATTTTGAAAATTCTGAATGCCATGTGGTCCACGTTCTGAAAGATGGTGTTTTTGCTATATAGCAAAGAATGAGGATAACCTGAAAACAGGGTGGGCCAAGTACATTTTCCATTTTATTTGTGAAAAATGGAAGATGAGGAGAAGGATACGTAGATTCAGAACAATGTTCTGTGCAGAGGTAGGCAGCAGGGCAGCACAGTGACTTAACCCCAGCTCTGGAGTCAGACTGCCTAGAATTGCCTAGAATCCCGACTCTAACACTTACTAGTTCTGAGACCTTGGGCAAGTTAGCTAATCTCCCTAAACCGCAACTTTCTCATCAGTAAAACAAGCTGCTGTCAGGATTAAAACAATCCACGTGGAGAATTATGCCCAACCCATAGAAGAGCTTAACAAACATCCACTATTATTTTTATTGCTGTTGCTGCTGTTAGTAGCATGGGGGCTAAGTAAAGTGAACCGTTTTTGGGTTAAAAAACTAGGAAATAAAGCCTCATGGTCAAGTTTTTTTATCCAAATCTCAAGCAGATTCTAAATAGCAGCTACAAACCAGAGGGCACTTCTCTGGCCAAATGTCCACCCAGGCAAGGGGCTAGGCCAGGGCAGCCTGAAGCGCACCCCGCATGGCTGTGCCCACCCAGCATGAGGCCTTTGCCCTCGGGGAGCCAGCTGGAGGGTAGAGCACTGGAAGACAAGTGCTCTGGTCCTGTACACACAGCCTTCTCACATGAAATCCCACACGCTGCCTGTCAGGACCTCCCTGCTATGCCCATCACAGCAGCAACAGGCAGAGGGACTCAAGGGAAAGACCATGGACTTAGAGTTGCAGGCCCAACCTCAAGACGGGCTCTGCCAAGCATGACTCATGGCTCAGTTCCGCTTACAATGTGACTTACTATGTTACTTAATTTCTCTGGATCTCAATTTCACATCTGTACAGCAAGGCGAAAATCACAACAGTAATAGCTGCTTTCACCAAATCACACATGTACATGCATGTACACACTGAGATAATGTTTGTGAAAGTGCTTTGTAAACCTCATGGCACTACAAACATACAGCACTAATTGGAAAACAAATACATTTCTAAAGTTTTACATACGGATTCAGAATGCTGTAATGCAAAACAGATTTAAATAATTGGGGAACTCCAGAATGAGTGCATTAAATTTACAATTCTGTTGTAAAAGTAGATAATTAATGCCCTCCCACCTAATTTGTCTTGAAAAGCAACTCATTCCCACTGTGTTTTTTGAGAGTGAGACCTGCTCACATTTGCCAGTGGACACAGCACCCTCTGTGTGACTCTGAGACACAACACATGAGAGTGCTCACCTCCAGTGGGACACTTACCGAGCCCTTTCATGGCCTTCCTCAGGGTCTGAGCATCCTCCATGGCGTTGAATCCTGAAGCCGCTTTGACGGTGCCACCTTTGGCTGCCTAAGCGTACAGAGAAAGGTGTGACTGACAGGCAGCATCTTACTGACAAAGAGATTCTCATTAGCAAACATTTGCTGAGCACCTACCATGGGCCAGACATCCCCATGGGCTGGGGATATAGCAGTGACGATGACAGATAAGGATCTTGCTCCCATGGAGCTGAGGTTCTAGTTCAGGCGGTGGGGTGGGTGGGCAGATAGTAAACAAGCCAACAAACTAATATTCTAACAAGTGCCTGGCAGTGAGAAGTGCTATGGAGATTGAAAGGTCCTGGAAGGGCTGCTCTGAGTGACATTTAGGCTGAGATCCGACTGACATGAGGCATTGACCATGCAAAGGAGGAGAAAGCATCACAGGCAGAGGAAACAGCTAAGGCAAAGGCCCTGAGGCTGGAACTAGCTTCTATGGGAGGAGAGGGGCAGAGGCCAGAGTGGCTCAAATTGGCAGCAAGGAGGAGAGTGGTAAGATATGTTACACCACCACCTATGAAGTTATCACGTCCCTCAAAAAGGGAAAAACTCAAACCTCAATCCGATCAAGCCTGTGGAGCCAAATACCAATTGACCATAAATCAAGGAGAAAGGAAAATGTTCACTCCCACCACAGGGCTGTAATTGGCAAAATCCAGACTGAGAAACACCACTTGACAAATGGGCTAGGTTCTTCAGCAAAGAAATTGCAAGGGGAATTAGAAAAGAAAGAGATGGAAGGGAACTGTAGCTTAAAAAACATTAAAAAGGCATGTCAATAATTACAATGCATGAACCCTATTTGGACTCTAAATCAAACAAACAGTAAAAAAGATAAGACATTTATGAGACAGTTGGAAATTTGAACCCTGACTTGATATTAGATGACATTGAGGAATCAGTGTTAACATTTTTAGGTATGCTAATGGTATTGGTTATATACATTTTTTTAATAGCTCTAATCTTATATATAGTTTATAGAGAGCTGATAAGATGTCTGGAATTTGCTTCAAATTACACAGGTGGGGGGAAGTAAGTGGAAATAAAGAAGAAAGAAGATCGACCATGAGTTAATAATTATTGTTAGGAACAATGGGATTCTTTTTAATATTTGGTCTACTTTTGTATGTGTTTACAATTTTCCCTGATAAAAATTTTTTAAAAGGGAAAGAAAATCAGAGAGGTGGGCTGGGGCCAGAACAAGGCAGTCCTCACAAACTGGGTAAATTTATATTTTATTCTAGGTGCAGTGGGAAGCCACCAGCAGGTTTTTAGCAAGGGAATGGGATAGACAATCTGATTTACATGTTAAAAGACCACTCAGGCTGCTGTAGGGAGATGCAGAGGCCAGTTGAGAATCTGGGCCAAGATCCAGGGATATGATGCCTGCCCACCATTTCACCCTTGTGAAACAGTCAAGATGGAAAGAAACAGACTCAGCACATGTTTTGGAGCAAAGGCGACAGAACTTGCTGATGGACTGACGGCGGAGGTGAGGAAAGAAAAGAATCAGGTCTAACTCTAAATCTTTTTCCCTGAGTAGCTGAGCAGAGAGTGGTAGCATTTACCCAGATGGGGACAGCCGGAGGACTGCCAGATTTGGGGTGGCAGTAGGGGTGGGATTTAGAACTTCTGTTTTCAAACGCTGAGTTTGAGATGTCCATTAAACGTCCAAGTGGAGTTGTCAAAAGGACAGTATATTATACAATCTAAGTCTAGAGGTCAAGTCTAGAGTAATAAATTTAGGACACTTCAGCATTTGGATGGTATTGAACGAGATGAAGATAGAGAAGAACAGGGATCCTAGGACAAACCTAGGCCTCTCCAGCAGTATAGGTCCAGCAGAGAAGGAGAATCCAGAAAGGATGACCAAGAACGACTGGTCCTTGAGGTAAAAGGAAAACCAAGAGAGTGTGCAGTCCAGAGGCTGAGGAAGGCGGGAGCGGTCAGTGCCGGCTGAGGCAGGGATAAGAGAAGGACACGGAAGGGATGGTCAGATTTGGCAACATGGAGGTGCCTGGTGATCCTGACAAGAGCTTTCCCAGTGGAATGGAGATGACACAGCCTGACTGAGAGGGCAGAGGGGAGAACGGAAAGTCATGAAGAGGAGACACCAACTCTAGACAACCGAGATGATGACTAGTATCACTGGAAATGATCAACCTGCCTTAAAGTAAGACGTACTCTGATACGGTACCAGGGACAAAAAGTTAGTGACCCTGACCCTCTGCAAAGAAAGATGAAAAATGAAAAATATCAACAAGCAAAACATGGGTTGATGACCAGTAGGAACCATCTCAGTTGGATTAAAACTTAGAGATAATTTACCGATTAATATCAAAGTGCCCTGAATATTTCTAATGTATTTACCAGTTTATTAATATGTGATTTATGTTATATGAGACAGCAAAGAGAAATACATATAACTCAGTATAAAAAAGTAAATAGGGGCTGGCCCAGTGGCACAGCGGTTAAGTGCGCATGTTCCGCTTTGGCGGCCTGGGGTTCGCTGGTTCAGATCCCGGGTGCAGACATGGCACCTCTTGGCAAGCCATGCTGTGGTAGGCATCCCACATATAAAGTAGAGGAAGATGGGCATGGATGTTAGCTCAGGGCCAGTCTTCCTCAGCAAAAGGAGGTGGATTGGCAGCAGTTAGCTCAGGGCTAATCTTCCTCCAAAAAAAAAAAGTAAATAAATAGATGAAGAAATTCAGTGATGAGACATAAAACATCAAAAATTAAGGTACAGTCACGCAGGTGGGAAGGAAACCAAACTGCAGACCTTAAGGGCCTGTGCAGTTATTAGAGAGAAGCCACAGATTTCTCTGCCTAGAAGCCAAAGCAAGAGAGATTTGTAATCAGTAATGAGGATTGTTGTGTTCATGGGAAGAAAAGAAACCAGTTGCCCAAGAAATGCCCCGCCTTTCTTTGTACTGAGTTTAGAGAGATGCAATCTGTGTTAGCGGAGCTCTTCTCGGCTCCCTGATTTAGCAGCAGAGAGTAGAATCAAACTAGCTTTACTCTTTAATATATCTTCCCGTCTATGTGCTGACACTAAGCGTTACTACAACCCTTCAGCAATTCATGTTTTGATATTCTGAATTCTGTCTTTAAAAACGGCCTAATCAGTCATAAGCAGCACTTTCTAAAATTATTCTGCCTTGTCTCTTTTCCCTTAATTTGTCAGGTGTCTGCCATTGTGGTGTACATTTGATCAGCTAAGGCTGCACAGGAGCAAGGATCTAAGTGATATTCTTGGTGCCCAGATGTCGATGGAGTTCAGACCCATCTGGAAACCGTCCTCTGTCCAGAGCTGGTACTTTGTGCTTTTAAGATGCTAAGAGCTCACAGCTGAGGCTAGGAAGAGACAGCCAAGGCTAAACTTGGGGCTGAGGTTACATCAACAGGTCTGTTTCTCCTAACCTTTCTGATAATGCCTCTTTTAGTAGTCATGAGTGGTAAGATGTTATGGTGATGGGAGGGAACAGAACAGGGGGATGACTATGAATTATTACAAAGGGAGAAGGGTTTTATATAAGCTTTGGTTGAAATGTACCCCATAGTCTCGTGCCCATGATTCCGCTAAAATGTACTAATATTCATAGAGACAGTCAGTGCTGTCTCTTCTACATCACTCAAAGAGTCATGAACACTATAAAGGGAATCCTAGTATTGGGGGAATTTCATCTGCGGGTCTTCATGAGGGAGACATGGCGGCCTACAGTGAGAGGCAGCAAAGCTTAGCGGGAAGCGACACGGCATTGAGTGGGATAGAACTGGGTTTGAATCTTTCTGGCTGGATGGGCTAGGGGAAGTTTTGTTTTTCTCACGTGTGTTGATAATGATATCAACCCACAGGGTTGTTCTAATAATGAAGCAGGATAATATAGCAAAGCACTCAGCACAGAATCCAGTCAACAGTGAACACTAAAACAAAGACTCAAACTTAGCGGCTATCATCATCACCATTATTACTAAATATGATGTCAACAACATCTCCACAGTAGAAATAATAATGAGATTCTTACATCTATTTCTGATAATATCCCTTAACACAAGCCTATGGGGTAACTCCAAAGCAAAATCTAGAATAGGGAGTTTGTACAATGCGATGTAGATAGTGAAAACGATGTAGAATAGATCTGAAGCTCTCTGATGATTTAATTTGATCCAAGGATGTAATATGGGCCATCTAAAGGAATGGAGGATTTTCACACCCTTAGGGCAGTTCTCTAGCCAGTTAGATTTGAGCTCTACGAGCTAGTCCACCTTGGCCTGCACCTCTCAGGCCCACTGTGGCTCACGTCGAGCCCATCCAAAGGCCTCAGGTACCAGAGGGTATGGGCCTCGTCTGCTGAAAGACCAGGCTTTCACCTCCTGGATATGGTCAGCATCCAGCACTTAGTCATTATGCTCTGTATACCTCACAGAGAAAAGCAGAAATCTATAACATTAACTTCCTTGGGCACTGTTATGGACTGAATTGTATTTCCCCCCAAAAAGGCATGTTGAAGCTCTAACCCCCAGTATGCACGCACCTCAGGATGTGAACTTATTTGAAGATAGGGTCATTGTAAATGTAATTAATTGAATTAAAATGAGGTCACACTGGAGCACGGTGAGCCCCGAATCCAATATGACTGGTGTCCTTATAAGAAGACAACATGTGAAGACAGAGACACACATGGAGAGCACCACATAAGGATGAAGGCAGAGACTGGAGAGAAGCAGCTGCAAGCCAAGGAATGACTAAGATTGCCAGCAAACCACCAGAAGCTAGAAAGAGGCAAGGAAGGAGCCTCCTACAGGTTTCAGAGAGATCACGACCCTACCCACACCTTGGTTGGGTATCTGGCCTCCAGAACTGAGACAACAAATTTCCACTATTTTAAGCCATCCAGTTTGTGGTGTTTTGTTATGGCAGCCCTAGGAAATTAACATAGCACTTTATTCCCCTTTTTCTACTATATATCTATAGTAATAAGCAAATTGGTGATTTGCTGTCAAAATTCCAACATGGCCTAACTCAGCCCTTGGCCCCACCAGGAGACAGCTTTGTGAGTCAAATGTTCCACAATGTTTTTTTGGAACTTGAGTATTGAAAAAATTCTGGATGGTATTCAAATACTGCATTCAACTTTAAAGCAAACTGCATTGTTGTGGGACACTACTGTGGGATTAAAATTAATATCTAACAAGATGAATCGATAGGGGGATTTGCAAAGATAGTTAGGTTATCAATTAACATTCTTAGTGACTCCTTTTTTCCAGGAAAAAGATAAGCTCAGGAAATTTGTTCCTGTCAGCCCTAAAGTATCCGTATTGATTAAATTCCAGGGTATAATGCACCACTGTCTGTTCTGGGAAGGCAGGGGATTCCACCCAGGAAGGCTTCTTGTGGCAGCAGACAAAGGAAACAGGGAGGATGTAGGGAAGAATGATAAAAACTAACAGCTAGAAATAGATGTTATATCACAATCCATGAAATGTTATTTGGCTATTAAAATAATCAGGAAGATGAAAAATGTCCAAAAGATTAAAATACAATGGAATACTAATCAGCAATAAAAAGGAGTGGAGGAACAAACTGCTGATACTCACAGCAACATGGATGGATTGCAAAAAATATAACGCTCAGCACTGGAAACCAGCAAAAGAGTACAGGCTCTGTGATTCCATTTATAGGATGTTCTGGAATAGGCAAAACTAATCTATGGGGCTAATCAGAACAGTGGTTGCGTTTCTGGTGTGGAATTAGGAGCAGGGTGGGAGCAAGAAGGGGCATGAAGGAACTTCCTGGAGTGATGAAATGTTCTATCTTGATAAAAGAGTAGATGCCTTTGTCAAAACTCATCTACCAGCAACCATAAGAGCTGTGCATTTCACTATATGTTAATTAAACCTCTAGAAAAAAAAATTTTTAATACTTGACTACAATGGCTTTTAAAACATGTTTTCCTTTTAGAAATGTATCATACAGTCATTGTAGAGATTTGGAAATTTTTAAAAAAGAAGAATTGAAGAAAATTAAAACACCCATAACTCTACCCCTTAATAGAAGTAATTTTAAGATGCTATAAAAAGTAATATAAACATGTTAGCGTAGCAAAGATCAGAGTAAGTATACACCTAACTGTTACTTATGCTCTTATTACTACTATTTAAAAACCATTATACATATGAATAGGGTCTAAAATAAAATGATGGAAAATATTTGGGAACTATAATATTGTGACTATTGTTTGTTTTTCTTTTCCTTTAAAAAGGTCCTTTATCTGTCCAATAAATAACAGTCATGATGGAAAAACAGGTTCTAAGATGAAAGACAAGAGCGACTGAGGTGATTTTGCTCGAGTGGAAGGCACACTAAAGGGTCACTTGGTTACAGTTCTCAGTGTAGGAAGGCTGTGATCTTGTTGAAGACAGAAAGACTGTCCCATTAATTCTGAGTCCCCGAGCCAAGCACCACATCTGGCACAAAGTAGGAGCACCATAAACCTTTCTAAATACATGTTCTCCATGTCCTGGGAGACTCAATCAAGAAGAAATGGATTTTAAATTAAAGCATAAGAGATTCTGAGCAGACATAAGTAGGACTTTGGCTATCAGGGATGATGAATAAAATTCTAGAATGTCTAATATAAAAAAACGTTAAGAGTATATTACTATTTGTTCAGGACAGTTTACACACACCCATCTTCCTAAAGAAAGGCATCTAGAACGGGTGGGATCCCTAGCTCCTCTCCAGGTATAAGATTCTACTTCCATTACTCTCTCCTGGAAGACCAGGGATCAGCATCACCCGCCCATTCAGAAACCTCATTTGGGTGGGAGACGGAGAGCAGGTGGCCAGCCTCAGGGAGAGCCATGTCAGCAGTGCAGAGGCTCAGCTTCCACACCAGCACTGAACTTTATGGAACTCTCAGAGGGATCCAATTCCCTGCCTGTCTCAAAGATCGGATAACCAAGCTCTGAGGAGTCCAGTCACGGCCAGAAGCAGGAGGCAGATGACAAGCCCACATGGCTAAGAACCACCCTTCTTGATGAGCCTGAAATGATGGGGTTACACCAAAAAGTGAATGGCAGTCATCTCCTGCTGGTAGAATCTGCAGGATTTTTAGTTCTTCCTTTTTATTTGCCTAAATTTTCTACAACGAACATGTGGTGCTTCCGCAGCGAGAAAACTATAACTTGTTTCTGTATTTCAAGATGTTGGAAGAATTCAAAGGAGTCTCTCTTTGAATTAATTTTCAGGGTCAAGTTACTCACCACCTCTGAAAGAAATTAAACTGGTGTTTAAAAAAAAAAAACCTGCCTTTTCATTTCCTCTTCCCGCCCCTCTGTTGAGCAAACAAGCCTTTGTATAAGCCAACGGTCCCTAAGTATACATCCTGTACCTGTCTGTGGCTGGTACCAGGTAGGGTGAGGCGCTCCCCTACTTACCATGGCCATGACTCTCTGTCGGGATCAGAGTTCAGCCCGCCTTGAAGAAGCTCCTCTGTGAGAAAAGCAGAGGGGAAATTACTGTGGTGAGGGAGTGTCATTAAAATCATTAATCGGGATAACTTGTAGTTTGCATGAACTGAAGCCATAGGGAAATAACACCCAATTTCATCAAAAAGCCAGCTACTGATTAGCCAAAGATACAAGGGCCAGGTTAATAATTAAAGAGAAACTGTTTGAACGGGCAAGTTTACTACACCAGCAAAAGACGTACCTGCTCTTCTGTCTGGAGATCCGCGTTACAGAAATGATTCCTATTGTGTTGTTAGGGTGAAGTACATATTTGTACTCAAGCCTAACCTAGATTTTGAACTGTATGCTCTAGTGGATCAGAAGAGGTGTCTCTCTGGAGAGAAGAGACAATCCAACTGCATCAGGGAAAAGTACTTCACTCCCGCTTCTATTCTGTGTACGTGCGCACGTCTGTGTGCGTGCGTGTGTGATGACAGGTCAGCGGCCCAACCAGCATTAGATTCTTTTCATTTCCCAGTGATCACTTTCACTGCCACCATCTCAGGACTTAGAGGGGCTTCTTCCCTTTAAGCTGCAGCCTTCCACACTCAGCTTTGTCCTTAGTTCTCTTTGGCACTCCCTCCCTCATCAAAAAGACTTGAACCATCACACATTTATTCAGTCATTCAGAATGCAAGCATTGTCTTTACTGTAGACTAGGACCCTTGGGGGGTTCTCATGACATAGAGGCAGGCCTCTGAAGGGCAGGCCCACTGGCTTCCTGTCTCCATATCTAGGTCCTATGGAAAAGGCTCCTTTCCTAAGCATTTAGTTAGATCCTTGATACTCAAACAACCAGAAGCATGAGCATCACCTGCAAGCTTGTTAAAAATGCAGAATCTCAGGCCTCCCCCAGACCTATTCCCAGACTCTGCATTTTAGCAAGATTCTCCAAATATTTGTCTGCACGGTAGTTTGAGAAGCCCTCACCTAGACAGTTCTACCAAGCAGCACTTTTCAATTATTTCCCCAGAATAACTAAATCCTTCTTAACCCACTTTCCTACTGATTAGTTCATGTCTGGTCACATTCAGTCTTCATCTTCCAGCTTCCCTTATGCTCAGCTCCACTCTTCCTTGTTTCCCATCACTCCTTGCAGACTCGCCTCATATCACACAGAAGGTCAATCCCTTCCTAAGGGGAAATGGTTCTGGGGCACAGCCTGGACAAAGGTGCAGGGGTGGGAACGAGCAGTGGCTTCAGGGACAATGAGGACAGGAGGCTGCTGGAGCAGAGGGCTCATTCCAGGGAAGGCTCGGAGATGAGACTGGAAAAGCAGCTGGGGAACTGATTAGTAAGGGCCTTGAATGCCCAGCTGAGGAGTCTGACATCACACTGTAGGTAAAGCGAAAACAGGGGAAAGTGTTTGGTTCTTCCAGAGAAATGATATAATAAAAGACATGCTTTAGCAAGTGACTATACCATGGGGTAGATTGGAGTGAGAGATAAGGGCTCAGGAAGGCATAAGATTCCACTACAGGAACAGACAGGCCGAGGCAAATGCCTCAGCAGGGTGTGGCACCTGGAACAGGATATACACAGGGAAACTTTGGAAGGGAGACTTTACTGGATTTAGTGGCTCATGGACTATACGGATTTAATCACCAAACATTCATAAAGCCCCTCTATATTCCAGGCACTGTTCTAGCTGACAGAGATAATACAGTGACTAAGACAAGGAACCTGCCTTCAAGAAGCTCACACTCTACCAGGAAAGACAGACGACAAATAAACAAATGAATATATAAGACAAGTGCAGATACCAGTAAGATGAGAATACAACAGGATAATGGTATAGAATGGGAATCAGTACACTACAGCTCATGGGCCAAATTCTGTTTTTGTATGGTCTACTAGCTAAGAATGGTTTTTACGTATTCAATGGTTGACAAAAAAAAACCAAAAGAGTAATATTTCATGACATGTGAACATTACATAAAATTCAAATTTCAGTGTTCATAGGTAAAGACTCATTGGAGCACAGCCACAGCCATTGGTTTACATATTGTCTATGGCTGCTTTCATGCTACAATGGCAGAACTGGGTAGTTATGACAGAGACTGTGGGGTTCACAAAGCTGAAAATACTTAATATCTAGTCCTTCACAGAAAAAGTTCGCTGACCCCTGGTAGGGAGGATGACATGATCAGGTTACTGGAAAGGAGCTGGCCTGGAGAGGGTGATCAGGGAAGTCATCTCCAAGGAGATGACATCCAAGCTAAGACCTGAATGAGAAGGAGCTGGCCATTCACAGTTCCGGAGGAGAACCGTTTCAGGTAGAGGGAGCAGTTAGTGCAAAGGCCCTGAGGCAGGAATAAACTTACTGTGTTTCAGGGATAGACAAAAGCATCAAGAACAAGGGCCAGAGTGACAGGAGATGGGGCTGGAGTGGGCCAGGACCATCTGTGGGGCAGGAAGGGGTGCCTCTTTCTCACTTGCCCAGAATGTGCTAGGGGAAGCCATGAGCAGGGCTGCTTGAGACTTTCATGGGCCTTAGCCACTCCTTCACCTGGAGGCCCCGGCTCACATCATATGAATTATCAAAATGCATCCATATCCCTAAGTATAATTGATATGTGAGTTGGACTGAGTTGCTGCTGATTGGTTGATGACCTGGCATACACAGCTTTTAGGAGCAAGGGCCCGCCCTTTGCTTCCATGTGGTTTTGGAATCAATGACAACCAGTGAGGAGGCAGAGAATGGGGACTCCTCCCCAAGAAGCCAGCCTTTAATATGAACACTTCTGGTCCTTTTTACCACATCAAGAAGTAGAAAGACCGCTTGAGCAAAGCCTTCTGGAAATACTGAGAGCCATTATTCAACGAGCTAGAAATATTTTACTACAGGAAAAAAATGTATCATACTCGAACACGGGGTGCTTTTTAGCCAGACAATTTATTTTGAAACTTGGACAGCACACAGCATAAGTCCATTTATACACAGACAGCTGTTGTATATTTATTATTTACTAGTACCAACTGAGTTTCTAAATAGATTATAGAAATGAATGCAGACAATGGACTCCGTGTTTCTTTCATTAGATATCGATAATATATGTAAAGTTAATCCACACAAACGCTTCCTAGCACAGCGTCTGGCACTGAGGAAGGTCTCAATTACTCTCGGCAAGGAAGGGGGGAGCGGAAAGGAGGGGAAGAAATCACATACACCCCTCCCCGGACACAGAATGGCTGTAGGCCTCTTCTTAACTGCACAAAATAACCAGCCCCCAAACAATAAAGGCCTTTCTCCCTGAAGCTCCATCTGTAAACGTCCTCCCACCCTTTCCACCGCCCTGCAAAGCCAAGGATTCTTTACAGGAATCCTTTTCTGCCTCCACTTCCTTGATTCACTCTTTCTCTCTGAAGGCTGGCCTACAATTCCATAACCTGAACAATATCACCAAGTTCCCAATGACTCAGACTTTGTGCTGGTTTTTTAAAAACTCCTTTGCTGCTCACAGGTGGGGCAAAATAATTAGCAACTGTGCCTCAGTTTTTACATCTATAAAATGCAAACACACTCAGGTTTGAGCATGGCTCCAATGGCCCTAAAAGCACCAGGACTCTTCAAGATGGAAAGGTAAAGACTGAAGGGACCATATGTTAGTGATGTCTGAAAAAATCTAAGGGTTATGCAGTTTGTGGGCGGGAAACTACACTACCTTCATAATACTGGAACTCCACAACTAGAGCCCATGATACGGCTCCCGACGATCTGAAGACATAGTTTTAGAGCAACTGAAACACAGCTTGGAAGTACACATAAGAGATCTACCCCAGTAGCAGTTACATAAAGGATTAATAAGTTGTAAATAAGTCCGACCTATTTCAGAGAAGATTACATAAATTTGCATACATAATTTATGATGGATTCATAAAGAAAAATTAGGCATGTCAAAAACACATCCCTACTTTAATCTCCATAATATATAAAGAACTCACACAGCTTAACAACAAAAAATCAAACAACCCAATCGAAAAATGGGTAGGGGACATGAACAGACATTTCTCCAAAGAAGATATAAGGATGGCCAATAGACACATGAAAAGATGCTCATCATCACTAATCATCAGGGAAATGCAAATCAAAACTACACTAAGATATCACCTTACACCTGTTAGAATGACAAAAATATCCAAAACCAAGAGTGACAAATGTTGGAGAGGTTGGGGAGAAAAAGGAACCCTCATACACTGTTGGTGGGAATGCAAACTGGTGCAGCCACTATGGAAAACAGTACGGAGATTTCTCAAAAAGTTAAAAATAGAAATACCATATGACCCAGCCATCCCACTACTGGGTATCTATCCTAAGAACCTGAAATCAGCAATTCCAAAAGTCCCATGCACCCCTATGTTCATCGCAGCATTATTTACAATAGCCAAGACATGGAACCAACCTAAGTGCCCAGCAACTGACAATTGGATAAAGAAGATATGGTATATATATACAATGGAATACTACTCAGCCATAAAAAGGACAAAATCGTCCCATTCACAACATGGATAGACCTTGAGTGTATTATGTTAAGTGAAATAAGCCAGATAGAGAAAGATGAACTCTGCATGATTCCACTCATAGGTGGAAGTTAACATATGGACAAAGAGAACTGATCAGTGGTTACCAGGGGAAAGGGGGGTGGCAGGAGGGTACAAAGGGTGAAGGGGTGTACCTACAACATGACTAACAATAACATACAACTGAAATTTCACAAGGTTGTAAACTATCATAATCTTAATTAAAAAAAACAAAAAACAAACAAAAAAGAACACATCCCTACTTTTTTCCAGTTCGATGTCCAGAAGGATAATTATTTCACTATCCCTCAAATTGTCCTATTGTACCCTGCTAGAAATTGGCAAGCCAGGTGCTGACTCAAGTACAAAGTTTCTTATGTCCCCATAGCAGACTGCAGGTCCGTGGAACAAGGGCCTCTGACTTCAAGCAATATTTCAGTATGCCACACGTGGAGGCAGCAA